CGGGATATGCATTACCAGGCCCCAAAACCCCGAAACCCGGTCACAGGAGGGTGTATCGAACATAAAGCAACGTGAAACTACCTTAATATGTTAATATGTAAGGAACTTAGCCCTTGGCCCGTTATTCTTTTCTTAGGCAAGTTAAGGTGTATTGTTCAGCTTATTGTACAGCAACGACACGGGCTCTTGCAGCAAATCATGGTTTGGTGTAAAGCACATAGTACATGGCAGTTGATCGTGATGATAGGAAAAGAAGGGCGCTTGCGCATGCCTTGCCAGCTATGCTAGCACACGGCATGGTGGGCAACTAAAGGCTAGCTGCGGAATATGCACTCCTAAGAAGGGTACCGGTTTGGGGCACGGGCTGGAGCACAGCGGTGGGGGGTGGTAAAACGAGGAATCTCACGAGCTGTATGACGGGGCTTTACCATTGGGTTCCTCATCATGGCTGTGGTAAGGGAAGGACCTCGTTTTTCACCCTCCCCGTGCTCCCCGACAATGCATCAAGTCATCGTTCTGCCACCTAGGGGAGGGGCTGGCCTGCACGGCCTCTCACGCACAGCGCGGATTGGGCGGGCGGAAGGGAGGTGGGGGGACATTGGATGACTAAAGATGATGAGGCGCCTCCTGGTCTGATCACATGAACGCCATTCATCACACTTCTAGCTCAATATTCGTTGGTGGGCTATTTAGCCCGTAAACATTTCTACTCTGGGAAAGGGTTTGATTGTGAGAGGGCAGGCGGGTAGCGGATTGGGGAATCAACAATATACCAACCCATGGGAAACCCGTCAGCTTCGCAGACACCGGGGCTCGCCCCCTTTTTAAAATCAAAACTCGCTGACAAGTACAGCATAGGACATATCGGTGCCGGCTGGGCGGAGGAGGTCGTACAGTTGGGATTCGTATTACATGTTAGCACTAACATGTTAGCAGTATGTGTAACTTTCCTCCTTGTAACTTTCGTACTCTCTGTGTAGATGCGTCAATGCGGTCCGTGGGCGTGCCTGTGTGACCCTGCTTCCCCGTGATTCGACTCGAGGTCTGGCGGTGCGTAGAGCTAGTGGAAACGGGAACAAGGGTTGCCCACAGGAATGCGACGAAGGCCATGCCAGGCGAGGGACGCCTCAAATACGTGAAACAAACACGTGGTTCGATTCACTTTTCAAACGTGGGCGTTGAACGAACGAAATGTGTGAACGAACGTAAACGTGAATGAACGTAGCGGGACGAAGCCAACTTTGTGGCCGCCAAGGCAGCGGCAGCCTTTGCTATCGTGTTTGTATTGGATTACGACTAAGCCTATAACATTATAACCGATATAGCATATTTGTCACTTCATTTTATTGCAAAAGGCAAGATAGGCTTGAGGGAGGCACAACAAGAAACAAGTTAACCTTGGCTTATGGGCTAAATGTTGGTTCAAGCTTTGCAACACCACAATGACATTGCTATGGAAATTACGAATCACCTTGACAGCATTTTCTTTTTCGCCGACATGTACGACATTTGGGTCGTCTTCTGAACACTGAGCCTCTCTCTTTTTCGACATGACATTGTACTCAAATCACAACAACGAATACAACGCCACCTTGTTCGACCGAATCTGCGACCTCGGTGCAGGTACATGTAAAATGTACAGGGATACAACATAGGACATGTTCACGGTACAAAAAGGACATAACGCCTCGGTCCGGACCATTTTGAGTGAACGCTAAGACTACGCCCCTAATCGGGGCGAGCCAACCACAGTAAGGGCAAAGCAAAGGGGATGGGAGGCGGTAGCGTGTCACAAACAAGTCACAAAGGACAGCCGCAGGCTACAGTTCATCGACCGTTACTATGTGCCGCACACCTAGCACTGCCTTCTCTTGCTTTCGCCCAGTATGGATTGCTAAGAAATGAACAGGTACCGCTTAGGGATCTGGGTAGCTGATGTTGGGAAAGAGGTCAGGGGGCTGAGGCTACAGTTGGTTGTATAACCGCTTTGCGCTTGTGGCATCGCCTCTTTTCCTACGCATATTTAGATTATGTTCTTTACCGTTTTCTTCATGTGTTTTTTGTCACTGCGGCCCGTTTAAAACACAGCGGTGTCCCACACAATTGCGGTCCCTCCGTATTCCTCCGTCCAATCTGCAGTTAGTACGGTCTCTCCGTCTTCCTGCATCCTTCCGCGTTGCGGTTTCGCCCTTAACATCGATGGTCAGCTTCCGTTCCCAATGCACCCGCGTTTCCTTGCCAGGCGCCTTAATGTCGCCAAATGTTTATGAGCTCTGCCGTACATTGACGCTCTTCCTCTGCCATTCTGATTGGGCTTGAGCTCTGCTCGCCCGTCATCCATGGCCCAATTTCTGGCGCGGCCTACACCATGGCTCTGAAATCTGGAACTGGTCTACAGGATGTGAGCTGCTGGGCTTGCTGGCGTTGGCGAGGCGCTCTGGCGTGATTGTGGCGTTCCGGCATGATGACCTCCTTCGGACCGCTCTGGAGCCCATTCTGGCAGTCTAGCCTGCTCTACAGCGCGCTCTCAGGTCCTTAATGTTGGGCTTGTGCGGCGTCAGGAAACCTTTGAGTGCAAAGGTCTTCCCCCCAGTGGCACTGGGAGCCGTTGGTATCGCGCTTGCGTTCTTTAAGGAGGGCTTTAGCCGTTGAGCTAAGTCAGCAGGCTTAGGGTCTGGCGTTGCTGAGTGGCTGTCGGTGTGCCGCTGTTTGGACGGCCTGATGCGCAGGTGTCGCTTGGTATGCCTTGGTGGCTTGCTGCAGTTTTCTCCGTGACAGTTTCATTTCGGCTTCTGTGGTTGCGGGCCGCGATCTTTCTGGTGCTGGTTTGGCAGTATCCGTGTGTCGCATTTCTCTGGGACCCTGGTTGCCGGCCCCTGTTCCAGGTGCTGGGTTGGCAGTGCCTGCATGTCGGACTATCGGGAGCTGGTTTGGCAGCCTCTCTGTGTTGTTTCTCTGGGACCTAGTTGCCTGTCCCTGTATCTGTTGGGCACGGTTCCATGTCTTGTGCACGGCGTGCCCCCTGGGGTAGGGCGGTCGACGCCCTGATAGAATGTACGTCTGACGATGGTCTCAGCTACTGTCCTCCAGTGTACCTTCCGCTTCCTACTGTCCTCCAGTGTACCTTCCGCTTCCTACTGTCCTCCAGTGTACCTTCCGCTTCCTACTGTCCTCCAGTGTACCTTCCGCTTCCTACTGTCCTCCAGTGTACCTTCCGCTTCCTACTGTCCTCCAGTGTACCTTCCGCTTCCTACTGTCCTCCAGTGTACCTTCCGCTTCCTAAAGATGTACTTTGGTGAAATTCTGGCAAAAAACAGCCAAGAAACGGGGTTTCTGGTAGGCGAATATACGCATACGCATAAATATACCGTATACCAACTTCCCATATACGTATATGCGACATGCCTATTGGATTGGGATTGCAATAGAATATAGCCCCTAGGGCTGCTGAGCGAACCGTCGCAATAGACAGGTACCCAACGTTTTTTGGCAGTTTAAACACATTTCCTATTCAGAAATGTTAAATATAGCCAAGATGCTTAATCCGGTATTGATAACGTCCTCGCTACGAGCTCGTCGCTCGGCGTGATAGGGCCACTGACACCCTAATGTCCTCCTTCACGGGACACACGCACAGAACAGAACAGAGCGCCCAGTAGCGGGCTGTACGGCATGTACGAATCTCAGCGGGGTAACCGCCCTAACCGATTACATTAATTAACAGAGAAACTCATACGTAACGTGTCACGTTACAGTATGGCATGGAGACAATAATGGCTATCGTCCCCTGCAGTACACATATGGAGGTGCAAGCTCGCATATGCATTAACACAACGCATCCAACTGACAGAGGCACAAGTAAAGCGTGGGCCGTACGACCCCAGCCGAGTCATGCAGCAGCGCCTTGCACTACTGTTGCAAGGTGTATCAACCAAGCGGAAAGTGCAGTCGCAAGAGGACGTGGCAGGAATCAAAGTAAACTGGTAACACAGACTCATGGTCAGGTCAGCCCTTGCAGTTCGGCCGAACCGTCCATCATACACAGCGGCCCCCTGGCCCCGCCTCACCGGCCTCGCTTTCTCTTGGGGGTGGAGGCGAGACCAATGGTCTGCGAAGCTGACGGGAATCCCTTTGCAACACGCAGAGATTCTTGGGGCATCGCCCCCTCGAAGCCGCTTCACGGCGGGGGCTTCGCCCCCAAAACGTGTGGGTATGGTTAGCTAGGAATGTGAGAGGAGGCCGCGTCTAACCTTCGGCTTTCATGTGCCGAACACTAGACGTCCAGAAGGGTGGCAAAGGCTCTGCAAGCTTGGCCTAGAATTCCTCCCACACGGGATGGTGGACGTGTCCTCGCCAGCGCGGACTCGGTCTCGACAGGGACTGCTCACCAACATTTGTTGGTGTGGCATCCCACTTCTACTTCCCTATGGCCTTGCCCTAACTTGTGGTTTCCAATGGCACGGGTTGGTTTCTCTTCGACTCCCACACATGCATTCCTCCCGCACCCCTCCTTCAAGTGCTTCAAAGCTACTCACTCCGTCTTGCTAATTGCAGAGTTCAACTTCCTCCTACATCCTACCCACTTCCCGTCTGTGAACCCCTGATGCCTCCTGCAGCAGAGGTAGTTCCCACCGCTTTCCCTGATGGCATTCCTAACCTCGTTCCTTTTCTGAAACCCCAACCCCACCCAACAGAGCCCTGCTACCAGTTTGAGGGCGGGCAGCTCCAATGGGTCATTCACCGCCACACAACCCTGTAAGGGAAGGGTTAATACTCGCGGGGTTATTTTTCACTATCACCTGTCCAAAGCAGGCAATCCAGACCAGCAACCAACCGGATGCCAGAAGGAGTTGAAAGGGGGTCAGCGTACCCTATCAAGAAGGCGCATCATGCCTCTTCAAGCCCACCATCCATCTCCGCAGTTCCACCCCCTTACCGCACCAATGCCATGGTGCCTTTGCTCTTAATTGTACTCATATCATTTTCTACCCCGCCCACACCTGCAGTACTGTCCCTGTCATCACGGTTCCCACCCCCCGCATGGGGAAGCAGTGGTCCACGGCGAGCAGCAGCGGCCCGTCCCAGGGCCGCGGAGTGGGCGCCACCAGCGCCACCAGCGCCGCGCGAAGCTGCTCAACACCCAGCGGGGCAGCGTCGGGGGGGCTGCCTGCAGGGATCCAGAAGGGCGGTTAGGGCAAGCATCTGACCAGGCGGGTTAGGAACTGAAGCAATGCACCGCAAGACCCAAATCAGGAGCCTTGCGTGGGGATTCCGAAACTATATACAGAATTCTGTTTGGAGTTGAAGGGAAAGAGTTACCGGCTTGCAAACTTGGTTGAACGGCAGGGGTGGGTGGGTGGGTGACAAAGCCCCAACGACCCTTTGCATAAACTCTACTAACTGCACACCAAAGCCCGGAAACCCCTGGGAAGACGCGCACAGGATGTGGAAACCCATTTGGCTCGCCCCTTTAGGGGTGTAGTCTTAGTGTTCGGACAAAGTGGTCTGGACAAAGACGTTTTGTCCTATGGTACCGTGAACATGTCGCGAAAAGCATCCGGCAGCCAGCAACCAGTGTCAATAACCGACGGCAAGAAGAGGAACATGCGAGGGCGGGAGAAAAGCAGGAACACACGTGAGCGCCGCAACCTAACTATGCTGGACCTAACTAAAATGCAAGGCGAACTAGGAAACAGGCAGATATGGCAAACATTGCGCATGGGATGCCGTACTACAATGCAGAGATGCGCATGCCAGGGGAAGGAGGACTGGCGGGCGGGCTCCTAGTGAGCTCCCCACCGCACCAAGCCCCGAGTGCCACCATGCATCCGGGCACCAGGGGACGTGTGCAAAACCCATGGGCACAAGGCAATGATTAGGCAGTAGGCAAGTGGCAGGCACAGACGCCACTGCATTCTGTATTGCAGTGAGCCTCAGAGCGTGCGGCCTCTATCGTACAGGCATCGGCTAAGGAAAAGGTGTTGCACGGTCGGGGGGTAAGGAAACGCAAAAATATACCGCAAGCCCTAAATTCAGAGCGCTTTGCGGAGGGAGTACGATTCTGCTTTCCGTTGGCCAAAGTTAACTCGTTGTTAACCGCGGCAGGGGTTAGACTGAATGCAACGCCAGCGAGGGCCACGACGAGAAGAATGGAGCACAGCTACGTAAATAAAGCGAAAACATGTGGGCCAGTAGAATATGTATGCTGGCCGTAATGCCTCGCCGAGAAGTGTACGGCGCTCGGACCACGTGTCCGGTGACCCAATAGGCTGAAGCGGCGGGCTTTCGCTTGCAGCAAGTGTCAAAACGTTATGGTGGGTTAAAAGGACCCGGTTGGGTCATTGGCGCAGATCTTTGGGGTGGTTTGCGTGGGAATGGCTGGTTCATGCAGACCGAGGCTATGGCCAAAAGCGGTCTTTGAGAATACCAATTACATAAAATGAATAAAGGGCATAAAACTGATAAGATATAATGCTTTGTTTGGCTGTTTTAGCGGCGCGGCAGCACAGCGACGATTGGAATTCGCGAGGGCTGCCGTAACTGTACGGCAGCCGCACCGAAACCATCATGCGCTGCCGCAAAATTACTAATTTTGTTTACCTAGGGTTATAAGGAGCGGTGGCAATGAGCTGTCTTGCTGCCTGATGACTCCTTCATAGGCTCGCATAGCGGCAGCCACACACGCAGCCGTCACTAGTGATGCAGCTAGGAGGATTTCCTATGGTAGCTAGGTAGCTTGTCAGCGACAGCCTTCGTACACACAATACTGTAATACTATTTACATGTTTACCAGCAAGCCGATAACATGGCGTGACATGCATTTATATCCGACAAACATAAGCCACGCATAATACACGCATTGCTTGAAAATTGGGGGCGAGCCCTCGTGTCTGCGAAGCTAACGGGTTTGATGAGCACCACCATGTCCCAGGCCCTGCCTCCCATTCCCTGCGTGGCACATGCCTCATTGAGACACGGTACAGCTCTTACTGTGAGGTTGCCCATACCAGTTACAGACACTCATGCCGGCAGACGGCCGTGTTCCGCATCCCCGGGTACATGGGACCAGATGACTGACTAACCATGTTCCAAAGGCTCCCCATTACCTTCATAATCTACACGTCTAAATCGTCCAAATACACGTCCAAATGGAAGTCCCATTTGGGCTGCTGTGGTGCACAAGTGAAGTGTCAACGGCATGACTCATTGCAACCATAGCGTCCCCAGTCCTACATGTGAGAGGTTTGAAACGGAACAATCTAAAGCATTTACAGCTTTAATTCCAGGCCTTAACAGGTACACGTAAAATAGGCGTTTTCCCGGGCTTTTGGCGAAGTGCACAAGTTGTACGACATGCTTGCTGGTGGATGGGTGGTCCAGAAGCCTGTCCTTTTGGGAACGTATCAAGTGTTTCGTAAGAAATTGTTAACCGCTCACCCTTTGACCCGACGTCAAGATGGCTAAGTCACTCGGTTCGGCCAAGTGTAATAAAGGTTCCGCCATTGTGGCAGCTGCGGGACGCGGGAGATGTCAACTAAGAGCAGCATGGTAAACAGAAACCCCAGAAGTAGGTAAGTCTTCTTCCCGAACGAAGGGGCGAAGGCAAAGCATGTCTCATCTTTCAGTATTACTGCCGGTTATGCGCCAGCCGGACTCCATGGGCCATTTCCCACCTCTGCACACCGCTTTGCCCTGCTCTCACCCGGCTTTGCGGCCACAGGCAGCATGCTGGCCCCCGCGAACTTGGTGAGTGCAAAGGTCTGCCCCAGTCGCTTGGTGGCCCTCCGCATCGCCCGGGGTCGCTCCTCGGGGGGCTGCAGCAAGTCCACCTATTGGGTGGGGCGCCGGCGCGGGTCTTTTAAAGGGATGTGGTCTACCTCGCAAGGCCGGATAATGGAAGGGCGAAGTGGGGGGGGAGGTTAGGAAAGCTTTCCGCAAACCCCATGATGAGTCTTTCTGGAAGTTACCCTCGGGCCAACCCACCCACTTCGCAGTACCATTTTTCCCGTACATTTAAACTTACAATATGGATTGAGGAAGGCACCGATTCATCTATGCATCTTCGAGCATGCTTTGCTGACGGACACCGCTCCGTCCGCAAGTTAACCCCTAGAAACTTATACGGCAAAGGGGCGTGCGGTTGGGAAGGGCACCACTGCTCCTGTACCCCTATCTCTTCCACTTACCGGGAATGGAATGGTACATGAACACTGACACGCTTTAGGAATGCCATGGTCCTTGTTATTGGCCTGTCAAGAGGCTTAAGGAGGGAGTGCAAGGCTGGTAGGAGGAACACTCGCCCTCACGCAACTCCCTCCCATGCCCCCCGTTCAGCCCCCTTGTTTTGCCTCGCTTGTTTGTGGGATTGTGGCACCGTGCCGCCTCCTATTCCCATTGCTTTTTCCAAGCTTGTTGATCCCTATGGTTTGTTATACTTACCCTCCCTTGTTTAGCCGTTCTCTCTCTTCTCTATTCAAGGTACCCAGTACGGATCCAGAACCCCAAGCCCTCACTTATAAACACCCTACCCGCACACTGCAGTCAATGCTACTCTTCTTGTTAGTTTCAACACTTAGCTAACGCCCCATCGCCAACTTTCCACTGTCCTGTTACCTTGTTCAGCGCCACCAGCAAGCGGCTGGTTGCCACCTCCGCCACCACCAGACACTCGGCGGTTTGCGTCTGCATGCCTGTGCGCGGACGGAGGGTCGCAGTGGTGGTGAGGCGTAGCAGAGGGACAGGGGGTGGCGGCGGAGACATGGGGGCTCAAGCCCGACCTGCTTTCCGCAGCTCCATTCCCGTCCTATGAACTTCCGTCCGTAACATCAACAGTTCAACTCATCAAATGTCATGGACCATGGCGGGTCACCTTCGCCCAGCTTTGCATTGAGATAGGGCGTCATGCCATATCATCCCCCCTCTTTAGGTTTGGATTCGGTGCAGGAGTGCGGTTCCGATGGCCATCCGCCGGGTTGGGTTTCGGATCGGACAGGTTGGTTTTCTGCTCAGTCACTAGCCGTTCATAGGCTTCGGGAAGCTTTGCTGTGGAGTTCGCCCTCGGTTAGCTTTAGGAGTGCGCGGCGTCAGTTTTGGGGGGTTCGCCGGGGTCGTGTCCACGGGGACGTCCAGTTCGTTGACGGTAGCAAGCCGGGATGGGGATGCGTTGATTTGCTATCCACCTTCGTTGGAGCTCGCACGGACCGCCGCCAGGCTGAGCTATGTACGGCGGCACTTCTGTTTGTTGTTTACTCTAGTACCTCGGTTTCCTGTCGGTGTGCCAGGGATTGGGCTCCCTGTTTGCTGAAGGACCACCCAAGGGGGGGTACTCTCCTGTATTCCGGAGGCGTCGGCGCCGCCGCATGCTTGTGACTTCGTTGTAACGCACCAGCTTGGTTGCTGCTTGCACCCTCACTCGTCCGCTGCCCACTCCACCCGTCGGCACCCCCGTTCACCGCCTGCCCCCACCAAATTCCCTCATCCACCTTCCCCACCAGCCTGCCACCATCCCCACCTGTCATCCCAGCAACCCACCGCCGTTTCTGACACCCCCCATGTCTTGCCTAGCTGGCCCCTGTGTTCTCTGACACCCCTCCCGCACGCACCTCCCACCCTTCCCCATGGTCAAAATGGTTTTCACCCCGTTAGCATGCACTCACGCCCGCCTCTTATCACGCGCCCCATGCATGCCGTTGGCCCTTATTTATTAGGAGCAGAAATGGCGCTCTGACTTTTGGCCTTGCCCTGATTGACCGAAAAGTGCTTAAAGCGCAGCGAATGGGGTCCGACGTTTGCTTATAAGTAAGCGTAGTGACAAGACGTAATGGGTTGCAATTACTCTAAGCTCTGCCAAATCTTGGCCGGCCTTCGGCCGTTGGTCGAATGCCGTACGAAGCCGGTGAATGTTTTGACTGGGCCTGTTTACACAGGCGCCTCCTGGAAAGCCTACAGGGAATTCTTCTTTACCTGTTTGGGGCAAATTCACAAAGTGTCTGGGGCGCTGACTTTCGGTGCGGGATGGGGCCTTGACCAGCAGACAAGGGGGTTCAGCTTCCTAAAAGCTGGAAAAGGGCGGAGCCCCTCCTCTTCAGTACAGGAACGTATTATTACAACTGGAATGAATGCGGTTATTACAGGGGAGTGGAACGGGCCTTATAGACCTGGAATGCGCTCCTGTGACTCCACGGCACCAGTTGACCTAACACACCTGTTATACGGACGCTGAAACCCCTTGTTTACTGTAGTTTTAGTGCTCGTTGCATGGCTAGACGAGCTCAGAGCCCCTTGTCCAGCCGAGGCCGGCCGCCTTACTTGTTAACCCATAGCGTACATAGCGTCCTCACTCATTGCACACATTGTTAGGTTACGCCTGTTCAATCGAGCACTCAGTAACGTCTTATCATGCTTGATAACACCCACGCATTAGGCTACAGAACCCAAATCGGCGGCGTAACTGCCACATGGGAGTGCTTTCAGGGTCCCCCAGGTCGTTTAGGTTTCACCTACATTACTAACATGATGGGGAGGTCAGGCTCGGCAATCTCGGCATCGTGCTCAGAAGGACTTCAGCCATTGCGCCGTAACATCGCATGTTAGCTTATAGGCGAGGTACCCAGTACCCGTTTGCGTTACAGTTCATAGGCATTATGGCGCACAAACCAATAGCAAAGGCTTGCAACATCGTCACAAAGGATTGTGTGGGCTCTGAGTAGCACAGTAGATGCGAGCATGCTCCCGCCGGCTTTCACAAGTAGCCATTTGCCGGCACGCCGCTGTTACCAATTCACTAAATACTGTTTACGGTACCAGGACACACCATAGAGGAGCGCTAATCGATGTTGCCGAGGGGGTCCTTTTCGATGGCTGGTCAATAAATTGTTTATTGCGAAATCAAGTTTGTTTGGCTTCCAGTTATTATTACTGAATAATAACTGAATAAATTTTTACTGAATACCGATAACAAATATCTAATAGGTGCAATTGATAGTTTCGTCTAGTTTATATGTTTTGACGTTACGGGCACACGGACAGGGGCAATCTGGGAGGGCGAAGCCCCCCCGAAGCCGCTTCGCGGCGGGGGCTCCGCCCAAAAACAATGGAAATGGAAATGTGCCTAAGAAGCCGGTTCTGTACATGCGCAGAATGGTGACATTTGGCTTTGGACGTCCGGGTTTGCTACCCAGAAATTGAACTGGGCATTGGCGGCTCATGCGCGTACGCTTCCTTAAAGCGCACCATGCGGCTGTTCTTGACCCACATGAGCTGATAAGCGGTAATCTAATTAGGCTCTTGTAGGGCCTGATGCATTTGAGTAGTTCTTCCTGGTAACAAGACAGAACCTTGGCTTCTCCGTGCATGTGCTTCCTACATCCCCAAACAGCTGTCACGCACCCTGTCCACGTTTTCGGGTGTCCTTTTACCTTGAGGTAGTGTAATTTAGGGCCCTTCCCTAACCAGCAGGGCCGCAAACAGACATTCAAGGCTGCATTGTCTCTTGGGCGCCCCTTTCCCATATATTTTTGGTTAAACCGGGTGGGGAGGTAAGGAAACGCGAGGACAAACCCCATGATTCAAAACTAAAGAGCTCGTTAGGAGCATTCCAAATATGCTTCAAAATTTATTTAGGGTTGTACGGAAAAAGTTATCTGCACCCAAAGGGGACTGTACGGCAGGGTGGGTGGGTGGGTGGGGTCTGGGGGTCCAATGGGTTTTTCCCGAGGAATTCCTAAATTTTCCCTGGCGTTGCCAAACTCAAAATATTTATACGATAAGTATACTGCAAGCGATAAGCATACTGCAAACAGTCCTTCAACGTATTTTTGCCTCTTCCTGATGTGGTTTGGGCATGGCATGATGACATGACCACGCATGGTAGGTCAGAGAGATACCAAAACACGCATGGGTAGGTGGGGGGCAGGCAGAGTGCGAGTCCGGGTGCCCCACTTAGGGTAATCACCCCCAGGTGGTCTGCCCAAGCAAGCACAAGGTGGCCGGGAAAGGCATCTCCGGGGTGGGGTTAAGGGAGAACGGGGCAGGTCTCTCGGCAGCAGTTGCGTCACCAGTGCCAGCCGCGGCAGGTCGTCTAAGCCCTGGTAATTCTTGCTGGGAATTGCTGGTATTGGCAGCAGTGTGTGCAGTTGAGTAGGACAAGAGCAAGCAATGGGGAGAGGTTCGCATGTGAACCGCGAGTACAGGCAAAAACAGAGGTGACCAAACCTGAACCGTAATTCAAAAACTGCTTAAATAGCTGTTGCTGGATGTAAGAAGAGTGGCGGGTGACGAGTGACGACGCATGTCGGTGATGCTGATGGTTGTCGGAAAACTAAAATACTACCGAGAACGAAAGCCCGCTGACCAACTCGACGCCGGGAGCCCCCGCTCTGGTCACGCAGACGAGACACCACAATGCTGGCAGCAGTGTGTGCGTGTAAGGCTAGTGTACAACGGTACACCCGTTGCTCTCGATAGGGTTAGATGGCGTGACCATGGCATGGCGCGACCATGGCATGACTTAGTAGGTGCAAGCTCAACAAGTTGTATACACAGAAAGAGGACACTGAAAGGAATCCATTGGTCTTTTCGGCGTTATTTGGGCGTACGGCAACATGAGAAAATAGCTGTTATGTTCGAAGTTCTGTAGGGTGGGTGGGTGGGTCCGGGAGGGGTCGCCACCAAAACTTCATTATGGGGTTTACCAAAGAAAAAATGTGCCCCACTTGGTTCAACATACAAGAAACAGCCTATCCAGTTGGAAATAAAGATTGTGGTGTAACGTTTACAAAAGGCTGGTTTCACCGTGGTTCCATAGTCCATAGAAACCGGTCACCTAAAGGCACGTAATGTAAGCATTAGGATTGCTTAGGCTTGCTTTCGCTAAGTTCCCATAGAAACACCCCAGTAGGCCTCTTGAGTTGCGCGTTCCTAGAACAGGTCTCCATATGACCTCACTGCATGAGTCGGGATATGTGACTGAGCTCCGGTTGCTTCACTTTTTATCCCCCCTTCACCTTTTGTGACATCCACGACCAGCAGGGCCATGTCGATAATCTGCGCTCCGCTGATGATGGTGCGGATGAGTGAGGCGTGGCCCGGGCAGTCCACCAGCGTCACCTGCAGCCCACAGCGGAGGGAGATGTCGGGCCGAGGGGCGGGGGAGGGAGAGCTTCTTACCAACTGCGCTTCCTTCATTCCTCAGGTTTCCCTTACTCTTCGTTTTATACCTGCAGCTCATCGTACGGCAGGTGCGCCAAGTGGGGCGGTAGGGGCACCTGGGGAAGGGAAGGGAGACAGGGAGGGAGGATACGGAAAGAAATACAAACGAACCGCCCAAAGCCATTTGCACAGTACCAGACCTGTTAAACATGATGCGACAAGAGTCGGTGGGGTTGGCATGGGAAATTGCTGACAAGTGGCTGAAGAGGGGCAGGCTGAAAAGGTTTGGAAGTGTTTAGCTATACAGAGAAAGAAGCAGGAGCTACATTGTGTCACGGCGACTTACTGCCTCTGCGGGACACTAAGGGGTTGGACCGATACCTGCTACTTTCCTGCCAAAAAGCAGGCAGAGAGAAGGATGTCACTCCTCACCCTCCCGAACACCTCTGCAAAATGAATCGCACATTCTAAACATACCGTGAATGCCGAAAATCCCAGGTCCAGCGTTATGCCACGCTCCTTGCTTTGCGGATGTTTGTCGAGAGCCGCTGTTGAAAGTTGAGCCGATAGGGCAGCCACTGTGGGTAAAAAAGGCAATAAATGCACCCAAAATGCAACGAAGTTGTTTCGAAGCCGCAAGGCAAGGAATGCTTCAAATGCAAATGCATTTGACATCAGCGACCTCTTTTTGGTAAAGGAACCCAACCCATCATTTACCTAAACTTGTTTTTCCAGAATCCACATGACCTAGCACGCCAACATTGACGTTCAGAACTCGCTTACTCCTCTCCTCCTCGGCCATGCGTCAGGATAAAGGGCTACCGGGCTTCCCTTTACCTTGAATAAGCTTTAGGCCGAGCCGCCACAGGTTAACTGGCCAGCGCATTCGCAAACGATGCCGTCAAAAAGGTTGCCGTCAGGACAATTGCGCCCGTACGGAGTTTCGCCCTTGCACGTGGACGTTTGCAAACGGTAAAAGCATCTTTCTAAAACAACGTTTTACTGGCTAGCAAACTAGCTCAGCTGGTTAGGCTAGCTTCCTCGCTTTCTTGGAAGCTGTCAACTGAGCAATCGAGCCGCACCTACACTTTGCTGCGTCTTTTAGCTCTTTCCTACAAGAATTGTATTTGGGTTTTGTCCTAGGACGTTACTCAATACTGAACAAAGTAGACTGAGAGGCAGAAGCCGCACAAGGGCGTCATGCGAGTGCATTCGGGAGCGGACACGCTGTTTTCGCAAAGCTTACGCATCCAGTGATACTTACAATCCCATGAAGTCGCGCATAAAAGTTCCACCCCATCATATATGGCAATGAGCTGTGCACGCGCCGCGCGCACACACCGTCCCTCCCGTAAGGAAAAGCCACAAGCCGTCATCCACACAATAAAGTACCATGGCAAATCCTCCTTCTGCGGCATTGGATAACAGCGCCACAGCTGGTCCTTTAGACAGAGACAGGGCAGCCGCTGCCAGCGTAGCCGAGCGCTTAGAGGGCTTTAGCGATCTTGTGCGCGCCGCATTGCATTGCGGTCCGCGGGTCGGGACGGATGTTGTTGGGGGAGACGGTGTCGAGCGCATCCAGATTCCGGCCCCTTCCAGCCAATTAGTTAAGCTATCTAGGCTCCGATGGCCCATGGAGTTGTCTCAGCTATACGACCCGACCGTGCCGTCGAGTCCAGATGAAGCGGTTCGTGGCCGGTATGGGCGGAACGCAGTCAAAATGGAAGGGGTACGGCGATGCCTTGCGCAGCTCTTGCTTACGGGGCGCCTACCGGGCCATGTCATGCCGAGATTCGGCAACGACATTGGAGCCGAGTGGCCACCTCACCGGTCAGCGCCGCCTTTCCCTGCTTCCCAACGGGGGCGTAGCTTCTCATTCCCTCTCACTCGGAAGCCTCAGCTCTTAAAGCCAGGTTACAGCTGCTAGCAGACTTTAAGTGGGTAGCTGTGGCCGTCTGCATGCAGCCTGCCAAGCCCCCCAGCTCACAGGCGGAGCCCAGCTCGCAACTTGCCCACTGCTCACAGCCAGCACTCAGCTCACAGCCAGTGCCCTGCTCACAGCCAGATCGCCCTACTCCACCGCGCAAACGGGGGGAACAGTCGCAGCAGAAGCTATCCAAGCCGGCCGGCATGTGGTGAGTAGGGCAGATCGCACACCTGCATCTTTGAGAGCCTTGATGACCACTGCTTAACCCGCGCCTCCCTTCCTTCCGCTTCATCTCTTCCCTTTGAAACTGAGTCCTAACCGGTTCTGGGCTTGGCGCTTGCTGTCCGGGCGGCTGGAAGCCTGGGAGGCGCCGGTGAAGCCCCAGGAGACGCGACGGTGTAGCTCTCGGGCAGGGCAGGGATGCATGCGTACATCACCGCGGTAAACGGGCACAATGGGTCTGCGTACCCGCATGGCAGCCGGTTATCGGGCATGATGAGTATGCGTACATGTATCGGTGCCAGTGTATGGGGCGGGTGGTTATGAATTCAGAATCGGCGCTGATGCGCGGATGGGTGCCATGGAGATGGATGGGAGAAGGGGGATCTTGCACGCACGGGGCAGAACGACTGGATGTCTGCATGCATGAGCGCCGAAAGCCAAGAGAGGCGGGGATGCATGTGCATGTGGGTGTCAGTAACTAGCAGGGCAGGGATGCCTGCACGCATGGGCGGCATTCGTTGAGCAAGGCGATGGCTGCACGCGCGGGAAGCCATTACTTTGGTATTGTGGCCCTGCTGTGTTGCTGATCCGGAGGTCCCCGCCTTGTTGTTGGCCAGTGCGGGGACTGCATGGGCGCGCCGGGTTTTGGTCGGGGCTTGTGGGCGCCGGTGTTCAGCAGCGCGAGTATGCCTGCACATGCAGGCGCCGGTAGTTAAACAGTGCGTGGACGGATGCCTCCCTCTGCCCTAACCCGTGCGGCGCCCCTGCAGCTCACCTGCGTCGCCCCGTGCTTTGCTTGGCTTCCAATGCCCTTTCCCGTGCATCTGCTCTTCCTCGTGCGGCCCTGCCTCTCCCCGTCATTGCCCGTTCCTCGAATTAACTGAACGGATGAGCGGCCGCTACATTGGTGGTTTTTTGGCGGCTGCCTACCCCTGTCCTTCCATGTCAGGCGTCTGCCTGCCCTTGCCCTTCCCCTTGCATTGCCTGCCCCTCTTTGCCATCTTCTCTGTGCGGCCGCCCTTCCCCCCGCAGCACCTGCCTCCCACTGCCCTTCCCCGTGTGGCGCCGCGAGTGCGGCCTCCCTACCAGCAGTCATGGGAGCTGTCATGGCAGGATGAGAGGATGTCTGCCCGCTTGAGCACAGACAGCTGGAAAGGTAAGCATGCGCATGTGACTGGCACGGCATGTACGGCCGTCACCCGGCTTTGCAGCATGTATAGACGTTTGTAGCCATGAATTACCGCAGGGTTTGTTGCCAACTAAGATGCTGTCACAGTTGCTTTACTTGCTTGGGCTTCAGGAGTAGGCGAGTAGCGGATCCCGAGCGTGTTGCGTGCGTGTACGCCACATCCCGTCGTTAAGCATTGGACAGGCCTTCACCTTCTAGTGTGCACGTAGATCCGTTGCTTTCAAGAGGACAAGTATTCTTCCAAGCCCTTCCCTGTGCGTCGCCCGTTTTGCACTCCACCACCTACCGGTATGTGCCTGCGTTTTTCTTTGGCTTCCACAAGCTTCCTACCCGTCTAGCAGCCCTGGCGACAATCGCTGCCATTCCTTTTGTGCTTTAAGCATCCTCGCGCCCTACATGCATGCGTGCAACCGCATCTCCTCGATATCACCTCCCTCCCGCGAGCTACGGGCAGCTCCCGCCGAAGGCGGGCCTTACTAGTATTTATTTGCTCAAGGTTGGGGCCTGTGAGTACGTGAGCTGGCCGTGTCATCGCCTACAGCGACCCACGGTCCCTTTTTGGTACGGTACACAAAGCCTGTATCTCTAGGAGTTAATAAAGGCCTCCTCAATTACAACAGGTTTGTTAGACTGGACAGAGGGCTGATCGCTTAATCACCTTCTGTGTCAGCTCCGATGCAGCACCAGGTCTCGGCTTTAGATGTGGTTGTTACTTAACAAAACTGCATACGGTACTGTAAAGTCTCTAAAGTCATAATATGCATTTTGGGTGCTCAACGGGTGCGGAAACAATTCAAAAGCTCGTCGGTACGGCACGCTTCGCAATCTTTGCGAAATGTCCACGCTAGGTTGAGCATGCCGCTGGCGTGGAGGGAGTGTATTTGGTTGTCAACGGGGCCAAAGTACTGCTGCACAAGCGGCCCGACGTGCTGAGATGCCTGCCCGCATCCAGCGTAGTGGCTTAGCTTCGTGACAGCGTCCATGGAAACGCCAAGACGGTAAGCGGGCGAGGGTGTGGGTTGGGGTGTCGCCGCCGGATCAGCGCCTGCCCCGCATAGAAAAGGGCCGGGCTCGGGATTAGGGCAAGGACCACAACCACAATACATTAAGTGTTGACCCATGGGTCGGAGCCAGGGGGGGGTTCCATACACGTTAACAGGAGACGCTACGAGATAACGCAAGGAAGCACGTCCTCTTTGCAGCGGACACACCTGCGTCTTCGGTTGGCGGGCGTGCGCAAATAGGACAATCCGCGAAGGGCCCAGTGTCCATGCCCTCGACGCCCAAAGAGGTGTAGCTGTCGAATCCGTGGCTGACGCGGAGGTAGGCGAAGAAGGAGTTGCTGAACTGGCGGTCGTTTACCGCCGCCTCGTCCAGGCCGTTAATTTCGCACAGGTACTCCACGAAAAACCTGGTGGTTTTGTGTGGTGGATTGCCCACGTTAGTCGCTATATGGGCCGTTGGACACGTGACTGTAGTTGATCTATGCATACAGGCTCGAGAACTTCTACCAGATGTGGGATGCCAGGCATAGCAAAGCTTAACTATATGCGTACCTGTGATGCTGAGGCCATCATTAAGCCCCAGGATGCTGTACGCAAAATGGACGTCTAGGTCGTACCATGCGTGCGGGTCCGTTGGCGAGCTGTTGAAACAGCCAGCTTGGATGGCCGATGGTGTGAAGCAGCTGGAGCACCCACGGCATGTTACCGTTGGGATGCGGATGTCGCCATAAGTATGGAGCCCTACATAGCATACGCTGGACTGCGTTTCGTCGAAATTGCGGTCATGCGACACGCAGTTGTGACTTGAACACCAGCTGTCGCAAACAGCGGTGACTCGTTGTTGCACATGCTGAAGCAAGAGCGACCGCAGCTCTTGCTTTTGCAGCGCCCGCTGGTGTGCGCCCGCTGTAAGCTGCTGACGCATCTCTTCATGCCTAGACGCCCATGCGTCCTCAGCGGTCTGTACCCTGACTTGCCAAGCCCCATGGTCGTGGGGCTCATGACCCCGTCCGGAAGTTGATGGACCGTCGGAGTCGGAAATATTTTGCTCATGCTTTGCACGTTTAACTCTCTGCCCTCGCCTCCAGGGAACAAGCTGCCCGGTGCGGGGTTGGCGAACTTGCGGCTGTTGAGGAGGTACTCGTGGTGCTGCCACTGAGGGTACTGGAGTAATGCAGTCTGGGAGTCGCCTTAGCCGCTTGTCCTTCGTCATATTCCGCTAGGCTTAAGATTGACCGAATAACGCAAACGTAGCCAACGAGAACGCCTGGTCAATGCTGACGGTCCGGCAAGTACTAAGGTATCCTATCGCGAAAAAACGCTTAACTAGTCCCTAGTGCCTTGTCGCAATTTCGTGGGGCGTTCTAGTTTCTATGGGGAGGTGTAAGGCAAACGGTTCGGCAGTTAAGGCAAAATGACGACAGATTTGGCAAGCTAGCATAAGTCGGATACCAAAATGGATGAAATCCTACTGCTATTAGTTAATTAGTATGGTGCAGAGCACAGTAAACGTAGGAGCAACGGGGAAGTATGAATGGGATACGAAGTAGTATGTTATATCAGCATATGTGGCATTCAACTAAGAGTGCTGTCGCTGTATAAGTCGTATCCCACTATAAGTGGGAGTCGGTATTTGGTCAACCGCGGACATATCTTTTCTCGCAATCCCACTATAAGTGGGATTCCACCTAAAGTATGATCCCACCTCGAGTATGACAAGTTACCGGGAGACTTAGCTGCTACGCTAGTTTGCCAGATATACACCATAAGAAAAAGCTTTAAGTGCAGACAGCAAAATAGTAGTTTAATCAGCGTTTTGAGGTGGTTACACTTTCCTGTGCCGCAGCTCCTGTGCCGCCAGTGCGAGGTAGGCGGGCGTGCAAGGGCGAAACTCCGTACGGGCGCAATTGTCCTGACGGTAAGGGTCCATTCATATATGAAGGAGGTACTTTTGGGTGAGGGTGCGTGAATGAGTGGGAAAAACTCAATTTGCGTTCACATTGGTCGGGCGTACAGAGGCCGCGCAAAGCTTTCTATGAGAAATTAGTATATCGAGAACAAGAATATGCAGTCGCGAAGTCTAGGAAAGCAACCAAAGTATGCGCTTGGCATAGGATTGCTAGTTGGCAGGGGGGGCCTGCTCACGAGTTTCTTCACTCAACTTCACTCATGATTCACTCATGTTTCACCTATGGAATTGTTTTTTGAACTCAGGCGTTGTTAAAAATAATTCCCAAAATTACAATGTGAACAATTTTCCCCTACGCGCTCCTACGCACTCATTCCCAAAATCACTCGTATGTGAATGGACCCTAACGTCTGTCACGGCAGGTGTGCTTAGCGCAAATGCAAGCAGGCATCGCAAAGCAAGCGCCACTCATTAGGCTTATGCTCAGTGTAAGGGCGGGGGGGGGCGGGCCATGTACGTTTTTGCACCTGAGGCGAACCGCCCATTGAGCGGCGAACCGCTGGGGCCCGGCATAACTACACCATCGCGTCAAAGTATACATGACACGGCATAAAGGCAACCGGTGGTTTCCTTTCCCTCACTGGCGCGAGTTGAGCAGTCGAATACTGGATTCCAAAAAATGATAACACCCTCGGGGTGGGGACCAAAGGAGTCCTCGGCTTTCACCTACGAATCACCGCGCTGCCACAGCACTATCACATTTATATGCTTTCGCTAAAGCACGCCACTTCTTCTTTTCCCCCATGGTGGCAACCGTCTAGTCCAGCCTCCAAGCCCTTTCCGCTTCCGCTTATCGCGGACCAGACAGCCGCCCAGCGTCGCCACAAGTGCCCGCCTCCTTCCTAACCCGTTCAGCTGATGCTGACGGTTGCTGTGGGTCATGGCCCAGGCTTTGGGGTTTCTTATACCTACTCCCCCTCCCCTCCAGCCCGCCGCTTCACGTCAGCTTGTCATCCTTGGGCGGCGCCAGCTCCTCCCCTGCCGCCAGCTCCGCTCCGTCCGCCTTCTCCCGCTCCGCGTATATGGCTGATGCCACCTCAGTGAGGATGATGTCGGGGTCCCACGGCTCGTCAGCCTCCTGCACCTGAGGGGGGAGGGTGGGAGTGGGGTAGGGGCTGGTGCTGGAGCGGGAAGTGAGGTTTAGACAGTAAGGGCAGCGTCAGAAACAGCTAGATTAGATGGAAACCGCTTCCATCCTCTCATGCTGGGAAAGCAAGGGAGGGTGCGCGGGTTTCAAGGCCCTGATGTGGCCTACCGATACCTCCAGAGGACCTAGGCCCCTGGAGAGACACGTGCCCAGCTGCTATGCGGAGAGCCTGAGCCCGCTGCCCCACGTCTTCCAACGCTGCTTTACTATTACGGGGCGCCACCCCGTCGCACCGCCCACGCACCACGCATGGTCCTACATGAATCCGCGTGTTTTCGCTCTTACCCTCCTCCCCCCGCATGCAGGGGTGCCGTCGTGGTCCGGCAGGGGTTCTTGGTTGTTCGTCGGGTTTGCCGGCGTCCGCGGTCTGTAACTGTTTCAGTTGTTCATGCGAGCCCCTGCATCTTGTCCCCTCCGACCAATGCACCCACTTGCCTCCAACCCCCCCCCCCAGCAAACAACACAACACTTTGTCTTGTGGCGCCCTGCCAACTCCTACCCTCATTGCTTTGCCCTAACTTGTGGTCTCCTATGGTTTGGTATGGTTTTTGACCCCCCCCCCCCAACAGCCTCCTCCATCTTCACATCTCATAACCCGCATCCCCCACCACGCACGTATTGCCTTGCACCTCCGCCTGCACCACAGGGCTGGCTACACTGCGGTGGCCTCCTCCGTGTTTCGTAGGGTAGTGGGGATCTGTTCTACTTACAGACCGAATTTTACGTCACCATGCATCTGCCCCACTACCCATTGCTTGTCTTGCCTGGCTGGTCCCTTGTTTTCTAACACCCCTCCCGCCCGCTGTCATTACTCTTGCCCTTGCCCTTATTGCCGTAGTTCGCCTCCGTCAGCTGCATGCTTTGTTTAGTATACCTTACATTGTGTTTGATCCCTCGTCCTCATCCTACCGCCTCCCGTGTTGCCCATTGTGCTCGTACACTTGCATCCCGACCTATATTTATTTCCCAATGCAATTCCACAACCCTATCACCCATACCCACAGCGCGCGGTCTAGGTTGTGCCGTCGCGTGTTCTATATGTATTTTTGGTTCTTCCCTGTTACAGTGACTTCTTCCGTCTTTCGCTGTTCCTTCCCCAGTACTACTACCAATGTTTCTTCCATTCACCCTTCCCGCATGTCTCGTTCATGGCTGGCCTCGCTCTGGATTGGTCCCTGGACATGGCGGCTTGCCCATGACGTGGTTCCCGGTGCACATACCTTTGTGCGCCCAGGTACGTGTCTTCTCTTGTGTCTGTCACTGTACTACGTGCTCGTGTTGTGCTGTTCCAGTTGTTTGTTTGTGCCCGACGGCGCGGTGGGCCTCCAGCTCACCTTCAGCCGCGTCCACGCACGCCCGCGACTATGGTAAGGTTGCTCCGTAATTGGTAAGCTAGGTAAGTTTAGCTCGCAATGCTTCAACCACCAGTTCGGCTCGACTTACGGATTTCCTATCGGGGCTTGTCAGCTATAGTTTACCACTATTATGCCACACATTGGAATTTCTTCTTTTCCCCCTGCTCCCACTGCTCGCCCACCCTCCGCCCCGCCGCTCCATGGGGCCCTACCCGTGCCCGCCTCCTTGCCCACCCATTCCACCTGCTCCCTGCACACCTCTCCCAGCCTCTGTTGCCTTGTCCTCACCTGTGTTTTCAAAAAAGATCGGCAGGGTCTTTTTGACCCCTCGCAGCCCGTTCGGATTGCTCGCGTATCCCCCTCCCTGCCTGCCTACCTGTTCCGACGAGCACAGCACCGCGGTGAGCAGCGACAAGTCGATGTCCCGGTCGTCCGTGGCGGGCAGCTTGTAGTGCATGTCCTCTTCCAGCTCGTCCATTCCCTGAACTTTGTTGGTGCGAACCTTCGGGGCCTCAGCTACCTAGATGCGGCGGCGGTTTAGGGAGCGGGTGGGTGCGCAGGTGCAAGAGGAAAGGGAAGGAGGGAAACAGCGGGTGTTAGGGTGGGGACAGAGGCGCCCATGGCTACAATAGCTCCGGGCGGAGCATGCTATGGCCGTTATACGATGCAGTACCGACAAGGAACGCCATGCGTATCATACACTTGGGATCGTGCTTGGTTGCGGCCGAACTATGAGATGCCCATTGCATGCGGTTTTCCATGTAAGCCTGTAAGCCACGCCAACCCTCCGGCATGCAAACCACCACGCTGCTACTCCAACCAAAGGGCTGCCGGGTGGTTATTTCCAAGCACAATCGCACGCGGCACTGGGAATTAAGCCGTTACCCTCACACCCTGCGGCCCGTGCAGTGCACCGGCCCACCGCACGCCCACCGCGCCAACGTACCACATTGGACAGGTCCTCCCGGCCCTCATCCTCCAGCTCCGGTATCTCCATAATGCCGTCAACCCCCGTGGTCATGGCTTCGTACTTGAGGTTCTTGCGACTGACCTCGTCATCACCACGCGCCAGCTGCTCCTGCTTGCGCCGCGACACGCCCACGAACTTCTTGCTGCTGTCGTCGCCCAGGATGTCGACGGAGGGCGCCTTGGAGGAAGGAGGCCCGGGCCGTTGCGAGGGAGGTGTGTCGCCGCGGGCATCCCCTGTTCGGCCTCGGGATAAAGTGCCGGAGGAGGGCTCCTCGTCTTGCGCTGGGGGCTGCGGTGAGGTAATGCTGCCACTGGGGGCAAGCCGGCCCAAGTCCTCAGTGCCGAATCTGGTATCCCGGGCCGGTGGTGAAGGGCCTGTCCCGAACTCGGTGTCAAGTCCGAAGCCACCCTGCACGTGGGAGCAGGCAGACCGCCTGTCAGCTAAGAAATGGACATAGAAACCTCGTACCGCGTCCTCCGAATAAGCTGACCTTCTGAGGCTCCGGTGGCGTCCCTGAGTCATCTCCCCATGTGTTTACGTTACGAGCTGCACGACGGCCTGCCTTGGGTGCCGCCTGCCATATTAGTGGAAAGAAATGGATCGGAATTCGGGTTGCACGCCCCAGTTTACAGAATGCGTACCCGCGGGGCTTCCTCGTCCATGGCGCTAGGCTAGAAAATTATTAGGCCCCGTTTATCGCATCGGAACGTATAGCTAAGGGAGACGGACGGTCAACCAAGAAGTAAAGGACTGGTTTCCTGATCTGCAGCAATATAAAGTAGCATGGAGAGCTTTCTATTATGCCTGTACATAACGTGTTTAGAGCCATCTTGCTCCTCCCAAGTCCCAACTTGCGATCACCTCGTACGGCAGCGCTCTTGTCAGCGCTTAGCGGGCAATTTTCTCCTTCTACAAGGCATAATATGGGTACGCACACGGCCCTCTTAAGCTTGCACGCGGCTTGTAGCGCCGATGTATCCACGGTGACTGTGTCAACGGAATCCACTTGCGCTCATTCGCGCATTTCGCTGAAGGTGCTTATGGGCTGGTCTCGCTTGTAAGCAGTCAAAAGGATAGCAGCGACGCGCTCCCTATTTTTTTATAGTCACAGTCCAACGGCAATGCTTTCCAGAGGGCGTCCCCTTCAGGGCGCCCTAGCGGCGCTGCTAGGTTGCGCACGCAGCACGGCGGCGCTGGATGGACCCCTTCTTGTTGCGACCATGGAGGATCTCATCTCCGCTGGGCGGTACATCACCGGCAGCTCCTTATCCGATGATGACGATAAGGCTGGTCGCCCTACCACACCCTGGGTGCGCCAGGTCATTAGCGGTGTGGACCTGATGCGGCACCCCAAGTACAACAAGGGTCTCGGTGAGGGGGGTATCGCTTACAGGGGCAGCTAGGGTGGAGGCGGTAGCCATCTGTTAGCAAGCATGCGGCTACAACCGTTTCAACCGCTTTGGACAAATCGCTAGTACCCACATCCAAAACACTCCTACCCCGACAGACCGCCTCCTTTTTCCCCGTTTCCTAAAACGATCGCCCGACAACTTAGGCCCATTCACCACTTACCACCAACCCTTCTTCCTCCACCCCCTTAGCCAAAGCCTCAGTCCTAGCGGTTAATGGTTTCCCCTTACATCCATCCCCCTCCTCCCATTTCCTCCCTCCCTGCTGAAGTCTTATCGAACAGCCAGATCCTTTCCTCTCTCCTCCCCCTTCCCACTACCCCCTCTCTTCCCCCTCTCACCCCCCTCTCCCTCTCCCGCCAGCCTTCTCCGACTCCGAGCGCGACCGGCTGTACCTGCGCGGCCTGCTGCCCCCCGCCGTGCTCAGCCAGGAGGTGCAGCTGGAGCGAACGCTGCTCAACATCCGAAGCAAGGAGAGCGACCTGGACAAGAGCACCTACCTGCAGGCGAGTTGGGGGGGGGGGGTCAAAGACCGTAGCAAACCATAGGAAACGACAAGGTAGGGCAAAGAATTTGGGATAGGGGGCGGCAGGGTGCCACAAAAACAAGTGAGGGCAGGAGCGGGTCGAGCTCCAGGTGGGGGGCCGGGCTGCTGAGGAGAGGAGGAGGAAGAGAAAGGAGAGGGGTTGGGTATGAAGGATATGCGCACTTAGACGCAGGTGCGGGAGAGGGTGGATGGAGAGGCAGAGAAAAGGAGGCAGAGGGGAAACGAAAAGGACGCGGGATGACGAGGCCCGGCTGGGCCCTTACTTATGAACGTCTTACAGTAAGCAGCACGCTGCCGAATCCCGCTACCTTTCCCCTCCTCCCCCTTTTCCCTTCCTCCTCCAGAGGCCACCCCACCTCCCGGGTCCGCACGGACGCAACGAGCGACTGTCGCACCGCCCTTCTCCTTATCATGATCCCCATAAACCTATTCCCTCCCTCACCCACCCACCCTCCCTGACCAAGAGTCCCCACTACCAATCACGGCATTGCAATTTCTTGTATGTCCTTACCCTATTACCCTATGTATCTATCCTCCCGCCCCTCTCCTCGCTCTCCTATTTTCAACCCCTCCCTTCCCCTCTCGTTTACCAACAACAATCAACACATTGGGTCTTACTCTTTTCTCCCCCCTCCCCCCTTCCCCCCAGGGTCTGCAGGAGCGCAACGAGCGGCTGTTCCACCGGGTGCTGCTGGAGGCGCTGGAGGAGCTGCTGCCGGTGGTGTACACGCCCACGGTGCGGCTGGCCTGCCAGAAGTACGGCCTCATGTTCAAGAGCCTGCCGCGCGGGCTGTTCATCACGCTGGAGGACCGGGGCCGCGTGTTCCGCATCCTCAAGAACTGGCCGGAGCGCAACGTGAAGCTGCTGGTGGTGTCGGACGGGGAGCGAGTGGGGGACCTGGGGGATCTGGGGGTGCAGGTGAGGGGAGGGAGGGAGGGAGGGAGGGAGGGAACACGCTTGGGACGCTTAGCTTGGAAACTGATCCCCACCACCACCACCTCCATACGGTGCTACGGTCACAGTCAGAGTAAAGCTAACCACCACCTCCCCGATCCTCCCTATCCCCACCCCACCTGGACTCAGAGGCTTTCCCGGCTTGTGTTCATTGTCCTGAACACCGCAACACTGCCTTGCTCCCTCCCCTGCGCCCCCCCTGCCCCAGGCGGTGGGTGTGCCCATCTCCAAGATCTCCCTCTACACCGCGTGCGGCGGCATCCCGCCCTCCCTCACCATGCCCGTCATGGTGGATGTGGGCACGGACAACGAGGAGCTGCTGAGGAGCCCGTTCTACGTGGGCGTACGACACAGGTGGGGCGGAGGGGGTCAGGGGGCAGGGCAGGGCAGGAGAGGAGGAATGCCGTGTCTGGCCGTGCTGTGAACGAAGAGGGAGGGGGGGTACAGGAAGGAGGAACATGCAGGGCCAGGCACAGGCAGGGGGCACCCACGCTGCAACGGCTGTCTCCGGATCCATCACGCTACGAAACCACATGCTTGAGAGTTGCGACCTGGGCTCTTATGACGTCGCTCGCGTGTACACTGCACGTACCCACGCACATCTCTGCTGCATCCCTTAGCCCGCGGTGGTGCTGCCTGTGTGGGCCGAGTAGCGTGCCTCCCCTTCCGCCGGCCTCACATGTCTCGCCCCCCTCCTACCTTGCTGCTGCTGCTGCACCACTACCATCATTCACTGTCCACTCCCTCTCGCCACCCCCAGCCTATCGCCCGTTTCGAACAACCCACTGCACACACTAAACCCCGCCCTCCCGCCCCCCTCCCCCGCCTCCCCCTCCCGCCTTATCCCTCAGTCAGTTAGTTGTTTCCTCTTTTCCCCCTCCCCCTTGCACCCCCCCAGGCGTGTGCGCGGCGACCCCTACTACGAGCTGATGGACGAGTTCCTGACCGCCGTCAAGAGGCGCTTCGGGAACACCGTGCTGGTGCAGGTGGGGGCGGATGGGGGGGAGGGGAGGGGAGGGGGCGAACTAACTAACCGTGGGGCACGGGGTGGGGGCGGAGGTGGTCTTGGTGGTGCAGAGGGGGAAGGAGGATGCTCTACAGCATGGGGCTGACTGGAGACAGGAGCGAGGTGCCGAGGCCGAGGTATACGTGGTGGAGGGGACGCATGAGGGCTAGGCAGGCCGCCTAACCCTGAGCCCCTCAACACCCTCCGCCACCCTCCCCCCTCTCCTCCCCTCATTGATAGATACCCATTCTCTCTAACCCTCCTCTCCCTCCCTTTCCCCCTCCCTCTGCCCCTCCCTCTGCCCCAGTTTGAGGACATGGCGTACGACAACGCCTCCAAGCTGCTCAACATGTACCGCACCGAGTTCCCCGCCTTCAACGACGACATGACGGGGCTGGCGGCGGCGGTGCTGGCAGGCATCATGGCGGCGCTGCCCAAGACGGGCGGCAGGCTGGCGGACCACCGCATCGTGTTCGTGGGTGGGTGCGGGTGGGCTGGTAGGGGATGAACCGCAATGGGGTTGGTAGGATGCAGTACACATGCTGTGGGTAGTGTGTTATACAACAGCAGCAGTGACCAGCCGTGGTGTGCCGTGCGGGTGGGTGGGAGGCGAGGGCGGAGTTGGGGGTGCGAGCGGGGTAAACATAAGGAAAACTGACGAACTAGATAGCGAGCGGGGTGGGGAGGATGTTAAGGGGGTAGGGCCATTCCTCACAGGGTGGAATAACTGATTGCGTGTAGTGGTTTCTGCGTATGCGGTGACTGCTGCTAGCCGTCCAGCATGCCCTCTTGTCTCCCACCTCCTCTCGGGCTTGACTTCCAGTGCTTTCTTCTACAGTATATATTACCTCCCCCGCCCCCACTCCCCCTCGTCCCCCCCCAGGCGAGGGTGCCGTTGTCGCCTGCATCGCCGAGCTGTTCGCCACCGCAGTGGCCACCCAGACCAACCAGACGGTGCTGGACGCCAGGAAGAAGCTCTGGCTGGTGGACGCTAAGGTGGGGGGCGGGAGGAGGGGGAGAGTTGGTGGGTTACTGTCTTGTTGAGGGCCGGGAGGGAGGGGGGTAGAGAGGGAGGGCAGGAGGGTAGGAGATAACAGCCTGGAGGGGAGGCGGTACAGGCGATGAGGAGCCGGCCATGCTGCGCTTGGGGCGCTTAGGTGAGCTGCCCGATTGCGCATATCTCTCCTCGTGGTTTTGTTCCTTTTCTCCTCCTTTCTCTTAAGATTCCAGTACTTCCCTCCCTCCCCCTTTCTCTTAAGATTCCAGTACTTCCCTCCCTCCCCCTTTCTCTCTTTGCCTTGAGGCGCCCTGCCGCCTCATTTCCCCATTATTTCGCCCTAATTAGTGGTTTCCTAATTCCTATGGTTTAGTCTTTTTTTCTCCCCTTCCCTCCCCTCCTCCCCACCCAAAGGGTCTGGTGACTCGCGAGCGCGGCGACAGCTCCACCCTGGAGTCCTTCAAGCTGCCGTACTGCCACTCCGCCCCCTCCCCCTCCTCCCCCGGCGGCCCCTCCGACCTGCTGGGGGCGGTGCGGCTGCTGCAGCCCACCGTGCTGGTGGGGCTCAGCTCGCAGGGGGGGCAGCCGCCCTTCGCGTTCACACCGGAGGTGCTGCAGGTGCGGTGCGGGCAGCGAAGGGGGGGTGGGAAGGATAGACCAAACCATAGGAAGCGGCTGGGGTGGGAGGGGTTGTGGTCCTGCCTGCATGTCCACGCATGCAGCCCACACCGACCGTCCTGCCCCCCCTCCTGCATCACAAGCACGTACGCGTGCCGCCGCCCTGCTGTACCCCCTGTGCAAGCCTCCTTAGCATGCCTCCGCGGTGCGCCACCTGGCCCCACCCACGTCCCTCTCCCCTACCATTCCCACCTCCACCCCACCCCCACACCCCGCCCCTGCAGGCCATGTCTGAGACCTGCAAGCACCCGCTCATCTTCCCGCTCAGCTCCACCCCCGAGTGCACCCCCGCGGAGGCATATGCGCACACGCAGGGCAGGGCGCTGGTGGCGACGGAGCAAAAGGTGGGGAGGAGGGGGGGACAACTGAGAGGGCGGGGGGACGTAACCGTCCCAAGAGTAACCGTCTCGACTGTAGCTGTTGGCCTTTTGCACCAGGCGTAACCAGGCTTGGTTTGCTACCTTGGGTTTATAACCCAACGCATGGCTCTTCCTTTTTTTTCCCATTCCCTCTCCCCCCTTCGCCCCCCTCCGCCCACCCCAGTCCGAGCCCGTGCCGCTCCCCAACGGCCGGCTGGCCTACCCCGGCCAGTGCACCTCCACCTACATCTTCCCCGGCGTGGGTCTGGGTGCGCTCATCAGCCGCTGCACCAAGCTGCGCGACGAGCAGTTCATCGCGGCGGCGGAGGCGGTGGGGCGCATGGTGGCGGAGGACGAGCTGGCCAGGGGCAGCATGTACCCGGCGCTGAGCAAGGTAAGGAGGGGGGGTCAAACCGAAGATTAGGGCAGAGCAAGTAGGGGGGACGAATATTGTGCCCCCTACTTGCTTTGGTAGCCGCGCTGGAACACAGACCGGGACCATAGGCGCGCAGATCCTGCCATCTCCCCTCGCAGCTACCTGAGAGAGGAGCATGCTGATATCGCTACCTAGCGCACGCTGTACTACTGACGCCTGTCCATAGCAACCCCACTCCTCCTCCATGCTTCTATGCATGAATTTCCTCTTCCCCACCCTAACCCTCCGCAACCCACTTTCTCCTTTCCTCCCTCTCGTCCCAACCCTGCTCAACCCCACTCCTCCTCCCCCTATCCCCACACCTCCCCACCCCCCCAGATCCGCGAGGTGTCCGCCAGTGTGGCCCGCGCAGTGGCCCAGAAGGCCTACGAGGGCGGCTTCGCAACCGCGCTGCCCAAGCCGCACAACCTGTACGAGGCGGCGCGGAGCAGCATGTACCACCCGCAGTACAGGAGGTACAGGTAGAGGCGCGGTGGGCTGGCAGGGAGGCTGGTTGCATGGGAGGCTGCCTACTGGGGGGGCCGCCAGCTGGGGCCGGCTGGTTTGTTGGAGGGATGGCTGCTTTGTTGGGGGCTCCGCAGAGGCAGCCTGAGAGGGAGCGCTTGCGAAGCCCAGATGCGGAAGTGCCGGAGTGGGCTTACCTGCGTTGGCATGGCTTACATGTAGAGAGAGTTGGAGGGAGTTTTTTTTAAGTTTTGTTGAGGTGAGAAGCAGGAACTGTAAGACGAGGGGTTGAGAGTGCATGTGAGATTGTGGCGGGCTGTGCGGGTCGCCGCCGGGGGTGTGTACGGCGTCCTGCCGTACAGTCCGTACCGTTGGTGGTGCATGCGTACTTGTACCTCATACAATACAAGAGAGCGCTGCTGAGCGAGAGAATTTGCTGGAGGGAGAAAGAAGAAAGAACCAGAAGATCGAGAGAGTGGCGCTGTCACAGGCGCACGTGTTTACTCGTTGAGGCTTATAAAGGCTTGGGATTAGGTTAAGGTACATCCCAACCAACTTTGTACGAATAAGGATATCGTGGACTTGTAGAGCGGATAAAATGCGGCCCTGGCTTGGAGGAGCGCCGGTGAGGGATGCCTGCTGGTCTGGCTTGTGGGCACTGGCTTGTGTTGTACCTCGGGTCTGCCGCTGCCAGCACCTGCACTTGCATAGGAAAGTGTAGTCGGGTCGATGAGGGTTTCAATGGAACGGTGCAGCAGCAGCATGAACTGACCGGACACCAGTCGGATAGGCTAACAGCATATCACGGTATGTAATTGTTGCATGTCTGTACGGCTTACAGCTTTACAACCCTCAGCAGTACTGCGAAGGGTAGTCAGAGTTGAAGGTGGACTACGCAAAACCAGGGAAGTGAGGGGAGGAACGGGGTAGCCAACGTAACCTCCTTCTCTCCTACGCAGGTTATACAACCTGCCCATCCGTGCGACACAAGGGCGCCAGGATGTCTGGCATGCTTGACATGTCCGGCACGGGTGATGTGGCGAAATGCTGATCGACTGCATGGGTGCTCCGAAACCGAGGGTACCATGCTAGACGACTACAGCAATCGACCTTTTTCCATTCTCCTTGCCGTTTCCTCTCAAGACCTCATCGGACCAGAGCAAGTACCCACTTGGTTGCGTTTTTGGGCGCCCAGCTTCCCTCATTATCTGTATACTTGTTTACAAAAGAGCTCCTCAATACCTTACCACACGTGTAACTTTACTGTTAGAAGAGGGAGTCCATGGTTTATTGGCTTGTATCACTCCAGCTTCCAAACAAGCGGAAAGATGCAATCTGGGAGCTGCTGCAAGAAAAAACGAGCGCAGCAGCGCTTGGCAGCAACTATAAGCTCGAAATTCCAGAGCTTCGCGTTGGCACGCTCGACTCCCTGATGGCGCTCAGCGACGACCTCAGCAAGACTTCCAACATGATGGAGGCCGTTGTCACCAAGGTCAAGCGCCAAATAAACGATGCTGGGGGAGCAAAGTCGCTGTTGGAGCTTAAGGTGGAGGGCATCTCGACTGAGGCATACGTCCAGCGGTTCAAGTGGGACGATGCTAAGTTCCCAGCCCGGAGGCCCCTTAAGGAGACCGTCGAGAAGATGACGGAGCTGGTTAGCAGGATTGAGGACGATCTCAAGGTGGGGGCAATGTTCACGGACTAACGAGCTCCTTCCCTGTTCCCCGCTCACATAAATGCACCCTGCAGGTTAAAGCCAGCGAGTACAACAACTTAAAGAGCCAGCTCAGCCAGGTCACGCGAAAGGCGCAGGGCAGCTTGGCAATTCGGGACATCAACCAGCTTGTCAAGCCCCAGCAGGTCATCGATACTGAGCACATGACCACCATGTTCGTTATCGTCTCCAAGTTCTCCGTTAAGGATTGGGAGGACAGCTACGAGACCCTGTGCAAGTTCATTGTGAGTCTAAGCAGGCTATATGATTTTGTAGTCCGTGCAACACACGCGCGTGCATGGGGGTATACCCGGCCTGCATACCAGGGCCACCGATGACACCGGCTGACTGGTTTGTTTGTTTTTTGTCGCAATTGAATTGGCAACACGTTTATGTACATTGGCACGAAGGCATGTCTCTCGTTCCTCGTGTGTGTTAGGCCAAGCTATACTTGCCGTGTAAGCCCTATTCCACACAAACTTCACCGACAGCTAGTCACGGGGACAATGCAGCCATACCAGCGAACCGGGCATGTCCCCCAGTCCCCACCATTGCAGCTTGCCAAGCCTGCATGAACTGGCAATGTTGAGCACCCTCTACATTTGCTTGCAAACCCGCCCACACCCTCCCATTCGCTTCCTGACGACCACAGGTGCCGCGGTCCTCTGCTGTGATCGCGGAGGACAACGAGTACGTGCTGCGGAGTGTGGTGCTGTTCAAGAAGGCGGTGGACGACTTCAAGGCGGCCGTGCGGAGCAAGGGGTACCAGGTGGGCCGTGGGACACCGGAGCAGGAGACTGGATAACGTTTGTCTTGCTGGCTGTATGCATGGTCACGTCGGTGGGATCGAGTGTCTGGTGACCCAACCGTATCCTGACTTGCGGTTGCCACGCCAGGTGCGCGAGTACACGCCGCCCGCGGAGGGCTCGGAGCTGTCCAGCGCGCAGGCTGAGCAGCTGAAGCGGGACGTGGAGCAGAAAAAGACGGCACTGGAGCAGTGGTGCAAGACCGCGTACGGAGAGGTGGGCTATAGGGCGCATGGGAAAGGTTCCAGTCCCGGAGTTGGATTGTGTCAGCAGCTGATGTAAGTTTGCATGCTGACTTGCATGTTGGCTTGGGAGGGACGTGAGGGCGTAGCATGCTACGCAGTATGGATGTAAGCGTGCCCGCGCTTGTAACGGCACATAGGCACGCAGTGTCGGAGGTGGACATATGGGCTTACCAGGTGTCCTCACCCTTGCTCCATGCAGGCCTTCAGCTGCTACATGCACGTGCTGGTGGTGCGGCTATTCGTGGAGAGCATCCTGCGGTACGGACTGCCGCCCTCCTTCCAGGCGGCGGTGGTGCGGCCGCAGGAGAAGTCGGAGACCAAACTGCGAGCGGAGCTGGAATCCACATTTGGCGGCGGTGCGTTTGCCTGGGTGCGGCATAGGATGGATCTACTGTGCGAATGGAAGAGCCAATGCACCCTATGTGAAAGGGGGTTAGGCCCAACCCCTGGCTATTCACGTGACACGATGCATTGGGAGCTATAGGAGCAAAGCAGGAACTTTCAGAGCGCGACGCCCGGAATCCATCATGTGGTAAGCATTAGTCCACCCCCGCCCCCACTCCGCAGGCAAGCAGCAGTACTGGAAGGACGACGGGTCCAACCTCGGCGCTGGCCTGCTTGGAGATACGGAGCTCTACCCCTACGTGTCGCTCACACTCAGCACCGACTACGCGGCCTAATAATTGGCCTTGGCGCTTGGATGGCTTGCTAGGGACACCCGCGGGGTGTAGCGCCTAGTACGCCATGGACGGGGAGTGTGTACTGTTCTCGGAAATGGCTTGGGAAGGGGTGATTGCTGCATAGGCGTGCTACCAATGGGCGGGCGTAGATGTCTCGATGGGAGGACTCTTTCCGCGGACGTTTTACTTGGGTTCTTGTGTTATTGAGGTGGTGTTCCATTGTTCATGGCACTCAAAATCTATAAAGTTGTGATGTGACCTGGGGCGCTAGGACGACGGGCAACGGAAACCGTTTACTTGCTTGTCGATCAAGCGGATCATGCAGGATGAGGAGCGGGAGGGGCTCTACCCGTTGTTAGACGCAGCTAGCCTCCACTGCAAACGTTCTAAGCAGTTATAACTGATAGCCTCGTGCGTTTCCTGTAGCACCAAACCTCTCCTACTCTTCACGAGCCAAACTATATACCGGTAGCTTTAAGCATTGGCGTTTGGGGCACGACCAAGAATCGAAACTAGCAGGCAATAGAGGCTACAATACAGTCGGCAAGAGGATGCTAGACGAGGACACGTCTAGGCAGTATCCACCCGTGCATCCGCACACCAGTGCGGCATACTGCATACAGTACCCGCATCGTCCCGCTACGACCTCGGTGCAACTCAAGCGCACGTAGGTGATATGGTAAAGCCTAAAAACCATACGGTACCGGTAATCACGTGCGGGTACCTCATGCTTACGCCCTTCACCAAAAACAGCAAAATTCAATGATGTGAGCCGTTCGTTTCATGCAGGGCTAAACAAGACGCAAGACCCCTCCCTATAGCGTCTTCCCGGTTAGGTTTGGCCTTCTCACGAACTCCCTTACCGATGCAGCAGTGCCCTATATGAACTTTTAACCTGTCTCTTCACCAGGTCCCAGACATAGCGTCAACCCTAACAGGGGCGCAGCAACCCAGCCGAACCAAAGCGGTCTGACATTCGCTAGAGCACCCACTACATAAGCTCTCCTGCAGCGGTGCCGCTGCCAGCGCCGCCCACTCCTTAGTGCCCCACACCCCTACCGCTGCCCCGCCGCCGTCTTGGCCCTCCGCTGCTCCACCCGCTTGCGCCCCACTGCCGTTTGGATATCGTCCAATATGGCGCCCGCATCGAAAAACTTGGCCTGCGCCGCATCCCACCCGCCCAGCTCGCGATCCACCTGCGGGCGGGCAGGAGAGGAGGAAGGAGCACGCTAGTAAGGGAGAGCGGAGGGGCGCACGTACCCAACGGGACGTTTGGTCCCGTGAAGCCGTGAGCGGGTTCCAATTACGCAGGCAAAACACCCAGGAAAGGTCTCATTAGCAGGCACCTTGCATGGATCTATGTGGTTCAGTTACTAGCCGGCAGCCAGCCATCATCTCTGGCAGGCCCCCGCATTCTCGCCCCACCTGCCACAGCGTCGCCGGCGGCAGGCCGGTCTGCTGCACCGCCACCTCCTTGCACGTGCGCGGGTTTACGCGGAAGCCCAGCTTGGCGAACTCGGACTGCGCGGGCGGGGTGAAGAGGAAGCGGCAGAAGTCCCCAGCTGCCTTCTGCACCTCCGGGCCACGCGACTCCACAACCTGTATAGCGAGAGGAGGAGTGTAGGCCGTCGATGCTCACTAGAAGAGGACCCGAGGGAGTTTCAATGCAGCCGGTGCCTAAGGGGACTAAGAATCTCCGCATGCCTGTCAAACTGGGGCTCGGACCGTTGCTAGTTATGGTACAGCGGGCATGCAGGAGAGCAGGAAGTCGTTCCTGTCCAGTGACCTGCCGCCACATACCTTGTCCACAGCTGCTAGCGGGCACTCAATGCGGATGTTGTACGAGGGCACCAGGTACGGCAACGCCTTGTCGCCGTACACCTCATTGGTGAGGATCACCTCGTTCTCGTACGTCAGCAGCACATCGCCAACCTGGAGGCAAGCAGCGATAAGGAAATTGGCACATGCGGTACAAACAATCGGTGAGGGGAACGCCAAGCCCCATCTGTGCTAATCCCCGCAGCACTAGCGGTAGTCTTAGCGACATCGGAGCCCTGTGGCTTGTAGGGGTATGCAAGATGGGAAGCTGCGACATATGCATGCTCACTGCATCCCATTACCGGTACGCTACGCCTGGTTGCACCATCTAGCTCCCTCCATCCTCCGCAGGCATGGGTCGCTCACCTTCTGCTTGTAAAACACGTCCGAGGCCTCCCGCGCGTCCCGCGGCTGCACCACCACGTTCTCAAACACCTTCGTGACATAGCTGAGCGCCGCCGCATCGCCCTGCCGCATCTTGGCACCCCACAGGGCCAGGAAGATCCACCTGGGGGCAGGTCAGGGGAACGGGTCAGAGAGTGAGTGGCGCAGGTTGGGTGGCGCCCAGAAGGCGGGCGGCTCCCAAGCACGGTGCGGAAGCCACTGCTACTGCAACTGTATCCATGCATGTTCCCACTAGCACAATTGCCGCACCAATGGCCTGTGCTATGCACCCATGGGTCCCAGCACTCCCCGACCAACAGTAAACTCTAACGGCAGAACACACGGACGCGAGCACGGGACATGAGCAGCTACATGGCTGCCGCATATGCGACGGCCAACCCTAGACACTACTACTGCTGGCGCTCCAGCGGCCTTCCTCTGCTTCACCTGGCCACGCCGGCTGTCTTGGGGTTGGCAAGCACCACATCTACTCCCGGCCGCGTCAGGTCGTCCCACGTGCGGATGTTTTTGGGGTTGCCCTGCGGGGCGACAACCGGGGCGCAAACCCTTGGAAAAACGGGGATGAAGTAGAGCTACCGCTGCAGCAAGGCCGGACAGCAAGTGACTACTATCCGACGTGAGGGAGGCTTGCATGCACCAAGCCGACGCTCCACCTATGCATCCTACTAGCTTCAGCCTCCTTCCTTCTGGACATGCAGGTCCGACGTACCGGCCGTACGACAAATGCAACGGTCGTCTCGCACACAATGGATTTGCAGGGGTAGCGCGCGCGCCAGTCGGGTGCGATGAGGCCCGCAGCCACGATCTTGTCCAGGTCCAGCGGCAGCGCTAGGGCCACGATGTCAGCCGGCAAGCCGTCGATTACCGCACGAGCCTGTAAGAGAAACAGATGCCGAAGCAGCAAATGCATGCATGGAGTTACGCATGGGGCTCCTTGCGACGAACGTTCGTTGTAAATGGGATCCAGCTGTAGGGGAGCAACCCGTAGCACCAGTCTTAGTTGTGCATGGACTACGGATCGCGGACTGCGCCACGTGGTCACGCCAGCCCACCAGCATACCTGCACACCGCTAGCCGCGAAGGTGAGGCGAAAGCGCACGTCGATGCCGGTTTCCCGCTGGTAAGCTTCCCGGAAAGCCTTAGTGACCCGCACGTACGCCAGTTTGGTGACCGCAAAGGAGGCGAGTGTCAACACCACCTCCTGCTGTGGCTTACCGCCCAGCGCACCCCCGCGGGGCGGCGGCGGCCTGTCGCCTCCACCGCCTCCGTTGCCTCCCGGAGGTAGGAACGGGAATAGGCCTGCTGCTACCTTCGCCGGGAGGGGCATGGTATGGCTCGCCTGTTGTCGTGTTGTTGATGCGTCCGCATAACTTGCTGGGTCCCCAGCAGGTGCAGAGGATCCGGCAGATGCTAAGGAGGCGCTCGCTGCGCCCACGCTGCGGGGATGGAGGAGCAACTGTCCTCAGGCTTGCTTGCCGCTTTGACAGACATATCGTGCCTTTCTTAAGCCCGCTCTTACCTTCGCGACGAGCAGGGCGTATACGCAAGCCGTGACGCTTGATCACCTATAACCGGTTGTGAATGGCTTTATGAAAGCTGGCCACCAGTAGAATGCACGCAAGGCCAGCTGCAAGCTAATGGATGTGCCCACCTGCTTCGGGTATCCGAGCTTGCCCAAATCCGCCATTTACGTTACTAAGTAAGGATGCCATCTGATAAGGTTAACCTGTCTCCCTGTCTTATTTTCGGAACAGGTGGACACGTGAGACGTTTAATGCAAGCGCCCGCAGCATACGGGCTGTCGACAAGTCGAATTACGTACAGCTTACTATGCTTAACAGATGGAACAGTGGGCAACCTGTCGTACTTGCTAATGTGTCATGCCCGGACCGGCGGCCTGGATCTTGCGCGTTTATGAATTCGCGGGAATTAGCCGCAGGAAGGTTGCCATCCATGAGAGCTTGGCCTTCCATATGACAGCAAATTGAAAGCAAGGGAAGATGGTGTCAGCTGTCCGCATGCAAGCTGCGCCTACCAACGCTTAGCAGGGTATTACCTACCGTTGCAGTATTCCTACTTGTTTAATGTTTTATACTTCTGCCTTCAGCATTTGTGTAACCCAGAAGGGGGCGATAGTTGGACTTGACCGGTAAATGTCCTCATGCAACATGCCGTTGCTTTTTTTCCTTTGGCTTGGAAATTCCCTAAACTTCTCAACGTCACAGTGTTCCTATTTGCGAAGAGAAGTGTGTATTCAGGTCCAACATGCACGTTGCGGAGGATGGGCTCCCCGCAACCTTTCAGCTTCCCCTAGTTTGGCACCGCGAAGTAAGGCGTGTTACATGTCAATGTGCTTCGTTTGGCTTCGTCCATCGTTGGCTTATGCATGCATGGTGGGCGGTACGCACGGCTGCTGCACCTTACCCTTGCGCAGGGCCTTCACACTGATGTAGCAGCGAAGAGTAGGGATGCACGCTTGTGGATCGAGGCGTGGGACGGTGTTCCCAGTATTAACGTTTAAGGAATATTTGAAGGGGCCAGGGAGGCCATGCCCAGGATCTAAGCACTCTGGGCCCATCCCCCAGAGGCACACCATGGTGGAGCCTTGTCACATGGTTCGTTAGTCTCTACCTCCCTCAGAGGCTGAAGGCCGGAGAAAGCCAACATACACGGCGCATCAACGTCCGAAAGTCACTGAACATAAATGGCTGTGCGTTGACAGGAAAGCGCCTACCATATGCAAAGGAAACCGATCCGTCTGCAGGCACAGCAAGCAGATGACGATGAAATAGACAAGCAAGACGCTTTTGGCGCACTCCTCTCCCACCCCACCCCTTCGTGCAGCCTGGTAATAGTATACTATGGAAACTCGTCAACGATAGTTTGAAGTTCAGGGTTCGTCACCCCCTCGACAATCACTCGAGAACATGTTTACCAACCTCCATGCACACAATAGCAATCGCGGTGGTGGGCTCACTGGTCTTGGTGTCAAGTCCGTAACCTGTCCATGCCCACTCAATGTTGGAAAGTCGTCAATCAGCGCGCGCGCCAACCAATTCACATCCTTACGTACGCCAAAGAACGCTCGTGGATTTGCTCATCAGGAGCGGTACTCCGGGCTGTCGGCCAAAGGCAAGCCTCGGTACGGCAGGCAGCTCACAGACAAGCCTCTGCCTGGTGGGGGCATTCCCACAGCTGCAACCCGTCAGGATCGGGCCCCGACGCCGCTGCACCCCGAGCCGCTGCACTCCATGCTGCACTTCACCCTCACCGCGCCCCTCACGGCCCGATCATCCAGCTGGACTTCTTGCCGATGGGCCGGCCGGCCTGCTGAATGGGCGGCAGCTGTCGGTTGACGCCGTCTGTTGAGGCATGGCCCTGGGGCGGCTGCGCCCCCTGCTGAGAGCCCTGCTGGCCCCGCGCACCGGGCATGCCGCCGCGACCCGCCGGCCCGGCTGCCCCTCCCTGAACCCGCGCAGGCGAGCGGAAGCGAGAGGGGTCTTGCATCCTCCTGTTGACGACGCCACATCACGGGGGGACTTGCGGTCACAAATGGATTTCCCACATGCCTTGCTCTGCTAGCAACTCACTCTCAACCCTCACGTATCGGTAACCTCCCAACTCCTCGTTGTTTCAACTGTTACCGCCATTTAACTCGCATGCCTCCCTCTTCACCCCGCCTTAACCAGACCTACCTGTCCAACACCGCATTGAGTCCCGGGCTGCTGGCGGCCCCCAGGGTGGGCAGCAGGGCGCCGCCTCGCGCCTTGCCGCTACCCGCCTGCCCGTGCCCCGGCAGATTGCCCCCAACTCCGGGCTGCACCCCGCCCATGCTGCGGCTGGCCACCCCCATGCGCGAGGAGCAGGCGGAGGCCATCGTGTCGCGGCGTGACACCCCGGCACCTCCCGACCCCATGCCCCCCGCCAGGCCAGCCGGGTTGTAGGAAATGGTGCTGGACTGCACGCGCAGGTCGCCCTCCTCGCCATCGTCAGCGGCGGAGCGGGAGGGAGACTGCCCCTGCGAGCCGCTGTCGGCATGTGCGTGGCTGCTGCGCAGGATGGCGGCCAGCACAGGGTCGTCTGCGGCGAGAGGAGGAACGGGAGGGGAGCAGCAGAGGGAACAGGGTAGGTTTGAATGGTAAGGAACGCCCGTATGCTACGGCGGCTGGCAGTCGCGCTGCAGGCGCCAAACACTAGCCCAGATCACCCTAAACAGAAGCGACGACGGCACGCCCATGCAGTTGCCCCTCTCGAGTCCTGTGGCTTCCTTACCTCGATCGGCGCCTGAGGGAATTACAAGCTTCACCGAGTCGTGCAAGCCACCTGGACCCGTGCTGTTGGCGTGTCCCAGCCCCGGCAGGACCGCCCCCGCCGCCGAGGGTGAGGGTGGGCCGGGCCCCTGCCCCGCGCCGCCGCCCAATGCCGTGCCGCTGCTGGCGGGTCGGGACTGCGAGAGGTAGCCCAGCGGCGCGGCGGACGACAGCAGCGGGTCAGAGCCGTCGCTGCCGCGCTGCGTAGGGCTGGACGCGGCGCCCCACCCGCCCGGGCCATCGTCCGGCCCGCCGCCAGCCCCGCCGAAGCCTGTGTTGGAGGCCCGGGCGCCTGAGCCTGCCACCGGCGATGTCACCCGGAAGGCGTCTGCAAGCAGGATGCATGCGAGCGTTTAGTGTAGGCGGTACAGCTGGGGAGTAAGAAGAACGTGGACGTTCCAGCGAAGAGCTACTGCGCCTTGCATGCTTTGCGCAGAGCACGTACATATGTGCAGCTCCCTTCCCTTCCCGCCGCACCTGGGCTCCCAGACCCCTCGCACGAGGCGGTGCTCGGCAGCGCACCGGCGGCCGTGCCCGAATGCCTGCCGCCCGCTGCCGCCGCCTTGACCACCCAGGGGTGTCGCAGTATCTCATCCATGGATATGCGCGAGGAGGGGTCCACCACCAGCATGCGCCGCACCAAGTCTTTGCACTCGGCGCTCACGTGGGTGGGCAGCGGGTCGAACACGCCCCTGCCGGCGGAAGGCGAGGCGGCGAAAGCGAGACAGGGGAGCCGAGTCAGGCAGGGCAGAATATTAAGGCATGCATGCGCACGTGATCGGCAGCGCGTGGTATCTTGCACCCCATCGCTCCTGGCACGCACTCATCAAGATCACCCACCTCTGGATGGCTTTGAACAGTGTCGCCTGGGTGGTTCCCTTGAAGGGCAGATTGCCGCTGAGCGCCTCGTACAGGATGACGCCCATGCTCCAGATGTCCACACTGCAACCGTCATACTCACGACCGATGGTGATTTCGGGGGCAGTGAACTCCGGCGTGCCACACTGGGGGAGGAGCCGGGGCGGGGTCGGGAATGCGGTTACCGACAGAGCAAGCTAGGGCGCAGGGGCTGCCATACATCATACGGTGCCGCAACGGCTTAGGCGTACACACCAAGAGCAGTCACACCCTCCCAACGCAGTTGGGCAACAGTGCTGAGGGGGAGAATAGGTCAGGCTTTGTTGACGTGATCCAATTGAATCCCACAGCCGCTGCCGTACGGCAAGCCCACCTGAAGGGTCAGTCCCCCACTGAACGGAGCTGCGACGGCCGCGAGCCCAAAGTCCGCGATTTTAAGGTTGTTGTTTTCGTCCATTAAGATGTTCTCCGGCTTCAGATCCCGGTGGATCACCCGCCTGGACGTGTAAGGGCCGAAGGGGCGGCGAGTCAAGCGCCCAAGAGAACAGGCCCCGCGCCCAAGCTGCATTTGTACTGACAGCCCAGCAAGCGGCGCAATCGTTGTATGCTCCTCCTACCAAGCTCAGGATCCATGGCCCTCCTGAGCAGCAAAGCCAGGACAACTACCCTCGGCCCCGAAACCTACCGCCTGTGGCAGTAGTCGAGCGCGGAGACCATCTGTGTGAACACGCGGCCCGCCGTGGCCTCATCCAGGCAGTGCCGCACAGGGTCACCGTGGGTGCGCATGAAGTGCACCAGCGAGCCGCCGCCCGCAAACTCCATGACCAGGAAAAACGTGTTGTTCTGGAAGTGCACGTCGAAGAGGCGGATAATGTTGGGGTGCTTGAGCGACGACAGCACCGACATCTCCTCCTGGATCTGGTCAATCTCGGCAATGCTGCGGAAGCGGCTGGCGTCCACACTCTTGATTGCGACCAGCTCATCTGGCGCGACCGTGACACGCAAGAAGGCGATTGGACACCGCAGGTTGGGCATGAAAGATAGCATCAGGCGTTGAACGGGACGGGTCTGGATGCGTGCACAAGGGCCCGACAAGGCACCCATCGAACCAAAGCCATGGGATGTCCACAAGAGGCATCTCCGCACCCGCCGCCAACCCCATGCTCGCACCTGTCATGATGTTCTTGCCGATGCGCACCAGGCCGAACGCCCCTGCGCCAATGGTCTTGCCTAGCACGTACTTGCCGCCCACAACCTTTTTCAGCCGCTGCGCTGTGATGTCCACCACGCAGCACAGGCAGTACTTGACGGAGGGCAGCCCAACGGATCCGAGGCTGCCGGACGCAGCACTGGCTAAGCCGCTTTGAGGCAACCCCACGGTGGAAGAAGACAAGCTTCCGCTGCCGCCGCCTGCAGCAGCCGCAGCACCAATCAGGCCTCCGAAACCCAGCCCTAGCCCGCACGCCCTCCCACCATTGCCCCCCTGCGCCTGTCGCCCTGAGGTGGTGGGCCCCATGGGACCCATGCTCATGCGGCTCGCTGAGCTACCCTGCCCGAACCCGCCGCCTGCTGCTGCCCCGCCCGCGGGCCCGTTGGTCACCAGCGGGCAGCTGAGAACGTAGGCCCAGAAGGGTGTTCCGTCGCGCTTATAGCACAGCAGCTTCACCGCTGTGGGCGTGTGCGACCACTGCGAGGTCAGCAGCTTGCGCATGTCGCGCTCTGAGGAGTCCGGGCCGCACAGACTCAGTATGTTCCAGCCAAGCACGTCCGACTGGCTGTACCCCGTCAGAGCGGTAAAGCCGGGCGACACGGCGCACACCGCACCCGCTGTGGGGGGGGATGGGGCTGAGCCCTGGCTGGCATTACCGCCTGCGCCTCCAGCGCTGCCGGCGGCTCCCACGCCCGCGTTCGAGCCCGCGGAGGCCAAGCCGCTGCGAGCTGCAGCGCCCCCGCCCGTTGCTGCTGTGGGAGTGGTGGGCGTGGCTGCAGCGGTGCTGCCGCCCGGCCCGGCTGAGCTCACGTCGACAAGGGCGAACGCGGTGAGGCAGTGTTTGAGCTGCTCCTGCCATTTGGAGTAGAAGGCCTCGTCCACCACCTCACCGCGCCGCCGCCGCTCGTCTACGTCGCACTGCACGCCCACCATGTGCAGCAGCGTGCTGCCGTCGCTGCTTAGTACCGGCGACAGACTGAGATAATTCTGGAAGGGGCGCCCGTCTTTGCGGAAGTTGGTGAGCTCGGTGGCCGTGAACCGCCGTTCGGCGACGCTGGCGCGCAGCGCTTGGAGCGCAGCAGGATCGCATTTGCCAGACTGATAAATGCGAGGGAGGAGGCGAGGTGGGGAAGTCAGGGTGGGACACATACTGAGAGGACCAACAAGGATCGCTGCGGAGATGCCAAACCGGGCGGATCAGTTACCTGTCAAGGTATACCAAAGATCACATCTGTCAAGACCGATCCTTACCCCAACATATGAATGACTGGGCGGCTACGAAGTTATGAAGACAGGCACGCACATACCGTGGAACCCGGCCGTGAGCAAACCACTTTTCCCCTCGCCAACCTGTAAGAAGCTGCAGTTCCGCCCCAAGCACTCCTGCTCGCTGTATCCAGTCATCGACAAGAACCCGGGACTGACATAGCAAAGAGGGTTGCCCTCCTCATTAGGGTCCGAGACAGTGAAAGAGGACAACAAATTCTCGATCGCAGCCGATGCCACTTCATCCTGTATGAGGACAGAGAAATGGTAAGATAATGATGCGGTAGCGGCGGTGTTCTCCATCCCACAGTTCACCGACTCCCTCACATCCAGGGTGAAGTTGTTGTCCTTGGGCGGCTGGGAGCTGATAGGCCGAACCACATTCTTCCATGGATGTGCATCTTCGTCAATAGGCTCCTGCGCCAAAGCGTGGAGGTTGGGCTATGCCAAGAAACATTCACAAGAGGAAGCGCACCTCTACCAAATTTTCACGCCGCTCCTCCCTCTTGTCAACCTTCTTTACTTTCACTGCCTGCCTTTGCTTTCCTGACATTGTACATGTTTTGCATAACAGGTTCAAGTAAACGTCCGTAGACAAGCCCTGACAACGTACACACGCGGGAGAGTTATAGCATATTCGCCTAATACAACGAAGACGTTTCTAAGCCGGTGACTTGAACGTGTAAAGTAGGTGCCGTATAATTCTGTTTGCACCGGTAAGCGCACTGTAGAAGACAAGAGCAATCGTGTTTCATTAGACGCACATTATCTGCTGGTCGACGTACTTCTAGAAAGCATTCCCCTCTATCCTTCCATAGGCCATTTCAATCACCTGCAGCTCTCAAGAAGCCTACTCAGGGGGTTCTTTGCGTGACCCAAAACGCTTGAGTTTGGAACATGGAGTAATGGTTGCAAACTTTTCAATGGCAAGGAGCACTTTATGAACCGCACCTCGCCCATTCGGGGTACATGTCCCCTGTCAGCAACGTGGCTTCCGCCGTTATGGGCCCAGGCATGGGTTCAAGGAAGGTACTCTAATAGTGATGCAGCTCTCCGTGCGTTGGCCGTGTCACTCCTGCTGCCTCAGTCGATACTACCCTACCCGTGGCACTTCGGGTTAGGCATGGTCAGGATATTCCTAGAGCCTTCTGAAGGAGCGCCTCGTAAAGCCCTCATATCCTTAACATGATATGGACAGTACGCCATGGCACGCCCAGGCGCGCCTAGTGCTATGCAATTTGGTCTTGGAATGGTGGAGTCGTGGCGAGGCTTAAGACACTGTGTATTGAGGCTAGGTTTGCGACTAAGTGGCACCTGCCACTTCAGCAAGAAGGGGTCCAAAGGAACGCCGCATGACACGCCAGAGGTGCGCTTCAGAATGGTAGCCACGACGTTGCTAATAACCGGGTTGCCTGCAGCTACCTTCAACGCATCATCCGCGTACACCCATACGCCCACCGCACCTTGCGCCGCCCCCATTGTTGCATCTGCTACCCGACACCAGCCGACGCCCCTATATACTCGCCCTTATCCTGTAACTTTTCGAAACCTTTCCTCCCAACGGCATCCTTGACTAACCCGTGCCTATGCACCTATGCTTTGACCACAGAGTATAGTTCTGTGAAATGAATTAGCAGGCACTGGGGTGAAGTTTAGGCTGCTGTGGTTGGTGATCTTTGCTTTGGCGGCATCCCTACCAGTACGCGATATGTAGCTGAAGGCACTCACAAGCCCGAGAGCGTTAAAGTTGACGTTTGTTCCCTTTTGCAGTAACTGCGACAGAACAAAGACCCTTAAGGCATGTCGTCGGTAACGAGGATGCCGCAAGCAGGCCTCTTTTTGCATACCGCTTGACACTCAAAACATGTAGAGTATAATAGGTAGCATGTGATCGAGTATAAAAATGCCGTCAACAACTTCGGGGTTGACAACGCACGGCAGGGTTGTCGTACGGACAAGTATAACGCCTGCATAGCGCTAGCCGAGGCAATTGGGGTTATGCAATATTGCGGATAAGCCATTCGTGTAGTGCAAGCCACTATGCGCTCACTTTGTGCACATTTTGAGCAGCCGCTCGTGGCTTCTACAAGCAGGCCAGCGTTGCGACCGCCTTATCTTAGGGCAAGTGGTCACTTATATGCTTGTAACACATATCGATTACGTAAGCAACGCATAGCGGGGCGTCGCGTGGGCTGCAGTGCGGCGGTTCAGGACGATGTAGATGTCGACTATGATGTGGCTATAAGCCAGTTTCCAGCCCCTTCCGCGGGAACGTTTACGCCGGATAGACGTGCCTTTAGCGAGGAACACAGGATTCGGGGATATGAGGTCAGCCCTGATCAGCGAGCGACCGTCGTCACGGTCGGCAATCTGCTGCAGGTTAGCACTATGAAATTCCCCTGGAAGTGCTGCTGCAATGGTACTGGCCTAGGCATTAGAAAACCCGGAGTCCGTCAACGCCTGGCCGCGTGCAGGAGATAGCCGGAAACCATGCGGTTGGCATGTGGGGTCGCACCGACGAGGGCTTCGCCAGCCTTCCAGATTACAAGGATCTGCTATTCGTGATGACCCGGCTGCAAGTGCGCATGTACGAATACCCCAAATGGTGAGCCCCACCTTCGCTTATGTGGAAGGCTGCAGCTTACCCGGCTAACGTTTCTCACCACCCCGGCTGACCAACCGTGCCGCAGGGGAGACATCGTGAAGGTGGAGACATACTTCACGGAGGAAGGCCGCCTTGCTTTCCGCCGCGAATGGAAGCTCACGGACGTGGCGACGGGCAAACTGCTTGGGGCGGCCACAAGGTACGGAAGCCCGTTGGCCGAATAACCTTCTGCTGGGTTCAAGCTAACGTGTCCGGTCGTACTGTGAACGACAAGCTACCCATTTTGCCGCCTTCCATATTTGCCGCCCTCCTGGAAGCGCTTGCGCCGCTGCGTTGCCTGCTGGCTTGACTACCAGTATTATCGTCCTCCCAACGCTGTCCGTTGCTTGCCCGCTGCTCGCCCTCCCACTCCCTCTCCCGCCTAGCACCTGGGTCACCATCAACACCGCCACCCGGCGACTCTCCAAGCTGCCCGACCCACTGCGGAGGCGCTTCCTGCGGTTTGGGCCGCCTAGCAGCGTGTAAGTAGTCGCTAGCAGAGCCGACGTGTGCCCCTGCCCTGGCTTTGGCGGCCCTGATACGAGCTCTGTTACCTACGAGGGCATTAAATCCACGTTGCACTTCAGCGCGAGCATCCCATCGTCCAGTTACTACCAGTTCCCATGACGCTGCCTTTTTCAGGCACGTGCTTCCGCCGCAAGAAACCAAAAAGAAGCTTCCGGACATGGTCATGCCAGCTCAGGTAGGCCGGGTCCAAGCTCACATGCCTGCTTTTACAGAAAGTGGGCACTTGCAACTGTAAGTTTTGTGGAACCGCCGGCTGCGGGTGCGCAAGTGCCCATGGTGGGTCTTTAGCTACGGAATGTAGCGCCACCGACTGCATCCACGGTGTTGCGTCCACCAGGGTGTTGCCGGGTCTGACACGGGCCGGCCTCCGATTCCCGCCCATCCTTACAGCACTTTCCTTCCGCTCTATTGCGCTCTCCCAACCCGCAGATCCAGAGCCCTCCCCAGGTGGCTCGGCGCAGCGATATGGACATGAATGGCCACATCAACAACGTCACCTATCTGGCGTGGGCCATGGAGAGCGTGCCGGAGCACATCTACAACTCCTACAAGCTCTACGAGGTAGGGAGCAATGCAGCCGTGTAGGTTTGGAGTATGGGAATATGGCGCTCCACTGCTGCGGGCTGACATCTAGGGAGAAACTCCGCCAAGGCGACCCGTCCGGCAATGATGGACGGTGTTTCTCTTGGAACCCACTCATTAGACATGGGCGAGAATGGGGACTCTACTACTTAGCGTATTGGCAACCGTCCGCTGCGTCCCATGCCGTGCACCCCACCCATGTGCAGATTGAGCTGGACTTCAAGGCGGAATGTACGGCGGGCAACTCCATAGAGGCGCACTGCAACCAGCTGCAGGAGGAGCAGCCTGGGTCAGCCGGCAACGGCAACGGTAACGGCAACGGTGCGGGTGTGGAGCAAGTCAAGCTGCTGCACATGTTGCTCAAATGCGATGACGGCGGCTGTTCGGAGCTGGTGCGGGCGCGTACCACCTGGCGGCATTTCATTTAGGTTTGGGTGCATCTCGGGTGGAAGGGTGTGGGTGGGATGGGGCGGTTTTGCTGTTTCGTACGTGCTGCTGCCTGGCTGCTCGTGGTGGCAGTGGTGCATGTATTTCATCACGATGGCGGATTGCTCGGGTTTAGTGGCTGGCCACTGGCCAAGGATTTCGGCTAATGTGTGTTTCCCTGTTATGGTTTGGGATGGGATTCGACTAGGAACGGTTTGTCGATTGTTTGGCAGGCGTATAAATGGTTATATTGCTGGTAGGCGGGCGGCTGCTAGCCGCCCGATTGAAGACTTCAACGCATTCCTATGGGCTTGCTGGCGGCTCCCTGTCTCCGTTTGATTGCTGTCCCGCTTAAGTATTCACCTGTTGTGTGCGCGAGAGCCGTTGGGTGTATGTGATCGCGTCTGAGAGAGTCCTACGAGAGCAGCAAAAGGGTTGTTTTGGCACCTTATTAGCCCGAAACTGCGCTTAACGGTTATTTTGAAGATAATTATTTTGCAGAGGCATGGAAGTTAACGTTTGTCTTCTTACGTACAAAACAGTGTCATTGCTGGAGTTGTTTCCCTGTCGTCTTGTGTGTATAGTTCCATAGATACGTGTATGTCCCCAAGACAGCCAACTTGCTTTCGACTGCCAGCTTCGTCCTTGCACATAAACAACAGAAACCTGGATTGCGGCCCATGCTGTGTACGAGTGCCACTCGCACACGAGGGTAATAAGGTATGGTTAGCTACGGCCCGTGAGCCCTCGTACGACATGATGGCGTATTATACGGTGTGATAAGGGCTTGCGCCCTGCCCGAAGTATACTCTTCCTATACCTGACGGCGGAAGGCTTTTACCGGAGTCGTGTAAGATCGGTCCTAATCCATGTATTACGTAAGGAAGTCATCGTCCCGCATACTGGCCCAATGTTATGTGCACGAAATCCTCATGTACCTGGCCGCAAAACCCATGTATGTAGCGCGAAAGCTTACACATTCGTATGACGTGCCGGCCGCATGGTCCACACTGCTGATACGCTGCTCCTTAGGAGCTAGCTACAGGATACGAGCCTGGCAGCGAACATGTTTCGGCTACCAAACATGTTAACCTGCTGCCATCTTATATACTCACCATCCGCCACGGAAACACCTATACGTCTGTTAAAAATAATCTACTAGTGGCCGGCAACGTCATGCCAGCACATTAACCTAGAACTGCGTTTGCCGTCAGCATCATACAGTGAAGTATCCAATGAAACCCACCAACCAGATGAAAGGCTAGTAGGGGTACAGGTTCAAAGGAAAGTCGCTATCCTTGTCAAGTCATGCATTGCACAGTAGTATCTCCACGCACTACCCTCCTTACTCCCCAAAGACCCCCAGATCACTAAGCCATGTACCCCACCAACAGTAGCGGTATCACAAGGCAGCACGCAGCACTATGAAGCTAAGACCTACACTCGACCATTAGTTAATGTGCCCCGTGCTCTTCTTCTTGCTTTGGCTCAGCATCTGAGCAAAGCTTGTTGATATGGATGCCCCCTTGTTGCTCTTCTTCCGGAGCAAAAAGTACGGAATCGCCAGGACGATAGTAAGACCCGTCATCACGAGAAGGACGACGAAGGTGAAGTTCATTGTTGGGCTAGGTTCCGCGACGGTGTACTGGTTGTAAATGTGCGTGTACCTGTCCTCAATTTCCTTATCCGTTAGGACTGGCCCGGTGAACTGCTTGAAGGTGCTGACCTCCTCTGGGTTGTAGACCGTGCCGTCAGCACAAGCGATCTGTACGTTAATCGGCAGGTAGTCGTCCTCTCCCAAGGCGGTATCCGACTTCAGGTCACCACCTAGGTGCCAGCTGCCAACAAATAGTGGTACAGACGCGTGCTCCATCTCGCCACCATACATCAGGATTTCAGCCTCGTTGGGATCGGAGCCCTTGGAGACGTCCCAGTCACCGAACGTGCTTGAGTACCAAAGCACGCGGTCCTCACCAGCCGCGCTGTTCTTCCGCTTGTACATGGGCTTCCCATTGTAGCATGAGGCAAGCTGATAAACACCATCCAGGCCACCGTTCAGCTTATCTGCCTGCTTGTCGACGCCGGATATCTTGATGTCGCACGAAGCAGTGCCGTTGGCAAGAACGGGCTTGCCGCTATTGTCAAAGAAGCACTCCTCAAAGACCTCATACTCCTCGGCGTAGTAGTCCTCATAGCCCGAGAAGTCATCAGCATAGTAGCCATAATACTCATAGTAAGCCTCGTCCATGTCTCCATAGTACCCATACTCATCGTAGTAAAAGTCATCTTCGGAGTCATAGAAATCGTAGCCATACCCATAGTCATACTCATACTGAGCAAGCGTGCGTACAGCTGCCACTGCTAGGAGAAGCAGCGGAAGCGAGCGCAAAGCGCGCATTTTGCGCAACAGCGATCTTCCACAGGGCCTCAACCGAGGAGAAGGATGTAAGCTACTGATTAGTATCTACAGAGACATATAGTTCACGGCGACTAAAACAGCTAAACAATCCGTTTTTGCAGGTGTGCGCGACGCATGAATGCGGTGAACCAGGCTCCAGGGAGGCGCAAATGTCCTTTGGAAAATGCTGTTATCATCACCAAAACAGCCCTGAATACAGAATCTACCTTCATGCACATTTCCTGCTTAGTTGCTGAAAGTCTCCCTGTCAATACTGATAGAGCTTTGCTCGCCGTTCGCTTTCCTGTGCCTTTGTCCTTCACCCCGCATACTAAACCTGGTTTTGGCTTCCCTGACATGCCCAATACGCGCACGTTCCTGCATCTCCATCGCAAACCATCCCTAATCCCGTAACTTCGAGCATTTACAAGATGACGGTGTGGGGGCCCGTCCTTCCGAAGCCGCATGACAGTTATTCCCAACTCCGTTTATTCATCATGCCCGGTGCAAGTGTCAAACCCCGGGGCGGAGATGGCTTTTGCACGGAGGGAGACGAGCAGGCATGGGTAGTTAACTGACGAGTGATGACTACCGTCACCTTCAGATAGCAAACGGCGGGTATATTGCATATCCGGAATACTAGACATCTCCCATAGTGCATGCCTTGGTCGCGTTCTACCTCCTTACCTATCCTTGGGTAACATAATAGTATGTTCATCCCACGCATCCAAGCCGGAACCTGTCTACGGGAACCCCTTCTTTTCCTCTTTTACTCTGGGTCGTCTAACGGCAAGTGGCCTAGCAGGGATTTACATCGTGGAGCCATCCTCCGGACCCAGACCAACCAGGCGCCCTCCGCCACGCTGCATGCCACTTTGGCGCGAAGGGTGAAGCCCCATACTGGAATGACGACGTCCACCACTCACCATGGGACAGGCCACCCACACCCGAACGCATGCCCTGCAATCGAAAACCCGAAAATGTCAGGCGGCTGCAGCCAACCCGACCAGGTACTTTCCACGATAACGCACAAGCCAGGGACATACAGCGCCGACGGCAACATGTCCTGTAGACAACCCAGGGTCATAACACAGCTTACATCGTTTGGGCTGGTGAAGCTAATCATGACCTATCGAGGCACACGTCAAATTAGGATGCGGCGCCACACAAGTATTAATTGCGTCGCCAAGTATGCCTGTTCAGGCCAGACATGGGGCTAGCCGGCTAACTGTAAACAGGTGGCGAACTAAATGTGTCGTGATGTTTGCTCATTAACAACACCATGCGACGCATGACACCGCGATACAGGCACGTGCGGACATTCCGCATGCACGCAGGCAATTAATTGGGCCGTACATCCTTGCATCCATAGTCTTAAAAACCAAACAGTACGCGACCAACACGCCCGGTAACAAAACGAGCTAACGTCCTGCATACACTGGAAACTGGGCATCAACGCAAGGTCGGTCGTAACATCAAGCCTTGATGCACATTCACTATTTCAACCTAAGCGCTGTATGCTACTACCTGCCCTGAACCCTATCATGCTGTACGCCCACAAATAATGCAACCCGGAGAGCTATGCGGCAGCAAACCTGCAGGGTGCATTCCCGGTAGACATCTACGCCGCCGAGCGCAACAAACCCCAAACGGCTGTCGACATCTAGTCGTCTTCCTCTTCGTCTTCCTCATCGTCCTCATCCTGCTGCTGCAGCCACTGCACCACCTTGTCCACCGCCTTGCGGACGGACTTGCCGTCCTCGAGGGGCACCGCTAGCAGCTTGCCCGCCTCCACCTTCTGCGCCCAGGCCAGGATGACGTCCTCCTCCACCAGATCCAGCTCGTACAGCATCTTCAGCACGTACTGTGCCTCGGAGATGCGGCCTGATGGCAGGAGGCGACAGGGCTATGGTTACGAATGCTAAGGTTGGGTTACGCAGGGTCCAATGCTGGGCCAAGCAATCAGCAATTTTTTTGGCAAGCTTAATGCCAGCGTATAGCCCCTACACTACCTACGTGCATGCGGTCATGGCAATGCGGCCCTCACAAAATTCCTACTGTGGCTTTGCCACTGCTGCAAACCCACCTGGCGCAGCGACCGCAAAGAGGTACTCGAAGGCAATGAGCTGTGCTAGCTGGCTTTGCGGGTCCTGGGCAAACTGCGCGAAGATGTTCTTGCGCGCCTTCAGGTTGACGTCCATCCGGGTGTCGCTGCCCGCCAGGGCCGCCTCGTAGAGTATCCGCATTTTTCCTGTGAAACGGGAGGAGCCCACCGGGGGGGTTAGCCCATCGGATCGGTAGGCCGCAAAAAGACCTATGCTTAACTGTCAATAAAGCATTCCAAATCCGCTTTCAAAATTGTAGAAAGGAAAAAGACATGAGCTCTAAAAAGTTGGTTGCAAGACAGGGGTGGGTAGTTGGCTCCGGAGCCCGAACGACTTTTCCTTTGACTTCCTTAACCTCCCAATGTATCGTTTCGCCAAACGGAACGCAAATTTTGTACTGAAGTAAAAATGCAGTTTGCGCTTATTTTGGAGCCCTTGTGTGGAGTTTGCGCGTGGCAGCGTCACCATGCAGAACCCTAGCCAACATAAACAATGTGGCTTCTCCAGACTCCTTAAGTGACAGGATTTTAGACAAAAAATACTGATTCCGGGGCTCATGTCAGAGGCAGCCGGTCGCAGGGTACGAGCCGGTCGCAGGGTGCTGCTTCAAAAATACAAGAGGGACAAGAGGCAAAGGCAAGGGGGACAGGTATCAAGATGGAAGGGGTCCAAAGAGAAACATACGAGATCGCAAGTCAGGCCAAGGTTGAAGGGGGGGGCACGCGGCAGGCGTGCTGGCGACACATCCGTTGTCGAGGGAGGAGGCGCGGAACCAGGGCGCGTGGTCCCGCATCTGCTGAGGGCGATGGCGTGCAAGCCCAACCTGCTACCCGGAGGAAAATATAGATAAATGCTACCCAGGGGAGGGGGCGCAGCCATACCGATGCAGTCATGTGAGGAGCGCAATGGTAGGTATATGAAGTTATAAAGCGAGATTTGTTGGCTGTTGACCAGAGAGCATCTGGCAGCCTGTCCGGGGCCTCCCCCCGTGTGGCAAGCGACTTGGACATATTGCCAAATTGTACGCTTACTGAATGGTATAAATTTTTATAGGAGGAATTGGTGTTCCTTTTGTCGTATAGCAAAAATGGTACGACATGGTGAGTGGGTCCGGCACCCCTTTCTTGACATTCATAGCACGGGGCTTGGCAGCGGCTTTATACCCCCCCTTGAGCCCATGCCCAGTTTGCTACAGGTTTTCGGGAACATGCTTGACGTCCGTACATGGCTTGCCTACGGAAGCCCCAATACAGTGATTGTCGTTGGCAATGCTCAAAAGACGCAAAACCCAAACGCACCCGCCAAGCCCCCGTCGACTCCAGTCAGCGTCCGGATCTCCTTCACGATGGTGGCTGCGTCCTTGTCAAGGAGAGCGCGTATCCGGACAACGGGATCAGCGCTGGCCAGCGCGGCAGCCTGCGCCTCCGCTGCGGCCCTCGCCGCGGCCTCCTCCGCAGCGCGCTTCTCCTCCTCCGCCTGCGCCATACAAGTGGTAGTGATGAATAGCTCAGGGCTTGTCCAAACCTACAACCCATGCATGCTTGTGATGTGAATTGTAGGAGATTGCCGGTACTGTTGATGTTGCAAGCCCGTACGCGCGCACACGGCAAGGCAGATCCGAAAGAAGTGCTGGGCAAAGGGACCCATTCACAATCGCAACCACGGACCTTTTTCCGTGCTTCCTCTTCGGCAGCTCGCTTCGCCTCACGTTCCGCTTTCCGCCGCGCTGCCTCCTGCTCGGCCTCCAGGTTCCCCACCGTCACCATGGCGGCCGTCGCGGCGGTTAGCTGCTCCTGTGCGCGGCGCTTGGCAGCCTCAGCGCTGGTGTCCGTCATCCACACAACGCCGTCGTCATCGCCCTCTCCGCTGCCGCTGTCCTCGTCCTGTAACGGTGCGAATTCACGGATGTGGGCAAGGAGATGTGGAGTTTGGTGCATTACGACGAAGGGGAACCAAACGAATGGCATGTTGTATTAATCCTACCCCGTAACCCCCCAAGCCGCAACCCTTTGCGCACCTCCGACCCCTTGCCCTCCGCGTCCCCGGCGTCTTGCCCCTCCTCCCGCTTCTTCTTCTTATCTCTGCACAAGGGAAGGGTCACAGAAAGTAAGGCGTTCAGGAAGAGAGAATTCGCATTACATGCCTACAAATGGTTAAGAATTCCCAGAACAGGGAAGCCTGGACAAATGCAATTTCACCCCCACGAGCGCCAGCATGCACCCCGCCCTATAGGACCCACTTCTTGTCCTTTTCCTTCTTGTCCTTCTTCTTCTTCTCCTTCTTCTCCTTCTCTCCCAACGCCTCCGCGTCCTTCACACGCTCCTCTTCCGCCTTCTTGAGCCTGCACAGCATGGCGTCAGCACAGCGCCATACCACCACATCATACCATACCATATCAGCACCCCACGTGCACCCCAAACACTTACTTCTGCTCCTCCTTCTTGAGCTTGTTCTCCGGAGGGTTCTTGAGGATGAACGTGTTCAGCTTGTGGCGCGGGTCCACGTCAGACACGAAGCCGCACGCCTTGCACTTCAGGTAGATGTTCTCCCTCTTGATCTTAATCTGAGTTTCCGGGTTATTGCAGCTGTAGCAGCACACATACTTCTTGATAAAGGCCTCCAGCAGTTCAGACAGCTTCCGCGTGTCATGAGCGCCGTTCACAATCGAAGTTCCGCTACCCTTGTCAAAATTCGTCTGAGCGCCGAGCTCGCAGCCGTAATACTTCAAGACGTCTGTGGACATAGGAGAAGCGGTATTAAGCGCAGGCACAAGTCCCCAAGGCATGGCGAAGCGCCGCAGAGGTGCCAGAAGCGAGACAAAGCGACGGCACAACTTACACTCGGGTGGACGCTCCAACGCCTTAGCAATCTCGACGTTGTTTACCACGTTGGTTTTGATGCCGTTGCCCCGGCCCTCAATCTAAGGGAAAAACAACCGTTGCTAAGTGTCACAGCTGCTGGACTATATGCAGTAGCATGATGCCATCCCCAAGCTTATCTGCGCTATCTGAGAACCCACCTTGGCCTGAAGCTTCGGCATCTTGTACCTGTAGAAGGCATCGTCCGCGTTCGCTGCTCCAATATTTTGCATTTTTCCTCGACACGCTGAACAGTGTCACTAGGCCAAGAGTCCGGGGCAGCTACGCGACAAACGAGCAAAAAATACTGCATCAAATGTGTGGTCTTCAGAACTTTTTGAACAACGACTATATAGAGTTGCCAGTCGAGTGAGCAGTGAAACTTAATGAAAGCGGAGTCCAGGCGGCTGAACTTTGGGCGGCGTACTTCGTACGGCGGAACAAAAGGAATGGTCGTGAGACAGTGAGCACGATCAGATTCTAAAAGCAATATTTAGCGCTTCGTCCGTTTCCCTTACTTGCTGTTAACTAGCGCATATCATTGGTAGGTGCCTAGTCCTGACAGTGCCCGCGGGTCACGTCAGCAGGCGGAAACCGAAGATAATGCATGTCAGGGCATCCATACGTTCCTGTTGATTGGCTTCCAGTACTTTTGCAATGAATTTGTGCAGTGCTTCACATTCCTGTTCCTTTGTAGATGCTAATACCATGGCTTGCTTGGGCCAACGTGGCAAGCCAATGCAATTGAAAGTCAGCGCGGTCATGGGCCCGCTCTTAAACGACGACATGAGAGACTGTTCCAGTAATTTCTACAAAACCGCCAAGCGACGGAGTCCAGCTTACTCATACCCAGGATTCCCTCCACTGGCTTGTACCAGTAGGGCAGTTGGCTGTTTCCCAATCATCAGTTCAGGATTAGTGAGTGAATCAGTTCAGGCTCCCCTGGAAAACGTGCATTCCAAAAACTACATTGCACAATAGCGGCTACTAGCACCGGGCTTACCTCTTGCCCATTGTACCAAGTCTGCCGTATGTAAGCTTACATAGTCAGCCCCTTACGCACTAAACATGGCAGTCTTTCGCACCTATCCCCGAGCTGTTCGGACGAACCTGAGCGGCTAACGGCACCGTTCATTTTGTTTAAGGAGCTCTACTCGGGTTTGACGTAGGAGACACAGGACTGCTTGGCATGAGCTAGGGGGTAATGGCAATAAGGCCTACGAGTAAAACTGTATGCGTCAGGGCATGGGTTTGTGACGCAGGAACAACAACAGCCAGTATACACTCTGCTGGACGACGAAGTCGTCACAAAAACGACCAAGAGCTCTCACAATCACTCGTTACACGAAAGCGCTCATGTTCAATAGAGTTCACTTATTGTCGGCAGCCGTGCGGCAACGGCATCTCATGGCAGCACCTGACTTAACAATACACGTGGCAACCCAGGTAGTCTCTCTCCCAAAACACCCTTCCTAATAGAACTAGGGACAGGTTCTGTCCTCATGCGCAAGACCTAATTAAACCCATATGGCAACAGCCAATCCATGACAATCCCCTCATAACAATACCCCCGGTGGAAGCAACGACAGGCCTACATCCCCGCGACATGTCCAAACCGGGACTTTGACAGCGACAAGTGCGCTGGCTGGGTGCAGTGTACGGTACGAAAAGAAGCCCTTAGACACGAAAAGCTGCTTAAGCCTCCCACTCAGCTCCGGTTCTTGTCCTCGTCCTGCATCTCTGACGTCCAAAGCGTGAGGTTGTCACGCAGCAGCTGCATAATGAGCGCGCTGTCCTTATAGGAGTCCTCGCCGAGCGAGTCGAGGTCAGAGATGGCCTCGTCAAAGGCCTTCTTGGCCAGCGAGCATGCCAAGGATGGCTGGTTCATCACCTCGTAGTAGAAAACCGAGAAGTTGAGCGCCAGACCAAGCCTACATTCCATTAACCAGAACGGGACGCGTTAAAGACAAAGTTAGCAGCTCTAAAATTCCAGCAAAGCGTACCTAATGGGGTTGGTAGTGGGCAGCTCGTCAGCCTTCTCCTGTGCCACCTTGTAGGCGGCCAACGTCATCTCCGCGGCCGCCGACTTGGCCTCGTCCACCTTATACTCAGAGAGGTAGCGGTGGTAATCAGCCTTCATCTTGAGGTAGAAGACGGCGGCCTCCGTGGTGGAGGCGCTGGGAATCAGGTACTTGTCAAGGAGGTCCAGGATCTCCTGGCAAATTTTGTCCAGCTCCCCCTCCACCACGCTGCGATACTTCTTAATCATGGCAACGCGCTTCTCATTGCCCTTAGCCTGCTCGCTTTGCTCAATGCTCTGCAGAATGCGCCAGCTAGCGCGGCGGGAGCCAACCAAGTTCTTGTAGGAGACCGACAGCAGGTTCCGCTCCTCCACGGAGAGCTCCTGCTCGTTCGCCAGCACAGCGACCTTCTTCATCTCCTCCACCATATCCTGGTAGCGCTCAGACTGCTCTGCAATCTTAGCTGAGTAGAGGGCAAGCTCGCGCTCCGCCATTTTTGGGAAGCTTTTTAGCGTTGGGGGTGCCCCTGTGTAACTAATGTGTATGCAGATGTGTTATAGTTGGCTGGGGGCTGAATGCGTGTGCGCGGTCTTGCAGAAGTTCGCGTCGAATTGGTGTACTGGTACGGTATTTAAGCGCCAATCGCGAACACGCATGGCGCCGTATCGTTCCTGTGCGATCCTGGCAATGAACATGCCACCTTGAAGTGCACATGCTTTGCCACAGCGGGTGCGTGACCCCTAAGAGACAACCCTTCGTAAGCATGTCAGGGTTAACCATCCTTCGTGCAAGCGCCTGTCCAACCCTTGGAAGCCCGCAAGAAGCCGTGTGCTGGACCTTAATGGATGTGCTTGCCAGTGAGAAGCAGCTAAGGCTGTTAGTATTCAGCAAAAGCGAACCGGCGCGCGGGATGTGCACCCGCAGAGCGCCGGTTTGCTCCGGCACTTCTGCGCCGGACTACATGGCATGCACATGCCACACTGTTTTGTGATAACATTATGCTTTTGCGCGCTAAGTTACGGCAATAGCGAACTGTTACAGTGCAGCCGAGTCTGGAAGACCGAAACTGCAACAACCAGGCGCCCTGCGGTGTGTCCGTCGCTTCACCAAATCAGCGACATGCAGCTTTGTCAACCGGAATATTCCTATGGAATTTTAGCAGTCACCGTGTAGAGCGTCCCTGTTCCTCGCAGTCTGCCTTTTCATATCCCCAAGGCAAATTCACATTCCCTGTTATTCATGCCCGTGATTAAGTGGGTATCTGAGACGTATTTCTGCTTGTCCTGGCCAGCAGCCGGCGCGCTCCTTTGCCAATTACACACCCGTGAGGTTACACCAATTGGCAACAAGAGGCACAGGCACCGGCTGACCCGCAGGTTTTTCCATCGCAATTGCCACCAGTTACAACCCTAGCCCTAGAAGGCTCGTCCATGCGCCCCAGCCGCTACTCAGATTTTAGCCCGGGCTCGATCGGCACGCCCCCTCATGCCGCCAGCTTGGTGACGATGCCGGTGCCCACCGTCCGTCCCGAGTCGCAGGTGGCAAAGCGCAACCCCTCCTGCAATACCGTTGGGTCCCACGGGTCGGAAGGAGGAGTTAGGCCGGGCGTAAAGCGGAGTCATAACGGCTTTAGCCAGGCCCGTGGCTACCAAGAAATACTCATACGCTACTAGTTCCTTTCTCCACCTTGCTCCGTATGCTGGTTGCTCAAGCACCAGGAACCGTATACCTATGTGACAACCTGAAACTACGTGTTCCATTAGAGTTGAATTGTGCATGGTATAGGCTACATGCAAGCGTTACCTGTAGGGTTGTGGTATGGCATGCATGTAGTAGTACGCGCGGACCACAGGAAAGCAGGCGCTCTTCCTTAGTTCTTCCTCGACGCATGCCTTCATCTCCTTCGCAATTGGTACCGGTAGTTACCTTACAGATTTCCAATCACTCCCTATCCCCACACGTGCGGTTTCAACTATGCAGCCCATGCCTTAGCCATTATAAGCAGGCGTATGGGGCTTACTGGCACCCATATGACCGGACCATGACTTTATGAGCCTGTAGCTACGTGCGCAACCAACCCTCTTGCTCGTTCGCCAGGCTGCTCTGCAATCCTAGCTCTTTAAAGGGCAAATGCCATGCTCCAGCGTTCCGCTCCGCATAGGAAGCTGTACAAAATGGGGGTTCCCCAGTGCTGTACACAATGGGGGTTCCCCAGTGCGTCATCCAAAATACAACTGCATGCAGCTAGACAGGCTGGGGACTAAGGAAAGGTGCGCAGTCCCCAGCAGGTGTGATGCTGCCAGTGAAGCGTTACAACACAGCCGCGCGTGGGAACACCGAGGCTGCAACAAACAGGTGCCTACGTGAGGTCCTCTTTGTCGCAGTCCTTTGTTTCATACCTAAGGCATATTCCTTGATTTCCTTCGTGCAAGCAGCCAACCCACCCCGTATCTGATTACACAACCCACGCCACCGTGTTGGTACCCCAAGCGGAAACGAGCATCGTACACAGCGGACCGCGCAGGGTAGTAGCAACCCTAGCCTCGTCCATGCATTCCAGCCGCTAATCTTAATTCAACCCGAGCTGATTGGGCACGCCTCCTCATGCAACCAGCTTGGTGACGACGCCGGCGCCCACCGTCCGTCCCGAGTCACGGATGGCAAAGCGCAGACCCTCCTGCAATACAGTTGGGTCCCACGGGTCGGTCAGGTCATGCCCCAGGCAGGGGCTAAAGGATGATCAAGTCCACGATTACCGAGAGGTCCGGGTGCGCATACAGAGCATGTACGAACGCAGTCCCAGAGTGCAGTCGCCTCCTCATCTCGACTACACGCATCCGACCTGACAAACAAACCACCAGGACCGGGCCCCCTTTAAGAAAGCGACGCCCTTTTACCCTCTTCCCTCCCAGCACTCCCACCTCCAGGGCCACGGGCGCCGACAGCTCGATCTTAGCGGTGAAGTTGTCGCCGGGCATCACCATGGCGGTGCCCTCGGGCAGGTTGATTTGGCCTGCACGGTTGGGGGGTTCACAGGGGGGCCACGCGGTCTCGGGTGAGCTAAGGGACATGGGCAGGCGTACCAAGTGACGCGCAACGAATGGTGGCCATGCCGGTCAGCGTCGGCGTGCACTTAGGACCGTAACCTTTCCCCTTGCGGCGGCTAACGGCACCATGCGGGTGTGGACAAGGCAAGGCAGGCCTGGGTCTTTTTTGGTCCAAGGAGAAAGGGGGAGGTCCTAGAGGGGGCTGCTCCGGGTACTGTCAGGGCCACCCACCCGAGATATCGGCAGTGCGGATGAAGAACTGCGGCTTGTACTTGCTGGTGAAGGGTGTGTGGCGGCCGCCCTCCTCCTTCGTCAGCGCGTAGATCTCCGCATCAAAGTGCTGCACGGCAAATGAGCACACGTGGAAGGTGGGGCCAGGTTTCAATTAAGGGAACAAATATGGGGCGTGCTGATTCTTAGGTGGGCTTGCTGTACCGTGGTGCAGACACCCATCTTTAGGGCAGCTGATGGGGCATGTCACTCGATGCAATCATTGCACTCCCCTCTGTAAGCTTCATCCATGCAGTCAGCCATCGCATGCCAGCGTGCAGCATAACTCCAAACCTACCCGCACCCCATCCGCCTCACCTTGTAGGTCTTCAGGCTGCCCGCCTTGCACACCACTTGTCCTCGCGACACGTCCTCACGCTTAATGCCGCGGATCAGCAGACCCACGTTGTCACCCGCTTGGCCCTGCAGAGGGGAAGGGGCCCGCGGCAAGGCAGCGTGAGCGGACAGGGGCCGTTTCAGCACGGAGGGCCCAGCGGACAGCGGGATGCGAACTAGCCATGCCAGATGATAACCGAGCCAGACAACTCCCATTATCCTTCCCGCTGGCCTTCTGCGGACTCGTGTTCCCAAGGAGTGCAGCTATCGCCGCACCTGGTTTAGGCTCTTCTTGAACATCTCAACACCGGTGACGGTGCTCTTGATGGTGTCCCTCAGGCCAATGATCTCCACTTCCTCACCGGGCTTCACCACACCTGGGGACGAGGGCGCAAGGAGCCAAGCGCAATGCTAACCAAGGGGCTCCAAGGGACAGCTGAGCAGGACCATTCGGCACATAGGCAGGCATGGAAAAGCATCCGGCAGTTTGCGCGGCCACTGTAGACCCAGCACCCAACAAGCCATGCAAGTCCAAGCCCGCGCAGCTTAGCAGCCATAACTGCACAGACTCCCTCCACCCCCTCCTCTTCCTTCTCCGCGCCTCTAGCCACCCACCCTGCTCAATGCGGCCGGTCACGACGGTACCGCGGCCGGCAATGGAGAAGACATCCTCAATGGGCATCTGGAAGGGCTTGTCGGTGGCGCGCTCAGGCACCGCCACGTACTCGTCCACCGCCTGCGATCATGCAACGGGGGGCCATGATGGCGGCATGTTAGCAGCCAGCACATGTACGCGTCTGCCGCTGACCTGCTTCCCCGCTGTCACCGCCGCATGCTCTGCTCCAAGGGTGTCCCAAGCAAGGACTTCGCCGCGGTAGGCTCGCCGCTCACCCCACCCGGCGCAGGTCCCCATACCGACTGATCCAACCCTCCAAAGTCCACACAAGGCCAGCCCTTCCCCAAGAGTGCCACGTGCCTAATGCAGTTGCAGGAACCCGCCCCCAGCCCGTCCCCACCCGCATGAGCTTTAGGATGGAGCTCCTGCCCACGGTGTCCGACTTCTCGCCCTTCAGAGCGCAGAGGGCAGAGCCGCGCACAATGGGGATGTCGTCGCCGGGGAACCTGGCGGGGCGGCAAGCATGACAGACCTTACATACCCGCTGCCTCAGGAGGGTGGCTAAACACTACTTCCGCCAGCCCTTGCAGCAAGCCGTGCACCAAGCAGCAAGCCCCTTCCTAGCTATCATGCCCCAAACCCCTGCTAGAAGACTTCCTAGCTCCAATCCTTTGCATGTTCCCTTTCCGGGGTGTGCTAACACCCCTTTTCAACCCCCTCCTTGCGCGCCTCACTTGTAGAAGCTGAGGAGCTCCCGCACCTCCATCTCCACCAGCTCCTGCAGGACGGGGTGGGGGGCAGGGCGGGACAGGGTGGTTGGGAGCGGCGCAGTCGGCATGACGGTACACCCAGGCAGCAGGGCTGCTGCGGATGCCGTCCATTTCCTCACATCATACCCTCGCCCCTGCTTGTTGCTTTATGGCGCCCTCACCCTCCGACTGCTACTATATACCGAAGGCGTCCTGCCGGCGCCCTCCCAGCACCTCCTCTCCCTCTCCCCAACGCCCTCCCTCACCTGCAGCTCCTCGTCCTCCACCACGTCGCACTTGTTCAGGAACACCACAATGCGGGGCACGCCCACCTGCGGGAGGTTGAGGAGGGACACGGGTCAGGGGCACTCAAGTGGGGAAAGTGAGCCGTTAGGGCCGAGAGACCCGAACGCGTCCAGTGCCACGCCCCGGCGCCCCGAGCTGCATCCAGAGCCTCCGAGCAAGGATCGTAAGTGCAGCCCCACACGCTCCTTCGCCACGCTGCAGACCTGGTCCCACCCGGCCGCAAACCACCCGATCCCTTATACTGGTCCCCCATTCCCCTTTGCGCCCTTCCGCCGCTCTGCTCCTTCCTCGCCCGCCCGCTCTCGCACCTGCTTGGCCAGCAGGATATGCTCGCGGGTCTGAGGCATGGGGCCGTCCGCAGCGGACACCACCAGGATGGCGCCGTCCATCTGCAGCCATAGGGTTGGGGGCAGGGGGACACAGGGTTGCAGGGAGGGGCGAGCAGCGCCATGCAGCAAGCGTGTGGGACCAGCAGGAGGACCCCAGCGCACTGCATCGGCAACAGTGTTGTATGCATAGGGGGCTAGGGCCGCAAACCAAGCCATGCCACCAACAGCCCACCTGCGCAGCGCCGGTAATCATATTCTTCACATAATCGGCGTGGCCTGGGCAGTCCACGTGCGCGTAGTGGCGGTTCTCCGTCTGGTACTCAACTGTGGGGACGGGTAGGAGTACGGGGGTCATGCAGGTGTTGCGCATGATGTGCCTTTCCGGGTATGCTCGCTGCTAAAGGTTGCGTGCGGAGCCTAGGAGGAGGCGGGTGCTTTCTTGGTTCAAACGCTTTCCTCACTCCATTTCCCTTACCCGCGACAACCTCAGCCGTAACTTCGCGACTCTACATGTGCGCCCCTGCCCTTTCCGCCCTTGCCGCTACCTCTTGCTGCTCATGCTGCTGTGCGACACGACCCCATCCCCGGCCGACCCAAACCTCGCACCGTGGGTGGCATTGATTGTGATACCGCGAGCCTTCTCCTCAGGAGCCTGCATCCGGGGGAAGCGGGAGCGGACGGGGACAGTCGCCGGCGGCAACATGTCGCGGAACATGTCGAATGCGAAATGCCCTGACCCCTGTACCCCCATGCACCAAACGGATGGGTCTAGCATTTTTCCGTAACCATACGACACAACAAGAGCCAACTGAGTCCTGCGCCCCTCCTTAAATGACGCATGCGGCTAACAGGCGGTGCCGTGAGTGACGCGCCAGGACTAGCGCTTCTGAAGCTTCCTAGGAGCCCACAATCTGGGAATGCGAGCCGTAAGCTGTCCGGGTCGCCCACTGAACCCACCTTATCAATCTGGTCGTAGGCGATAGCCTTGGTGGAGCCGTTCGTCTCGGCCAGAACCTGGGGAGACCCGGTAGGCAAGAGCCGTCACTACTACAGCTTTGCAATTTTCAGCCGTAAGGTTGCAGCAAACCGCTGATGCCTCCCCCAAATGCCTCCTCCAAGCGATGTAGGTTTGCTAACCTTAGTGATAGCGGCAGTCAGCGTGGTCTTGCCGTGGTCGACGTGCCCGATAGTGCCGATGTTCAGGTGGGGCTTTGAGCGAGTGTTGATATCGTAGCAAAACGTCCGCTGAAAGATGTGCACGGCATTTTGCTCGCTAGCGCATTTCCTGTGGGTGCCGCAGTAAGACTTCATTCACAGCAACATCGGCTTACTAGGGCGCTTTTCCTAGCTCCTACCGGCTGGCGAGCTGAGCCTGGGCCTGAAGGGATGCGCATAGAGAGGAAGCGACGCGGCCAAAGACTGCCCGCCCCGCAATCAGCGACGCCGCCAACGCCATCACGAAAGTAGGTCGTTAATTCGTATAAGGAACGCTTAGACAACAAGTGAAAAGCGACAATATGAGGCACACAAGCGTCTAAATGTTTCCGAGCGCGTCAAGTCTTCAGTCCTTTAGGAGGCAGTCTCGGGGAAGTATGCAGTGCAACTGCGTCTCTAGCGCGCGTTACGCTACCGCTAAGCTCCTCGGCAATGGAGGAAAAGGAAAAGCTTTTGTGTGCAAACCGTGAGCTGGACCAATGCAATGGGTACGATAACGCCAAGATCCAAACCAACCATTATAACCTTATTTGAGGGCGCTTACGTATGTAAAATCATAACAGCAGCACCGTTTAACTTTATTCCGCTCAGGTCACAGATTGCCAACAGCTATTGGGTAGACGGCGCTGCGTCGGTGTACCGTTACCAGTAGGCCCATATGCTGAGTACATGTGTTAACGTGCATACGTATAACGTTACAAATGGGTTAGTTTACATGCATCCCTGCAACGCCTTGCCTACTGGGCAGCATGCGGGACCCATGGCCGGGCTAGGATTGGCGTAGCGAATCCCACACGGCTCCAGTGCAGCATGTTGCGTACTTATTTCCCCAAAGGACTGCAACTGCAAAGTTAGGTTGGTCCTAAAACACAAAGACAGCAAGCTTAAGCTCATCACAGGACGACAGCTGGGTTAAAGAGTTAACTGACAAGCTGTATGACACGACAGCTGGGTTGGGTAGAAGAAAACATGTGGCAAGGCTTCACCAGCCGGGTTGAGGGAGGGTGGAAGAAGCGCTGCTGACGGGCCGTGGAAGAGCTGTTAGGGTGCAAGAAGCACGTGTAAAGGGATAGGCGTGTACTTGGGGTGGGAGAGGCGTTGACGAAGGACAGCTAGCCGGCGCCTCTGCGACTATCTACCTGGTGCGTCACGTTAGCCGGGCTTGGTGCATACCACACGCTTCGCGCACATCCTGCTGACCAGGATTGAAACCCTGTGTCTTGTCTTCGGCTGCCCGCTTCGTCTGCCCGACTAACCCTTTCCCCCGTACATCTATGCCTCCTGCGCCTTATGCAACTTTGTCTTAAGTCCAGATTCCCAGTGAGCTGCTATTTGCCAACTCCTCAAGCTGCTATTTCATAACCCGCAACCCCTCAAACTCCCGATTCCGCTGCCCCACCCGCACACCCGTTCCCCCTCCGAAACAGAACAAGGAGCGCAACAGTCGGCCCCATTTCGCAACCTACCACAGCATCACGGGCGGCCTGGCAGGCGCCCTCTTCGTGGGGAACGGTGAGTAGTGGCACGGGGGGAGGCAGAGGCGGCCAGGGACGCAAGAGCAGGCCCAAGGCTGGCCGGCTGAGTCGGATCGCACTGATAATGCCGGGAGATGAAGTCCCCTCAGAATAACCGCCAGAAGAGCCCTTTGCCAATGCAGAGGAGCAGGCATTCTTTGCTGGTGCTACCCCATCCTCACCTGCACCCTTTACTTACCCCGATGTCCACCCTATCTTACCCTGGTCTGTTGCAACCCACACCCTGCTCGCAGTCTTGGGCGGTGCCTCCATGAAAGCCCTGCCCCCCCGGTCCAAGTACCTGCTGGGATGGGGCGGTTTAGCGAGGGCAGTTGGGTTAGGAGCGTCGTAGCTTAAGGAGCGTTGGGGCGAGAGCGGTGTAGCCAAAACCGTGAAAAACAGTTTGGGTGGGAAGTGCATTGGCGAAGGGCAGTCCGGGTGGGCGAGAGCGTGGGTGACTGGGTGTATGACGGCGATAGTCGTAGTTCGTCCAAGTGGTCCTCGTCACGCCTTCACCAAGCGCGGTCCCTCCTCTGCAGCAAATCATATCATCCTATGGGGACCGGACTGACCTGCTTAGAATCGCGGTTGTCAGGCAGTAGGAGGGTCAAGGAATTTAATGCGAAAGCTCACTTAACTTGCAGGTCCTCACGAATTGAGGGCGTGACGGGCCGAGGCCGTGAGGACGGGGCCTGCTGGTTGGGGGAAGAGACGTGTGTGTCTATGCCAGGTTGGGCCATGCCGTGCGTGCGTGGTTTATGCCGCTTAGACCGTCTGCATGCATGCACTTTACCCGGGCAGCACCCTTACATATCACATGAGGGGTTGTCTGGAAACATGTGGCGTATGCTTTACATTTTGGTTGCGCACGGTCGGGGCTTGCACCCCTTAACGCGGCAGAAGGCCCTTCAGTCTCTCCAAGGGTTTTTGTGGGATGGCGCTGGCGGGAACTCATCCATACCCATCGACTATAATCACTCCATGCAACATAGTATACCACGTGTTTTATTGGATGGCGCATGGCGTGATGTAGTGAGTCGCTTGCATGCAAGGTTACTAACTGCCGGGGCCGAATACGAACGGCACTAGCATTCCTGAACATGCCTATGCGACCTAAAATATGCCTACATTATGTACTGCCGTAAGCGACCCTAAACAACAAGCCCGCACATCGAAACGCGCATGGGGTATGCCTAACACGGCGCCAAGTCAACACCCTTGATGAGCGCTAGGGCTCCTCAAGCATAGGTTTAAACAATGATGGCATCGCAGAGCTTTCGTATCAGGCTTTGGGTTCTTGGCTTGGCTCATGCTGTCTTGCATGGACATACGTACGACACTCAAAGTGCGCAGTAAAGTGAGGTCGGCTAATTTGCATTTGCGACACAAAAGCTTGAACAAGCAGAAACTCTTAATTGACATTTACGCTGTATACTATATTGACGGCTGAAGGCCTGGAGATAGGAGAATGGAAGTCACTCTTGGCGGGGATGGTGCCCCAGCTGACCGAGTCGCAACGCTGCTGAAGGGCCTTAACTTGTCATGCACACCATCAGCTCAGGCGGGCATTGTTCAGCTGTACTCGGAGCTTAAAAGCAGTTATGAGGCGCAAGAATGTGCAGCGCCAGCGGAGTACACGGTCAGCTGATATCGCATGCCACAGCTGCAGCTACGAGGACTAGCGATCAACAATAACATCGTAACGCTTACACGTAGGCGGATCAAGACGAGGACGTCAAGCAGGCTTGCAAACTAGCTAGCTTGTTCTTCGTTGCGCGCGTCTTGTACGCTCAGGAGCAGGATGGGGAGCAGCACTCGGGCAACCTTGGCTGTTCGATATCACGAATTGTGACAGCCGCTGGTATCAAGTAAGTGCTCGGTAGCCTTTCCCGCGCAAAGTCCCATGACCGACACTGGACCTCCCCCCACAGCCTGCTGGACTTCTTCCGGGAAGTCAACGTCGTGGTTAGCAGGCTTTCGACCTTTTTCGAGGCTCGTAACAGCAGCTCGAAGCTCTTTAGCCAGCAAGCGCAGCTAAAAGAGAACTCAGAGACGGTGGTCGTGATGGGCTTGTTGGCGAAGAAGTACAAGGTGCGCACTCGCCCGCGTGTGCACGCATTTGGATACAGCTTTACGTCTTGTAGCCAAGGCTTGCGAGCGAAACTGCCGGAGCGGTACCTGAGTGCTTCGTCGCATGAAAACGCGGGAAACGTGTCTCCCCTTTTCCAGGACAACTTCAACACTTTCCTGCACCAGTTGGACTACTACAAACAAGTTGTGCTCCGGCTGGGATGGAACGCTTTCCTGGTGCTCCGAGTAAAGCTGCTTAGCGCCTTTCCTGACGTCGTAAGGTCAGGACAAATCAAATTAGTTGTAATAAGTTTACGTTGAGCATATCTAAGCGTTGATGAACCTTGTGCAGCTGCGTGGAGCTGCTACCCTGCATCTTCGCCATCCTCGCCAGCCATGCGCCTCGGCTACCTGACTCCCTCTCGCACATTAAGGGCGACGAGCGCGCATCGCTCCTCCTCAAGTGCATGTCAGGTAGGCCACCAGGCGATGCAGATGACTTGCCCCCCGGTGTCACAGGTGGCGGCCCCGTCCCTGCCCACAACCCCGGGTCCCACACTGCACCTCCTGCTGCCCCTTGCAGAGATGTGCAAGGCGGACTTTAAGCGCGTGCAGGCGCGCATGCCGAGTGTGGAGGCGCTGCTTATACAGATTTTCACCTCAGCTGTGCCTGAGTGGCGCACCGCCATGGCGGAGGCCAAGGCGCAGGCGGCGCAGCCCGCCGCCGCCGGCTCGGACACCCCGTCACTCGGAGCCGGCCTGGACCTCGTCTCCAGTAAGGAAAAGGAACCTGTGTTGGGATGCAACTGGTTTGGCCTGACCCCCAACGGCGCCACGTCAGCAAATGACGAATACAGGCTTAGGAACTAGTGAGGGACAGCTGTGAAAAGCCCCAAGCCTGATCCATGGTGGTCTTACCTGCCCCCCCTATGTGTGCCCTCTCACCCGACCCGCAGGCCCTGTGCTAAAGGGCCTCGTCACGGACCACGAGCGCATGAATCGCGTGGTGGCAGCCCTGGAGCAGGAGTACGATCAGCACTACTCGCGCGGCGGCCATGAGCTGGACGAGCGGGAGTTCCTTTCCACGGACTTTACAAAGTTCGCCTCGCCGCGCTTCTCGCCCGGGCAAATGCACTCGGTGATGAGCAAGTTCCGCGGTGGGCCCATGCCGCTGCGCCCGGGCTCGCTGTTGGGTCCTGGCGCCCACATGACGGCGCCCGCGCACACGTCCTCGCATCCGCTCCACATGATGATGCCGCCGGGGCTGCACTCGCCGCTGCCCATGATGCACCTGGGGGTGGGGCCGGGGCAGCCGGGCACCCCGGTGTCGGAGGCGATGGGTGCCTCCGCCTGGCTGCGCGGCGTCACATCCAGCCTGGCGGCAGAGGTAGGGGGTGGGGGGAGATGAGGGAGGGGTGAGAAGCATGGTTGGGTGTCGTGACGCTGTTGACCATAAGCCATAAGTGGATCACCAAGCCGAGTTCTTGCATGCAGGCCGGCCATGGCATGCGACAAGGTCTAAAAGCACGTCACCGAGTGCCTGTGTTAATCCAGCGCCCCCCTCCCCCTGCACGCTCGCAGCCCTCGCCGGCGCTGCAGCGTTTCCTTACCGTTGTCCCAGCGGCCCCGGCCGCAGCCGCCGCAGCCCCTGCCGGCCCCCACCCAGCTCCCTCCTCGGTCGCGCAGCAGCTCAGCCGCCGCGTGCGCGACATGGTAGCTGCGGTCATCCCGGACGAGACGGTTCCCTCGCTGCTGGGGCCCTTCCCCCTGCTGCAGCCCTCGCTGGGTGCTGAGCGGCGCAGCGAGGCCATCAAGCTCTACTACCTCAGCCTGGAGTCCATCCTGGTGGCGGAGGAGAAGGCCAGCGGGCTGAGCGGCGCGATGTCGCTGCTGTCGAGCACCAAGTTCCACCGCGGGCTGATTGCCTGCTGCGTGGAAATCGTGGCGGCGTGCTACCGCATGGTGTCGTGCGCCTTCCCCAAGGTGGGTGGCTGGGTGGGGGAGCCGGTTTGGTCGCTTGAAGGGGTGAAGGACTGGCTTGTGGGGGCGTGCTCAGGAGTGGTTACATTCAGCACAACTGGTGTGTGGACTTGATGCATGCTCTCCTTTTCGTCACCCTTCTCTCTCACAGCATCAGCATCAATATAGTATCCTAAATCACCCCGAACGTCATTCCTCGTGTACCCTTCCCTGTAGGTCCTGGACTCGCTGCGCATCAAGGCATTCGACATGGCCAAGATGATCCAGAGCTTCGTTAAGAGCGTCAGCACCCTGCCGAGGTAAGCTAGGAAGGGGGCTGCAGAGGGTTTAAGATCATTTGCTTCTCTGGAGCAGGATTAAGGGATGCGGCAGCCGGGGACCCACGCCCTCTTCCCTCTGCATGCTCTTGATGACCCCCGCACCAGCTTCACATCGCCTCATCATGCACCCCTCTTTCCGCAGGGAGCTCAAGCGTCACATGTTCCTGATTGAGGAGAAGATCCTGGAGTCGCTGGCATGGGAGCCCGGCTCCTCGCTCTACCACCTGATCGTCAATGTGCGCAGCGAGAACGACGCACCTCCGCCAGCACCAGCTGCTGCGTCAGCCGCGCAGGGGGCTGCGCCGGCGGCTGCCAACAGCAGTGGAGGGAGCGAGGAGCAGCAGCACACCGACGCCGATGGCAGCAAGACCGACTCGTCCGCAGGTACGGTTCATTTCTTGGGCGTGGACTGTTAGTGGACAGACGTTACGGTGTCGCTCTCCTAACTAGCATGCTATGATGCTCTCTTCCCCATGTGTGCATGGCTTGTGAACGACTGACGTGTTCTCTCTTGCTCTTGGTGGCAGTGCCGGGGCCGCCGCCGTCTCCCAAGCGGACGCAAGCCTCTGCCTTCACGGAGATGATGTCTCCCGCCAAGAAAGCTCGCGGCGTGGACGGAGCGGCGCATGCCACCCAGATCTTCACCCAGCCGCTGCCCAGCTGCATCGGACCGCGGCCGCAGGGAGCCACGGCGCCCGGCGGCAGCGCGGGGGCGCTGTATGAGTTCTGTCGCAAGGTGACCCGCAAATGCGAGCGATGTCGTAGGCTAGGAGCCGCAAGTGTGCGCGGCTTTCCTGTCATGAGTTGGCAAAAGTCTAGGAGGCAGACGCCTTCCACTACCATGGCGTCTACGCCAAACAACGGTGTATGTACCGGTATATGTGTTTGCAGGTGCTGAAGCTGTCGGCCTTCCGTCTGGCCATGATGTGTGACAACTTCGACTTCTCCCCTCTGGACCGGGTGGAGGTAAACAGCAAGGTACGACACATGCGCTTGCTTGGGACCTATCGCTTTTATATCTCAGCTGGGGTAAAGGTCTTGCAGGTTTTCCACTCGCCTGCGTGTCCCGCAGTCCTATACCGGGCCTGCCTAACAAGTGATTAGTAAAAATTGACACTCTACTGCCCCGCAGGTGTACGAGACCATTGAGCACGCGCTGTTCCACCAGACCCACCTGTACTACAACCGCCACATCGACCAGGTGATGCTGTCGGCGCTGTACGGCTACTGCAAGGCGCACAAGCTGGCGCAGGTGTCCTTCCGGGAGATCATTGCGCACTACCGCAAGCAGCCGCAGGCGCAGCAGGCAGTCTTCCGCTCCGTCGTCATTGAGCAGTCCAACCCTGGGCTGCAGGTGAGGGGCATGGGGAAGGGCTGCTTGTTTGTTCTTGTATGGCACCCCCTAGATCCCACGGGTAATATCGGCCTGGATCCTGGATGGACTGAGAAGGCTTTGCTACTCCACATCCTGTCCTTCGCCTCCCTCGGGTCATCACGGTTAGATAGGACCGTATGCCCCCCTGCGGGTTTTCCTATGGTCACGGTCAGTGTTTACCGCGGCTCAGTTCACCTTATCCCCCCTGCCTCCCTCCCCCTGCAGATTGGTTCCCGTGCCGACATCATTGCCTTCTACAACCAGGTCTTTGTGCCCGCCATGAAGTCCTTCCTGCTCAAGGGCGAGTCGGGTGGCGTAGGCGGCGACACACCGGTGCCCCCGCCAGCCCCCACCATCAAGGTCCCGGTACCCGGCCTGCCGCCGCTGCCCCGCTCTGCTAGCCACTCGCCGCGCGGGCCCCCCCGGCTGCCACCCACCTTGTCTGCTCCGCTGCCCGCCACGAGCCAGCAGGACAGCCACGAGGGCAGAGAGTCGGCGGATAAGGCGTCGGTGGTGCGGGATGGCGGAGGCAAGGCGGTTGCAGATGGCGTGAAGGTTGAAGTCGCGTCGGCGATGCCGCACGCGCCAGCAAGTCGCATCAGCCATGCGGCGCCTGTTGCGCACCCGCCCAGCAATTCCCAGATGGGGTCTGTTGCGGGGACGCGGCACGCGCCGCAGGCAGCAGCGGCGGTGCAGGGGGCTGCGGGGACACAGAAGGGACCCGGGGCCCGGGCGAAAGCGGCGCCTGCAGCTGAGCACAAGATTCCGGATGGCTTGGCCGCGCTTCTTCAGGTATGTGTGCAGGGGCGAGAAGTTGTTAGCTTGGCGCTACAAGCAGAGCGTCGAAGGAGACACCGGGGGTCACCTTCAGGGATGGTGTTTTGGCATAAAAGTTCCTTTTTTGCCCTTCTAACCCATACGTTGCGGCACTTGCCATCTGTCGCATGCATACAGGCTCTGGACAGCCAGCAGGGCGCAGACAACCAGGCGGACGGGGAGGAAGGCGAGCCGGCGGAGCAAGGGGACGAGGGGGCGGCAATGGGCCTGGACACCTCGATGACCATGGCAGCCCGGGAGCGCGCCGTCGCTGCGGGCCGAGAGCGCCGGAGCGCCCGTTTCCTGGAACGCAGGGAGGAGGACCACATGGACACCGACCCACGGGTCGCTGCCCCCGCGGGCGAGCACATCGCGATGGCGGCAGGCAGGCGCCACCGCACCCCCAACAGGAGGTACGACAGTTAAACAGCTGAACAGCTGGAGCTGTGTGTCCTGAGTAGGATACACCTGCGGATCTAATGCTGGGAAGACTTGTGAGGCTCGATTCTTACCTAACGGCCGCTGTTCCCCAGCACAACTACTACTGGTATTGCTTACTGCCAACAAACCGCGTTAAGGTTCCGGCAAGGTATCGGGTTTGGGACATCCCGTGTTTAATAATGAGGACAGACTTTGGACCCTGGGATTGGAAGCAGGTCAGAAAGCGTTGATAGGTCTAGCCTCTAGCGTCAAATGCTTGCAATAGCTTTTGTTATCAGATGTGTAGAATGCGCTGTCCTCGCCAGTGGCGTTTAGGTAGTTATTGTCTGGTATTCATACCATCGGTGAGCAAGCGAGTTGTTAACGAAGCTGTGAATGTCACCGATATGCATGCATACTTGACAGATCTCCTTGCGATGCAGTGTCCTCTCTTTCTCGAGGTCGTGGTTTGCTATAGAACAATCCAGGTGTTCGTTGCAGACAGAACAGTGCTTGTTAGAGTAGAGACTTGGCAGCGCGCATCCTTGCATAATTCGCTCGGTTGTTGGCTAAGGGGCTCGGAACAATGAAGTTATGAGACTTCGTGCCATTTCCTTGAGCTTTGCGTTTCGTGTTCTGGGGGGTCCATGAGCCCGCCTGGAGTGTGACGTGATGGGGAAGACCGCATGCTTGTCTGTTGCTTAACGGTCGTTAGCTCATTACCTTTTGTTGCATATCGATATCGTTGCTAGTTGCCGATGCACACTTGTTGCTTATCATAGACAGGGGTTGTTTGAAGCTTTAGCATGGGGAGCGCCACATGCGTTCGCCCGGAGGTAGGATGCAGGGGACTTTGGCGCATGCTGTAAGCAGCAGCTGTTGTTTAGCGAAACAGACGGCACTCCCGTGATTACGGAGGACCCGGAGCAACATCCTTGCTGTAAATTGGGTGGTTGGTTCATCGGGTGTGCTTAACATCCGTACCGTGTTATAGTTTCACAGTCCCAATCTGTCTTCCACGCATACACTCAAATACTTTAATGTTCGTATGCTTCCTGTAATCCGAATCCCTCCAAGCGGCATGTCACAGATCAAGCACGTGGGTCGCACATATTTGTCTCCCCCGAATGACAAAGATAAGAACATAGGATAGTGACTGCAGCACGGAACCATAATCGTTAAGCAAAGCAACGCACACAAATCCGCCCCGAGTGCTGTGTTTCTGTTGATGTGAAGGGCTCGTTGTGTCCAATACGCTTTACGCAGTACATGGGTGGAGGCTGGCTGACGAGCTGCAGCCTCTCCAGGAGTACATCATATACATGCGTTTATTTAACAAGTATGCACAAGCGTGGACACGCCCCTTTGCATAGCCGGTTACTGTACGGGTATGTACAACACTCATGGCTCGTGTATCTTTACCCCTTAGCGCGAGCTTGCTGTGTACGCATAGTTTTACATTCTTTGTGGTCTTTGGTTGGGCGAGGTTACATTGCTGCTGAAGGGAATACTTGGTTTCTATCTTAATAGGTACGGCACGAGCTGCCTTGTCTCTGACAGGGCTAAGGACCTGCTTCAGCAGCCTTATTAGAAACCCAGTGTGAAAGTTGAGCGGCCAACGGCCTCCAAGTAGGACTGGCGCAATCTCCAGGGCGCGCGTTTCCCTGCAAGGGATACGCGGCAGGTCGCTGACACAACATGGTTGTGTTTGCGAATAGCCTGCCGCGTCGCGCCTTGGTTACCCAAAAGTATCAGTCACAAACAGCCATGCTGTCATTCCTTAAGGTCGGCAAGCGTCGCTCCCACCAGTATCTTGCTGCGTCAGCTCCAGCATCAGCTACTGTTCATAGTAAGTCTACATTTGGAGGGGACATGCCCACTTGGGACGGCGTTTGCTAAGGGACGTCCGTCCGCGTGTGCAGGTTCGACTGGCCTTGAGCTGGCCGATGGCCCCTCTAGCAGCGCGCCCCTGACGACCAGTGCTTCACCCTCCGATATCTACACACGTTCAACGCCTTTGCCGCCAGGCAAAACGCTCCAGCTACGCACAAGCGTCTGTTACCTTCCGCATCCGGAGAAGGTGCGAGGTTTGTGCTTTCTTAGCAGGAATATGTAAACTAATGCGCTTGGGTTATTGACAGGTGCACTATGGTGGCGAGGATGCTCATTTTATTTCGGACTTTGGTGGGGGCATGATCGGTGTCGCTGATGGAGTGGGCGGTTGGCAGGAGAGCGGCGTGAACCCTGCAGGTAAGAGAACATGCTCACTAATTGTTAGGGTTTCCGATGTTAACGTTTGCTGCATTTTGTGCAGACTACTCGCGGACCTTGATGCAGTTCGCACGCGCGTATCTGGAAGGCAAGGATATCTTTGCAGAGCTGGCATCTTCACGGCAAGGCGTCCTTATAGACCCCAGGGTGAGCATCGCTATACACGTGTGAGCTGTCCGGAGGAAACCCTGTCCTTTTATACCTGCCACCTCGCTTACTCGCCTGTAACTGCCCTTTGCTGGATTCTCACAGGGGGCTCTCGACGCCGCGCATATGAACACAAAAGTACCCGGGTCCGCCACAGCATGTGTCTTGCAACTGGACCAGTCGAGCTGTACCCTCGTAGCCGCTAACCTGGTAAGCCACTGTGCGTTAGCACAAGTTCGTCGGCAGGACATTCGTTGTGGTATAATCCCAACTAGAACCCCTGTACGGAAACGGTTGCTGCACCTCCATGGCTGCAGGGCGACAGCGGGTTTGTTGTCATTCGTGACGGCAAGGAGCTCATTCGCTCCAAGCCGCTGCAGCACTACTTCGACTGCCCGCTGCAGTTCGGCGCCTTCCCCGAGTTTGTGGAGGCGACAGACACAGCCGACATGGCAGACCTTTACCGCATTGCACTGCGACCTGGGGACGTCATCGTCGCCGGTGGGTTGCGGCACGACTGCCCGTGGGCGCACTGCCCAATCGGATGATGTTCTGAATGTGTCAAAAGCACATGCCTTTAGCAGACGGCCTGGTGCTAGCAGACCCATTAGGTAAAGCGATGAATTCATGCTCATGGCCGTCAACAAAATCGTTGCCATTCCTGGGGGCTGCTGCCCTGCAGGCACGGACGGCTTGTGGGACAACTGCTACCTGTCGGAAATCGTGCCGATGTTGCCCAAGACGCCAGCAGACACGCACACCGCTGCTGAGGCTATTGCGGCGGCAGCTCGGCGCCACGCCAGCGACACGGAGTTCGCTTCTCCGTACACGCGGGAGGCGCTGTCGCAGGGGTAAGCCCAGAGTGTGTGTGTTGTATAACAGTGCTGTTAGGCTCATCGGGGTGAGCTTCATACCCGGAGGGTTAGGTACCCCGTATAAGAATTCGTCGCTCTAACTGCTTGCTTCTACCCCTGTCTAATCGTTGCTGTGCAGGTTGGACCTCCCCTGGTGGGACAAGCTGCTGGGAATGTCGTTCAAGGGCGGCAAGCTGCATTTGAAGCAGCTGACCGGTGGCAAGATGGACGACATCACTGTCCTCGTGGCGTTCGTGGACGTGGTGGATGCGCCCAAGCCGGCCCCGCCGCCGCCACCACCAGTGCAGGAGGAGGCGCCGGGAGCTGGGTTGGCTCCTGACGCGGATGCACCGTCCACGCAGGGGTGAGGTGCGACGAGTAGCACACGCACCAGCACACTAGTACGAGGGTCACGAAATGAGTGTTAATATGACGTGTGTATTCTTGTGTGGCTATCGAGTAATGGCAGGTCTTGCCAGCTTCGAAAATGTGTCGTGCATGTGCGGTCCTAACGGCTTGATCGAGGGGCCTGGGCTTCCACGGTGCCAAAACTGGTTGACTGTCTAACGTTAACCACATGATTGGGGGTTTACCGTTGGCAACTACGGTTGGGGGATTGCCAACGGTAGAAGAGGCCGGCGGTGCATTGGGTGCTCGGAGGACTCGCGGCGCTAGGCGTTTTTTTAGCATTCGCTGGCGTCAATGCCGTACCGTTTATCGAGTACTGTTGGGGATCGCGACACAATGTTGATATTTTGGTGGGACAGACGTGTTCCTTGCTGTTTCATGCGGCATGGTTGCATACAGTGGCTTGGGCCGTTCCAACCCCGTGTTTTTTGACTACTGTTGTGCAGCGGGCCCGCGACCTCTACTGTGCGGGGGCGCGGTCGCGTTGCGTTGCTAGGGTTATTTGCCTGCTTTTTAGAACTTGTCAGGGAAATCGCGCTCAGTGTGGAGCTGTGGTGGTGCAAACCCGATTGGTATGAAGGTTGTGTTGCTGAGGTTGACGTGGAGGCGCTCAAAGACACGAAGCCGGAAGGGCTTTTCCCATCGCTTTCTGCGGCTGCTGCGCAGTGTCGCTTGTTCCATCATCCTCGTGTATCGGAGCCGACATCTTGCATGCAAGCTTGCAACATTGAGCAGCGCCCGGCGGCATGCAACGTAACATTGTGCGCAAACGACTTCCGCCAACCCGCAATACCCCTTCCATGGCAGCAAGATACTAATTGAGGGGAAGATTCACAGGCAACGGAACGCGATGTAGGAATGTCTTACGTCGCCCACATGCTTCAGCTTCACGTACAAGTACAAGCAAGGCTCAGTCGCCTGACAATCCGATTCCGTAAAAGTGCAACACGACAACACCCACTGGTGCAGCATGCTTGCCCATACGATATGATGCATGCCGCGCCGAAAAGAAAGCGAGGTGAACATCATCGAGTTACGTCGTATCTTACGACTCGCGACATCGAGCCCTGCGTCTCCTGTGCGCACCCACACTCCTACTCAGTCCCGATGGCAACTAGGCGCCCAGCCATGGCCGGTGTACCTCACCTCATCATGCCGTGAACAACAAAGCATTCGCAGTTCTTGCATCCGAGCCAGCTTAAGCCGAACACGCGTCTACCGCCGCCCTAGCGCCTGCCTGTCTACGGAGCAGTGGAAGCGCAACCCCCAGCGTCCTCCTGCATTGGGCTCCGCAACACATACCACTGTAACGGTCATTCACTCACATATGCCTTTCGCCGCACAGTTCACTTGGATTCCATTCACGCCAGTGTCACCATACGTAGAACACAAAGACAATCGCGCATTCATCAGCCCACCCGACGCGTCCGTAACGGGGAGAAACCGCTGATGCCTGTAGGCAACCTAGCACCAGCACTCCAAATCGCCCGAGGCGCGCAACCATTATAATCAGCGTTAAAGTGCCTCCCTCAGCCATAAGCCACCAGCTGCTCACCGTACGCCCAACCGGCCCGTCCGTCACCTCGGCATCAGGAGCGGGATCCAGCCCGGTGTTGCCGGACGACTCACACCCCATCAACCGATCCCGACCCGAATCCCGAGCGCCGCGTCTCACAGGTACTTGCACCGTTCCCACACTCACGCCATCCCAACACTCACGCCCTCCCGCACTTCAGCTACACACGCTCTCGTTTCCTACAAATGCAACTTCAGTAAGCTGTCTACCTGCGATGAAGCAATCAGTACCATCCGCAAAGGGAGCAGTGTCCCCGCCTAACCCTGCATTCAGGCCTCTCTATCCGGCAACCCGATTATCAATAAGTACAGCAGTGCCAGCCAATCACTCCATCAAGCGGTGCTAGCAACCGGCTACCAAGATACCGGTACTCGCGCTTGCAGTAATATGGTTGCCAAGCAAACGCAAAGTATTGATACTGCTATAGCCGGCATAGCTTAGCCGTTGCAAGATCCGTTTACCGGCAAACCAACCCTGGGCTCCAATCGCACTCTGACGCACATACACGGCTTGGTAAATAAGATCCCTACGTAGCCATTACCTAGACCAGTAAACGCACCCCCTCACATCACTATCGATTAAGAGCAGGTTGACGGCTTGTGGCGCTGCGGCCCCGCGCCTGCACATTCACCAACAAAGCCACATTAAACCCTAAACCCTTCCCTTACACATACCCCCTCCTCAATCGCCAGTCATGTTCAGTACCGTTAACGCGGCTCAATTGGTTTAAAAGACTACCCCTTTCCTCGCCATAACCCAAACTCCACCCTCCGCAAGTACTTCGCTCCCCACTGCGGCCCCTTCCGCAGCCAGGACGCCCCATGTTCGCCCCACTTGGCCGACGAAACAAAAACGGATGAATGAAGCGGCCATCCACATGCACCTTGGGTTCGACGCCGCCCTACATCCCCCTAGCGTACATCACTCTCCCGCACCAGCATGTGAGCTCTCGTAGGTTGTGTTCCTGCCGACCGACATTTCACCTCGCTCCCGCCCTGGTTACTTCTCCCTACCTCCGTCCCTCCCTCCAGCAACACCGGAGGCTGACATCACTGTAGCCGCCCAATACACAAAACAACGCCATGCTAATTAACAAAACAGGCAAGCGTTTACCCTCAATGAAAGCAAGCCACTGACCCGACCCCCGTCATGCAGTCAGTCATACGACCGCATGTGCTCTGTCCTCACGCGTTCAGCCGCTCGAGGCGCTTCCATGCCTCTGCAGCGCTCCCGGGGGTGCCGCCGAGCGTGGTCAGCACGGGGGTCGGCGGACACATCGCCGACTGCCCCGGCCCGCTCCGTCCAGACTTCCCCCCCCCCCTCATCACTTCCATCACCACATCTTGAGCTCATCCTTGACTGCACCACGTCAGCATGTTCTCTGACACACAACACAGCCCCCTCCGTATGCAGCAATAAACCTCAGCTTCGCTCGGGCAACGCACGCAGCGTTGTTTCGCAGTTGTTTGGATACGGCAACACGTATCATAGCCTTGCAGCAGCTCTTCCTCTCACCCCTCCGCTCCTGTACGTCCATACTTCCTCTCCCTCCTCAACGCGCCTCTTTCATTTTGCAAGCAGCACACAAGGCCCATAGAACCTTCTCAGCACCTCCCTTCTCCCCCCCCCAATCATGAAGTAAGTTAAATCCCCTACAACCGCCCCGAAGCACTGACACACAGCCGTTCAATAAATGCAGCAACGCTACGGCATCTAGGACAGATGCAACAGCCGTGGGCCCAACACGCCGCCATGCACGAGCCGGCCCTCCACATACCTCCTGGACATAGGTCCCAGCCCGACCCACCACCGCTCAGCACCCACCCGCTCGCAAGGCGGCCGCCGCGCCCCCAAAACCGCCTGGTTGGGGCGCGGGGCGGGTTGCGGTGCAGCTAGCTGCTGCCCCCGCTGGCTCTCGCCGCCGCCAGGGCCTCCCCCCTGTTCTCCTGTGACTTTAATACCATGTCTTGGACCTGGCAACGGGGCAAGGGCAAAGAAAATAAGGGGCGGGCCGGGGTCCACAGTTGGCCTCGAGGTGCAGATGGGCGGTTGCGCGCGAGCCAGCAGCGCATCGTATCTCGGAGGAGCCCTCGGGAACAGGAATCATGGGAAGGGCCGGGTACGATCATGCCCTCCCCTTCCCTCTCCTCCTTTACTCTCCTTGCAGCCCCCCTCCCACCCTCCTTCCCGCCCCCACCTGCAGCACCCACTGCACCGAGTCCGGCGTGCTTCCCTCCACCCGCACCGGCTCCTCCCCGGGGTACTGGCACAGCGCCCACAGCAGCAGACCCAGCGGGTCACGCGGCGCCTCCCGCGGCACCGCACCGTACACATCAGAGGAGCCGTCACCGCCGCCACCGCGGCTGCTGCCGCCCGTGAGTGCGCCGCCGCCGGGGCGCGAGGAGCCGCCCCTCGCCCCTCCCGCCCCGCCGCCGCCTCCCAGGAGCTCGGACCCCGTCTCCGAGCGGCCGGTTCCTGCGGAGGCGGGCGGGTGTGCCGTGGTGGGCCCCTTGCGCTGCTGCCGCAGTGCCGCCTCCAGCTCGTCGCTCTCCTCCGTCATGCCACTCAGCTAGCAGGGGAGTGGCAGGGGGAGCGGCGGTGGGGGTAACGGTGATGGGGTTAGTCACAGCGGCCTGGAGCGAACAAGTATTCGTTGGGCTGCACCGTAATCACAACAGTCCGCATAGTGCATTGGCACTCTTGCGCCCTCCTCCCTCGGGCCCCCCCTACCATGTTGCGTTCTCCCTCTCTTTCCTAACCTAACGATCCCTATTTATAACTTGTCGTACTCTCCATCGCGAAAGCCCACTTATGTTTAGCCCTTCGTTTACTAACACCCTCTCTTTTTCACCTTTGTAGTCGACCGATCTTCAACTTCATACAGCCTTTCGTCGATGTCCAGCTCAGCCATCGCAGCTACCAGCATCACTGGGCCGCATGCCTGCTTTTCCTCGTTTTCCTAGTCAACACGTCTTCTTTCAAACTAACGTTTCGGTACGTTATCGCCTCAAATTCTCCCTTGCTATGCAGGTTAGTCAGGGTCCGCACTAGTGAGTGGGCTGGGCTTTGTTGGGTCTTTTGCGAGGGTCGGGCAGGGTGGGATGCTTTGATGCACACAGCCGCATGACAGCCCCAGCTAAGCAGCGGAGCTTACATACGTGATGCTGCTGACAGCATTGCAGCAGCGACATCAGGTGCAGCGCAGTGGAGCCAGTTATCACAGTAGCAGCCGCCTTTTATTCGCCAATGCAGAGTGATCTCAGATCACCCCAACCGCCATGGAGCTTACAATACGGTTTGTTATTGATTGATGCTACTAACTATACAACAACTACAATGATATGCTAACCCAACTATCCAGCCTAATGCGGATTCTGTTTCCAAATTAATCCCCTACCATGCTGGGGCAGCGCTCCAGCGGGTGCCGCGAGGGCGCCAGCAGCTGCCGCAGCCGCTCCACCACATCGGAGAAGCCGGGCCGCTGGTGGGGGTCCTGAGAGGAGGGGGACAGCAGGAGGGCAGGGACGTCCCAAGAGGGATGGGACATGGGGGACATGGGAGCAAGGAGCGCATTGAGATGGGGATAAGCGAGGCGACGATGAGCAACGCCTGAAACGTTGCCCCAGCCAGCCACCCTCTCAGACCCTACCCTGCCCTGCTCCCCTCCCTCCCTCCCCACCGCCGCCCCACCGTGTTCCAGCAGTCCGCCGCCAGCGCCACCAGCTCCCCCGGGGCGCCCTCGGGCCAGGCAGGCCGCTCGCCCCGCCCGCACACCGCCTCAACCACCTCGTGAGGGGCCATGCCGCGGTAGGGGGTCTCCTGGGGGAGCAAGAGGAGGAGGACGGTGGGAGAGGAGCAGAGGGGGGAAGGGAGCGGGTAGGGGAGGCGGGCCGGCAGTGTGAGAGATGGGGTGACAGCCGCATTGTCCGGTCCACATGCGGTCACCTGCAGGCCATGACCGCCTGCCTCTTCGAGCCGCCTCCCTCACGCAACCCCGCCGCCGCTTCCCCCACCGTTGCCCCCACAGCTTCCCCAGCGCCTCCGGACCCACCGCTCCCTCCCTGCACCCCCTACCGTGGTGTACAGCTCCCACAGCACCACTCCGAAGCTGAACACGTCGGTGGCCAGTGAGAACACCGTGTCCTTCATGGCCTGCAGGGGGGAGGGACGCGGAAAAGAAGGGGAATCAAATATGGAAGGATAGTGGTATACGCGGCGGCAATCTAGGGAAGGGGAAGGTTGCAAGGAGGGAGAGCGGATATGAGAGGGTCTGGAGAATGGGGGCTGGGTCTCCAAAAGCGGATAACGGCCATTGGGAGCAATGCTGGCGTCGTTTCCGGCATACAAAGCATGTGACAATGGCACAGCCCCATCGGCCAGACCCCTTTCCTCTCCCAGTATCCTTCGGTATGGTTTCTCCAGGCCCCCGCTTCTCCTCCTCCCCGCTGCTGCTCACCTCCGGCGGCATGTGGCTGACGGTGCCGTGTATGCCCTGCCGCACCTCCTCCTCCCCGGGCGGCAGCACCATGGCCAGACCGAAGTCCGCCACCTTGGCCAGGAAGCCGTGCGGCCGGTCACCGCTGCTGCCCACCCGCTGCAGCAACACGTTCTCAGCCTGCGGGGGGGGGCGGGACGGGGCGGGTGCGCACAAGCACAAATGGGGGTCTTGTTGGCCGCGGGGGGCGGGAACCACCCGGGCCCACCCCGTCATGCCGGCTGCTGCCCTGTACCAGGCCTCTCCCCGTCCCCCCCATCAACCACAGCATGGCATCTTCCTCCTCTTCTCCCCCCCCTCTGCTTCCCCACCTTGAGGTCTGCGTGCACTATCCGTAGCGCCGCCAGGTGCTTCATGCCGTTGGCGATGTCCAGCGCCACGCGGTACAGCAGCGGCAGGGCCTCGGGGGAGGGACTGGAGGGGGGGAGGGAGGGGGGAGGGCGGGGAAGAGGTGCGGGGGAACAGCGAGGCGAGGGGGACTACACGTCACTCCCTGCGTGAGTGTGAAACTATGAAGGTAAGGGGCACGTGCAGGCCAGAACCCGTTACTGGCATGGCGGTTGCTGCACCATCCAGCCCGGGGGACCCCCACACCATCACGAAGCCGCTCCCCAAGCTCACCGTCCACCGCACCCCCGTCCACCCTCTCCCTGCACCCACCCCGTCAGTCCATGTTTCCGCTTGTTGATGGCGTCCCTCAGCGTCCCCAGCTCGCAGAACTCCTGCACCATCACCGTCATGAACCGCTGCCGCCCGCCGCCACCCCCCGCCCCGCCCCGCCCCAGCTTGGCCGCCAGCCTCCCCGGCTGCATGCGCCCCGTGCAGGCGTCGTAGGTGAGCACAATGTTGGGGTGAAGCAGCAGCCGGCTGACGCACGCCTCCACACGCGCCAGGCGGCCGCGCTCCTTCTCCTTGCCCAGCACCCCCGTGCCGTGCTCGATGAGCTTCACGACCACCTGCAAGGGAGGAGGGAAAAGGTGGTCGGGAGGGGAGGGGTAGGAAGGTAAGAGAAAAGAAGGTATACAGTGGTAATGGGATTAGGCAAGCGTCAGCGGTTTGAAGAAGAGGAGCACGCCCCTCTCACCCCCTTGTCTGCCCTACCTTGGTGTCGTACAGCCTGCCATGGTAGACCATACCCATGCTGCCGAAGCCCAACACCTTGTCGATGTTGACCTGCGGCCGCACACGTGCCCATGGAGGAGTAGAGCGGGTGGGGAGGGGTGGGGTGCACGCCACACGTCAAACTGTCAAGCATGACACCACACCACAGGTGCGACATGCTTCTCCAGCCTACTCGCCAGCTCCCTGCCCTGACCACCCTCCACCTCTGACCCAAAACACACACGCTCTCACCCGCACAACGCCCACGCCCCTCTCGCCCTACCTCATCCAGCAGCGTGCCGCGGTCGTCCTGCAGCCGCCTGTTGGCCAGCACCGCCTCCTCCACCTCCAGCTCCACACTGTCGCCGCCGCCGCCCAGGCCCGCGCCCGCACTCACGGCGCCGCCGCCAGCCAGCTTGGAGGGCGGGCGCACCGAGGCGCCCAGTGCGCCGCGACCCATGGCGCTGCCGTCGCCAAAGGTACCGCCGCTGTTCACGCGGACAACCAGGCTGCGAGTGAGCATGGAGGGGCTGCGAGAGGGGCGCTCGGTGTTGCGAGCGCCGGAGGCCAGGGCCTCGTCTATTGCGGCTAGGGGGCCCAGCGAGTCAGACATGCAGGTGCTGCTGTCGCCCTGGCTGCGGCCGCCAACCGTGGTGGTGGCGCTGGGCTGGCGGCTCAGTGCGCGGTTGGCAACGATGGCGGTGGCGGTGGCATCGCCGTTGTACGGCATCATGGGCATGGACAGCCGGGCTGCTACGATACCGCGAGGTAAGGGGCCGGTGGATACGGTGCCACGGGAGGGGGAGGTCCCGGTGCTCGATGTCGCGCCCCCGCCGCCCCCGGCCTGTTGCTCGGCGGCGGCGCATCCGTCAACTGACTTGAGCGCGTTTAGCAGCGTCGCTGACGGCGCCGCTGCGGTGCCGTCTCCGTCGATGAGCGGGTCCATGGGCCCCGACTGGCTGGGCGAGGGGCTGGGCAGCTGCAGCACCAGCGCCGCGGTGTCACGGGGCCCCGGGGAGGCGCCCTCCCAGTGCCGCGTATGGTGCTGCAGGTTCTGAGCGGACAGCGGAACGGACGCGGCGGCTGCGGCTGCGGTAGTAGTGGCGGCAGCCGCTGGTGGTGGTGGCGTGGCTGCTGCTGCAGCGCCGGCGGCTGCCGCGCAGGGTGTGAGCTCCAGCGAAGAGCGGCCGCGGGTGCGCTCCCTCTCTCGTTCCCGCTCCGGCACCACGGGGGCAGTGATGGGCGGCACGGGGATGTCGGAGCCGTCACTCCCCACCGCAGCACGCAACGCAGCCGGCACTGCCTCAGGCTCAGCAGCACCGGCGGCGGCAGCGGAGGCCACTGCAGCTGCACCGCTGTTGCCTCTCACAGCCCTGGTGGCGGCCGTAGCGGCGGCATGAGGCATGGCACCGGGCACTACGGGCGCTGCGAAGCGGAAGCTGGCGGCCCGACCCAGCGCTGAGCCGGAGTGCTCTCGCAGCCGCTGCAGAGGGCGCGATCCGCGGCCACCCGCCCGCGCCTCCTCCGCCAACACCTCCAATAAGTCCTGGTCCGAATCGCTACCACCGCCACCGCCACCTCCTCCACCGCCGCCACCTCCGCAGCTATCGCCTCCATGCCGCGTCGGCCCGTTGCTGCTCTGCCGCAGGCCGGTGTCCGCCTCCATGCCGCTGCCCTCGCCGCCCTCCCGCCGCCGCCCGCCCGCGCTGTTCAGGCGGCCCGGCAGCGAGGGCTGCAGCAGGCTGGCTCCCGGCGAGCAGCTGCCCGCGCTGCCCCGGCGGCTGGCTCCTTCCAGGGACATGGAGGCGGCCAGGTGGCGGCTCAGGCTGTCGCCGCCCTCCAGCAGCCAGGCGGCGGAGGCGGCGTCCGACTCAGCGGAGCGCCGGCCGTTGTCTAGGGAGGGCACACTCAGCGCGGGGTCCTGGGGGTCCTGCGAGCCGAAGCTATGCCGCGGACCAGTCAGCCGCAGCCCGGCGAAGGAGAGCTCGGAGGCGGAGCGCCAGGCGGAGCGTCGCCGCCGGCTGAGCGCCGCCTCGGTGGTGCCGTTGCTCGAGGGGTGCTGCAGGGGCCAGGGCAGCTGCAGCCCGCAGCTGCCCATAGAGCATACGGAGCCCAGCGAGGGCGCCGGAGCCTCATCCCCCTTGGGCGGGGAGGCAGGTGCTGCCGCTGCCACGTCCGTGCCGCCGCTTCCACCGTCAGAGGAGGGTCCAGCGCTGCTTCCGCGGCCCCGGCGTGCGGCCGCCTCCGCCACCTCCGAGCTACGGCGGCGGCCGGCGGAGCTGCCCCCGCTTGCTGCTGCTGCTGCTGCCGCCGCGGGCTCCCCCGTTGCCGCCAGCAGCTCGTCTCCCTCCGCCTCGCCCTCCTGCTCCTCAAGCACATTCTCCAGCGCGCAGCTGCGCAGGGAGGCGCCGGACGAGTTGCGAGCCACGGGCCCGGGCCGGCCGCCGCAGCCCACCTCACCCAGCTCGCCAATATCCTGCAACGGACAGTTCGTCGGTGCAAGGCTCAAACCTGCCCGCTTTGCTTCCAACCAAACAAAGCACAGAGAACGCCTGGCATGCTAGAACCCACACAGTGGAACGCACGCCTCTACCCCTGCAGACCCGAATCGCCTACCAACCCGGCCATGACAACAAAGCTTGCTGGTCCCCATGCGCTCCCTCTTCCCCACCCTCTCCTCACATGCTGCACCAGCGCGAAGCGGCTCTTGGTTCGCGCCACCCGGCGGGGGTAGTGCGCGGAGGCCACCCGCTGCTGCAGCGACCGCTCGCTCAGGCTCTTGCTCACTCGCACGGCGCGCTCGTCTCCCCCTGAGGCACCGGCAGCGGGGCCGGGGCCGGGCGCAACCGCGCCAACAGCACTCACCAGGCCGCCGGTGCCACAACGGAGGCGGTCCGCTGGCTGCGACGGCTGCGCCTGTGCCGAGGGTCTCCGCAAGGCGCCCCCGCTGACAGTGTCAGCAGAAGCAGCGGCGGGTCGCAACCCACCGACTGCAGCGGGGGCTTGAGAAGCGGTGGCGCCTTCGGGCCCTGTGGCGTCTGCGGGAGGTACGACAGGCCCGCCGGGAGCGCCGGCAGCGGCTGTGACGCCGCTGATCCCGCACTGCTGCACCCGCTGCGGTGCGTACTCCGCCAGCATTGCGTGCCACGCCTGCGGTGGCAGATTGCGCGATGGGTTAAAAGGGCGCACATAGGACCGTTTGCAGCAACAACCGACTCCCGGGTTCCTGCAACGGCTGTGAACAGCAGCCCTGCCGGTCAGCAACCAGGCCAATACGGTAGAGCCCTACTAAACGTGCCACTTGCATACTCCCATGCCCAAACCAAGCCCACATCGCACGGCCCTCAGACCTGCAGCAGTGACGCCCGGCGGTGCTCCTGGTGCGCCAGTTGCTGCTGCTGCAGGTGCAGGTGCTGCGGCCGGAACCCCGTCTCGCCTGCGGACCGAGACCGCTGCACACTGCCCCGCCGGGCCTCCCAGCTCCCCGTCACGCCGCCCTCTCCTCCGCCCGAGCCGCCCACCGCCGCGGGGACCCCCGGGGTAGAGCGGCACTGTGCCTCCACCTCCGTCAGCTCCAGCCCTAAGCCGGAATCCCCGGAGCCTGCAGCCGCCGCTGCGCATGCTGAGCTGCCCAGGGAGGAGGCGCTGGAGCCCCCTGTGCTGACCGCCTCCGCCGGCGCCGCGCACACAGCAGCCAGGGGCCGCCGCTGCTGCTGTTGCTCGCCGCCATGCATGCGGCCGGTGGGCTGCACTGGCAGCAGCGGTGCACGCGGGGGGCGGCTGTGGGCTGCAGCACCGGCGGCCGCCTCGTAGGGGCAGAACAGCGACCGAAGCAACGAGACCTCCCTGTCAGGCTCTGCCTCCGCGGCAGCTGCAGCATCCCGTAAGGAGGAGTAGCTGCGTGTTCGTCGCACAGGTCCGCGCGCTGCCACGACGTTGCATGCCGCCGCCGCAGCAGCCCCACCCTTGCTGCCGCACACTCCAAATGTTGACTGGCAGCTCCAATGCGCTGCGCTGTCAGGGCCGCCGCCGCCAGCACAGTCACGTTGCCGCTGCTGGGACCCTGCGGCGGCAGCTACGTGCTGCGGCTGATGACCTTGCTGCTGCTGCTGTTGCCGGCGGCGGAGGAGGGTGGCGAACCGGTCAAGCGAGGCCGCCAGCTGCGGCTGCGTGCGGCGCAGGGCGCGTATGGCCCGCAGCTGCTGCAGCGCCTCGTCCTCGCTTTCCTCGCTGTAGGCGGAGGGCAGCGGCACGGGCGCGGCGCCCAGGCCGCGCTCGTCCAGCGTCGGTGGCGGCAGTACGGCGGGCTGGAGGGCGCATGGATGTATTCAGATGGAAGTGGGAAGGGATGCGTGAAATAGGAGAAACGGGTAATGCAGGCAGCGGCAGAACGCAACGCAGCCCAGTAGGATTGCAGGTTAATCCGTTCGCATACCGTTGTGCCCGCGCCATCGTCGCATCCTGGCTAGCCTTACCAACATCAAACTTTACCCAATCTAGTATTCTCTTCAAGCCCGCCAGCCTACCATACCGTACCCCTCCCCCTCTCCGCCACTCACCGCTCCTCCGCCCGCCGCCGCCAGCTCCATCAACACGCGGCTGCGGTGCGGCGACAGGTCGTTAAAGGTGCGCGACCTCTGCACCCGCTGCCGCCGCTGCAGCTGCAACGCCTTGCTGACGACCGCAGCGCCGCCCAGGGGGCCCTCCAAAGCGAGGGAGCCCTCCGCACTCTCCGCCGAGGGGGCGTGCGTGCTCGGCAGCGGTGGCGGCGGATTCCCGGAGACAGGCGCGGAGGCTGAGTACGGCAAGGTGTCCACCCTGTCTCCGCCGGTGCCGCTGCGGCTGCTGGGGCGGAATGCCCTTGCATTGGCCGGCTGCCAAACAGGCTGCTGCTGCGGAGGCTGCTTGGCAGCGGACCTGGCGTCCCTCACGGGGTGTGGTGGCGGTGCGGCGGACAGCGAGCAGCGCCTCTGCGGAGCCGCAGCCGACACCAGCCCAAACGAAAGAGCCTGCTTCGCGCCCCCTTGCTGGCTGCCATTGCTCAAGTTCCCCTCCTCTACATTCCTCGCCAGCACAGCCGCATCGTCGCCATCTGAGGAAGGTAGCATGTGGCCATATGGCCCCACCGCGACTGCGCTGCGGGACCATACGGAGGTAAAACTGTCGTACTTGCCGACTCCGCCAGACCTGGTACGGCTATCGCGGCTCTCCTTCAGGCCGACCCACGGGTCGACGTACTGGTTGGCATGGCTCGCGCCAGGCCCACCGCCGTGGCTGCCGCGGGACTCGTCGCGGAACTCGTCCGCTGCGGATGGCGCGGTGCTGGCTCCGGCGAAGAGCCAGAGCAGGAGTTCGTCATCTGTCTGGCAGGCGGTGGTGGCCATGCTTGCGAAGCCGCACGTGGCGGCCTTGACTGTGTAGCAGACGGGGCCCTCGCCGCCGGTTGGCCCTGGGAGGAGGGCGCCGTCGCGACCCAATTTTGCAGCTGATAAGCCATCTTGCCCGCAGCCGATAGTACACACGTCCTGAGGATGGGGCGCCCCGTCCGCTTGCACTGTTGCTGCCGGGGCTACGCCGTACTTGGCAGCGCTTTCATGGCCGTTGACCGCATGGGGCACTTGGTTGAGGGAGCCGAAGCAAGCACCAGTAGTAGAATCCGCACAGAACAGGGCTATGGCTGGCACGACAATGCCAACAAGGACGGCTGAGAAGATGAAGGCTGCCTTGCCGGCATCATCGCGCTGAAGCGTGGGGTGCAGCCCAGCAACAAGGGCGGTTTGCAGAACATGTGCTACCATGGCAAGCACCAGGATGTCCCTCCGAGCCTGCGGTGCATTTAGTTGTTGGTATGCATGTGAATGCACAGCGTCCAGCGTAACATAGCTCACCGGTCGTGAGGCAAGCCAAAGGAAAGAGCTCAGCGCTAGGTGCGCTATCCTTTCTGTGGCTGTTACTTCCGAGGCCATGGTCGCGAAAGAAAGGCCGCCGAAAAAGAGTAGCTGATTCCCGACCTGCAGCCAACGGCATGGCAAACGTTGCTAGCGGTCGGGGGCACGTTGCAAGCCCATGCCCACGCACCAGTGACCATTGTTTTATTAACTCGCTGGATTTCGCTGACCAAGAGCCCAAGACGAAGAAGAGGAAGCAGCTTACCAAAGCACCTGAAGCAACCGTCAGTGGGGAGCCTTGCCAAAGAAAGAAAAGATTGGAGTATGCATATTTCATACGTACCAGCGCTCGCCATTACTCGGCAAAAGGTAAGCTGGCAAGGACTGCTGCACATGGTGACCGCCAGCACGACGACGACAAGAGCCGCTTCCTGCAACATTATCAAATAAAATAAGAAGTGTTCCTAATATCGGCGCCGCTTACAAAACAAAGGCTGTCCGTGCAGGCTATAGACTACTAGGAAAAGGGCTATGCCTACCGTCCTCATGGCTGCACCGCTGCAGAGCGGCAGCCCAATAGCTGTCATACTCTTGAACCACATGCGCCCTTAAGCGACGTGGACATGGTGGAGAAGCACCAACGCCGTCGGTCGCGGCTTTGAGGAAATGTCGCTACTAGATAACATAATGCGCGATATGTCGGTGATAATAATGGGATGCAACGCGTGCTCTATCATTATCGCGTCAGGTCCGGTCGCTAGTTATGTAGCATTTCGTTCGTCCTAGTCGTACGCCGTTGGGTGCGCCAATGGTTGGTCGTGGATGGCCGTCAGGACCCGTTCGCGCTGCAGTAATATGCTAGGACTGCAAACGGCTCATCGCCTGAAAATATGGTTGGATTCTACTCTAGCATTTACCTCCATAACACCCCTTGCCGAGCCAGGCATAAGATGCCTCCCTCCATTCCCCCATTGATTATGCCCTACTCCGATGTGATTGCAGTATCTAGGAGTTATGCTTGCCAGGGGAGTTATGTGGGCAAGTCATGCTGTCATTAGCGGAATGTGTCCTGCAAGCTGTTACAGCAACCGCAAGCAGACACACTTTTTGACGAGATCCAGAATCAGAAAAGCCGCAACATACAGAATCCCACGTGTATATAAAAGTTTGAGGTCCTACCATCACGGATCAGAGCAACAGTGTTCAGCACGAACCCCAGGGTTTCAGGTAAAATCCGAAACACGGGTTGGGGAAAGTCCTACGTAGCCCCAACGTCAATAACCGTAAGTGAGAGTAACAGCCATGGGGCCATGTGCCACACGGTGATAAGGAAACAGGAAAGACAATCACTCTGTAGGCGCCATGCCAAAACATGCTCCAGTCGCGCGCCAGGCCCAAATTCAAGATGGCGGGGAGGCGGCCCAGCAGTACGGCGGTGCTGGTATTGGTCTTCAGTCCATTCCCACGCTCCCAGTATTACCGCCACTCGCACGTGACACGACACGCTTGGAGTGAGCACGGGAGGAAGCACGGCCTCTTAACACGTTGTGCACCACGCACAAAGACGAAATTGCAAGTCTCGCACGCCACCACATGCCATTACCATATGCAGCAGACGTCAGCTCCGCGCACTGCCATGGACACCCAATGCCAGTAAAGAGTAAGAAATCAGAAAACGTTAATAGTAGGACGAGTGGTGCAATTATACCTTATGCACTGTTACGCCCAGCAGACCCTCACAGCAGAGCAATGCAGGGAGGTCGCCTACTGTCGCCGCCGCCAGAGATGGACATCAGTCAACATAACCTTTTTTAATTGATCTGCAGCGTACGTCTGCTAACCTGCCCATGAGAGCTTAATCCAATCACGCTTATAGCATATACACGGAGCGGACTTGAGCTCTGCCATCCATCCGTAAACAGGAAGCCAAGACAGCATGGGGGCTGCGACGCACAGGGGCAGCTGAGCCCATGCAAGATGGCGTACGCAAGTCTCGAGTGCACAGTCTCATGTGGTCATTTTCCTCTATGTGTGGCCAAGTATCACGCGCACCCAACGCGCTCTGTCTGCGTTTAGTCCATCTGCATGACAGTAGCGCGGCTCTCATCTACAATGCTGTCCCAAGGAACCCGCCCCGCCTCCGCCCCGACCCACTCCCCTCTGCATGGCCACAGCAGCACCCTTTCCAAGGCGCTGCCGCCGCCGCTCACCTCCCCACTGCTGCGCAGCAGCCAGCACCCCTCTCCAGGCCGATCAGCACCTTCCTCCAGGAGCCACCCCGAAGCCCCGGTTTCCGCCGCCCGCCCCCACTCCCGCCGCCAACAGCTGCTGCTGGCGCTGCAGCTGCAGGGGCAGGTGGTGCTGCATAGCGGGCAGCATCGACATCATCAGCGCAGGCGCCCCCGCTGCGTCGTACACCGGCTGCTCCTCCGGCAGCTGCATGCCGTAATCCTCCAGCCCCTCGTCCAGATCGCCTACAATGCGGTACAGCTGCCCGTCGGAGCCCTGGACAACCTGGGGGGAGGCGTGGAGTTGGGCAGTCCGGGCAGCGCACGTAGTCAGGAAGCAACGTGCCGAACAACCGCTCGGGAACATGCGGATGTATACTGCATTGTGGAGTAGTATGTAGCCGGAATGTGCTGCCTTTCCTTTGAGGCAATTCCATCCACACTTGGGAACCCATCCTCCAAACCCGCAAGACATTGCCGGCCGTTACCGACCTGCCCACGCATGAACTTCTTCTCATTCCGAGGTTGCAACCTAGAAGGCGGCACAGGCGGGTTCGACAGGAGCAGCTGCGACCCGACAAGCCCTCCACGGCCGTTACGCAGCGCTGGCGGCGGCAGCGCTAAGCGGAGGTCCTCCTCGGCCGCCGCTGCCGCCGCTAAGGACGCCTCCGCTGCCGCCGCCGCGGCTTGCAGTTGCGCCCCTGCCAGCATATGTTGCTGCGAAGAGAAGGCTGCCTGCTGCAGCGTCCCATTAAGGAAGGGGTGCTGCTCGTTCGCTGCAGCGTGCAGATCGTCGAGTGCAGTGGTTCGCCGCGGGGGTGGTGGAGGCGGCGGGTCGCCGCGGCGCCCTCGTGCAGGTGGCGGCGGGGGCGGCTCGCTGGGCGCCGTGGGGTCGCCGCTTAGCAGTGTGGGGTCCCGATCTGAGTGCAAGGAGAGGGCGGTGATGTCAAGGCAAGAGGGAGTGCAATGCTATTTCATCTACAATACCAGGTAAACAGCATTCCGCCGCAAGAGCCATTTTAGGAATTTGGGTCGATGATGTTTTTACTAAACCCAGGGCAACGGAACGGCCCAGACATCGACCACTACAGTGCGTCGCCCATACTGACGCCCATACTCCACCCGTTACCATGCCCATGCCTTCTCCACCCCAGCTTAAGTCCCTGCAGCACGGCGGACCCGTGCTCAAGCCCACCCAGAGGGCCCCAACTTACATCGCGCCTGCTTGAGCGGCGGTGGCCGCCCTGCTGCTGTAGAGGCCGCCCTGTCAGATGACGTCCCTGGCCCAAACGCCACGTCAACTCCGCCGCCTCCCCCGCCGCTGCGCAGTCCGCCCGGTGGCGGATCCCTCTCCTCCTCCCGTACCGGCTCCAGGGGCAGCTCCGAGCCCAGCGCAATGCCCACGGCGGCCGCCATGCGCCGACCCGAGGGCGTGATGATGGGCTCCCCGCCCGCCAAGTGGCCTGGAGCCGACAGCTCCAGCGGCGCCTCCTCGCCGATAGAGCCCTCCTCCTCCAGCTGGGCATGAGGGAATAGCAAAGGCGTGGCAGGTGGCTTGTAAGCACAAGAGACACACCTTACTGGGCGCAGCTTTTGTGTTAGGATAGGAGACGGCTAGATTGGGTGACAGCGCTTCCAGTAGGACGGTTCTCTAACGCTTCTGCCGGAAACACACCAACTGTCCTCGCACCTTAAAGTTGCTAAACTTGCCGGGTGGTCGCCCCCGTGCATGCGCCTGCCCGGCAGCTACATCCCGCGGCCCCGCAAGCTCCATCGGGGCGGCGCCCAGCTGCAATGGCGGCTGCAGGACCGACAGCGGCCCCACGGATGCGGCAGCACCCCGCCGCGACGGCGGCAACGCAACGGGCGGCGGCGGAGCCATCTGCTCCGCGGCCTGCGAGGCGGCTACCGCCACAGCCGCCATGCGCGATGGAGTCCCTGCTCCCGCTACCGCCGACTCGCCCAGCATGTTTGCGCGCAGGACATTGGGTCGATCGTCTAGGCGCCTGTCCTCCGCGTCATTGTGCGGGTGCGGCATAATCTGGGGTAGGTAAACAGCAGGGAGGGTTAAGCATGCCAACGCTTAGCCATGGATAGGCAGTGATGGTGCGCGGCATTACTGCCCCTGCCTCCCTCCAGCGCGTTAGCCAATCCCATGCAACAGATTGCCGGTCCCCTGCGGCCCTTAGCCGCCTTCTAGCCCCCACATTACCCCCCACTTGCCCACCTCTGTGGACAGGCGCTGGTTGCCTGCCAGCTGCGCATACTCCCGCATCTGCGATAGGTGCTGGTTGCTCAGCGTTTTGGCAAAGCCTGGTGACGCGTAGGCCCAAGAGCTGCCTTTGTCGTTGACTATAAAGACAAATACCTGCGCATGGGAGAGGGCCGAGAGGCCGAAAGGGAGGTCAACGGACACCGTGTTACACTTTAGGAGGAAAGAAGTCACAAAGGGGCGGTCATTCCGGTAGCCTAAGCGCATGGGTAGGTGCAGAGGCGCAATATGGAAGTGCAACGGATTGGCCAACGCTCCATTCCCTTGCCGGGGCCCTCACCCGTGCATCCGTTAGCTTGTAGAGCTGGTACGACTTAAGGATAAGTCCGCGCTTGCGCTTCGAAAACGCCTGACGTTTCTGGTCAGAACCCTGCGGGCCCCATTGCAGTGACGAGCAACAGGCCACGATTGTGTTAAAAGAACTGGCCGCGAGGCGAAACGTACTGTGATTGTGTGTGTGCACACATACAAATGGATATTCAACACCGCCGGCATGACACCACATTGCTTAGCATGGTCCATGCGGTGTTAGCACCCAAGTATGACCACAGCTTGCAGCGGGAAGGCATACACAACCAAAGCCAACTTGGTACAGTCTTCGTGTGCTGCGTCTATTCCTGCAATTACTGCGTTCCCCTCGCACAGCCCAGACCACACTTCCTATTCCCCGTCATGGTTGAGCAACTTGGAAGGTCGCGAAGGTCTGCACATAACGCTGCCACGCAAGGTACCCACCTCTGGCTTTTCGCAAGCCTTGCGGCGCGACTTGCCCTTGCTTTTAACGGCAATCCTTTCCTTTAGTCCCTCCGACTCTTCCTCTGAGTCCGAGCCCTCAGCATCCTCCACATCTTCCTGTGGCTGGGTAGACAGAGAACGTGCGCTGAAATTTGTGCTCGACTCCTATTTACTATGTTATCATGAACCCATGTTCCAGGAGTTCCGGAATTAACACGTTGACAAGCTACGCATGCATCGTAGGCAACCCAAACTTATTCAGCTCAACTCTGGAAGCTAATACGCTACTACTACGTAAACCATAATCACCTGTCCGAGCTCGTCCTCGCGGCGCGCCATAGCCCAACAAGCAGCCCGCCTGTTTAGGCGAGACTTTTCTGGGGAGGTGCCCCTGCTCCGTACTCTTTATGTTACCTAGTAGACCCCTCACGAGTTAAGCCTTCGAGGACAAGAGTTGCGCCTAGGGCCTATTTAGTATTAGGAGGCTGTGTGTGTACTCCATTGAGCCCTCTGAATGAAGTCGCTCTAGCTTGCAGGTAATGTGGTAATGCAATGACGGTCAAGGTATGCAAGCCAAGTAGCCAACAGCTAAGCAAGCCAGGAATAGGCGCCGAAACCATATTTGAAGAGGTGCAATGTTCTAAGGTAGAAGGATAGGTACTGTATGCATATACGGCTTGTCTAATTGCAACATTTACTTGTGCGCATGCCTGCAGCCCCTTTGTTTGGTTCTACAGCTTGCAGAGTCCAACGGGTCGCTGGGGTCGTGGGGTGGCCGGCTTCGGCAGCCGTAACCGTCATAGCGTTTGCCCTTCTCTACTTCGTGAGAACTTACTCAGGTTGGACCTTGTGACTAAAGTACTTTGACCTTCTCAATTTTATGCTGTCATGTCAGGGTTACTACACAAGAATGATACGCTAGATAATCCTGCAATCCTGCACGTAGCATGCACTGAAGATATCTCATTGGAAGAAGCCAAGGGTCAAGAGGGCGAGAGCTTATCATTTCCAGATTACTAGTGCGGAGCAGGCTATGCCTGTTGAGGCTATTTGGCATTGACAATCCTGACAACCCGTGCAAGGCTTGGATCAATTAGAAGCTACTACACTGTATTCATCGTCTTCGGCAATCCGAGTCGGCATAGGGTGGCATTTCAGAGCGATGCCTACCAGGGGATAATGCTACAGCCTCCCCGGTAGATACAGCTATTTCTTTGCGTTACATGTACATCCCGAATGCCTACAGAGGCGCTCTCAGGTCATCAGCGATGCAGCAGAACCTCACTTCACAATCTCGTACTGGGGACCCTGCAGTGCACATGAATGGCACAAAAACAGAGAGCCCCACAGAACATGACTTGACAGACTTGACGGTCCCCACAGACCGACCAAAACGTAGGGTTCCCGTCGCCGCGGGCACCCACCTCATCGGCGGGATCCAACTCAACAGGCCAGTGAATGCCTGAGTCCAAACTGCAGTCACACTAGTTGTGTATGCGCCAACTCAACAACAAAACCCGGCCACCGTGGCTTGGACAACAAGTGCATGTCAAGTAATTGTCACGTCATCAGCACAATAAGCAGCACCATTCTGTCCTCTCCGTCCTCACCAGCCAGCCAGTCAACATCGCTGGCAGGCTGCAAGATGCATGACCCGAATGCTGAAAGGGCGATGTAACCGTTTGTCAGTCGTAAGACGGTTGCATACTCTACAAATTCGGCTGGCGACTAAATATGACGAGGATTGAAGCGAACCGTCCACCGGCACACAATACCTGGCGAAACGTCCCACTTCTCACCTCCTCCTCCTAAGCCCTACCTATTACGCATTGCCTTGACCCTGCATATGTCAAGCCTGCACTACGCCCTCCCCCATCTCACTAAGAAACCGACAAGAGTTGTTTAGGACAGACTACGCTTGCCGCCGCCCTTTCGGTGGTACTTCCTTTACTGGTCCGTGAACTCGGCGTCGATGACACCATCGTCAGACTTCCCGGCCTTTGGGCCGGCAGCGCCGGGTTCAGCCTGTGGGCCCGCTCCCGGTGCCCCTTGGTACATGGCCTGCCCCATGGACATCACCTCCGTTTGCAGCGCGTTCATTGCGGCCTTGATGCTCTCCGTGTTCTCCGAGGGCAGCGCAGACTTGAGGTCCGCGATCTTGCCCTCAATCTTGGACTTGACGTCAGCCGGAACCTGCGGCGGGAAGCGCATGATTAGGAGGTCAGCAGGAGAGCAGGGGGCCGTTAACAGGCGCTGACAGTGCCTGACGAGCTACTGCGCAATGCTGCCAACGACTGCCTAGCAGCCGAAGCCGACAAGTGCAAAGACACGCGCAGAAGAATGCATGAGCAGCACGATCCTCGCAAAAATGCTGGTAGTGCGATAATAGCGTGCTAAAGGCCACATGATCGTCATGATGAGTGCGAGACAACAGTGCTGGATGTTGCCTACGTGCTTAGGTGACAAGTCTTCCCCGCCCATGTTCCTACCTTGCCCTCAAACTCCTTGAGCTGCTTCTCCGTCTGGTAGATCATGGTCTCCGCCTGGTTCTTGGTCTCCACGCTCTCGCGGCGCTTCTTGTCCTCCTCGGCGAACCTCTCCGCCTCCTTTACCATGCGGTCAACATCACCCTTGTCTAGCGTGGAAGCGCCTACAGAGGTAAAACGGTGGACCGTGCAGTGAGTTAGGGGGCAACAGGCTGACAAACGCAACAAACAAACAAACGCAACGAACGCGGGACAACAACCCTAAAGCCGTCCCAGGACGAGTTACGGTCCAGGCCCAGGCAGCGACATCACGCACAGTTAACTCATAGCCGCCACGCACCCGTGATCTTGATGTCCTGCTTCTTGCCCGAGCCCTTGTCGGTGGCGGTCACCGACAGGATGCCGTTGGCGTCAATGTCGAACTTGACCTCAATTTGCGGCACACCGCGGGGCGCGGGCGGGATGCCGTCCAGGCGGAAGGTGCCCAGGCTCTTGTTGTCGCGTGCGAACTGACGCTCACCCTGTGGACGGAAGCAGTAGTGTCATGGGGTCAGCGGGGACGGTCGCATCTGGGCCAAGGGCGTTTAGATTGCTCGCGGAGCTGAAGGCACACCGCGTTCACCGCGTTGTGCAGGTGAAACCTGAGGGGATTTGCAAGGGCCTCGGTGGTCAGGCCCTATAGCCGCTCCTACCTGCAGCACGTTAATCTCCACGCTGGTCTGGCCATCAGCGGCGGTGGAGAAAGTCTCGCTCTTGCTGGTAGGCAGCGTGGTGTTGCGAGGGATGAGGGTGGTCATGACACCGCCCAGCGTCTCCAGGCCCAGCGACAGCGGCGTCACGTCCAGCAGCACGATGTCGCTCACCTCGCCAGCCAGCACACCAGCCTGAAGAACCAGGGGAGCAGGGCTCGCACGTCAGCATGCATGTTGTGCTAAGGCGGCATGTGAAGAGACAACGACGACGCCCCAACAGACAGCAAGGCAAAGTACCAACGGGTGTACATGCACCTGCATCCGCACACGCACCTGCACGGCCGCGCCCAGCGCCACCACCTCATCGGGGTTGACGGACACGTTGGGGTCCTTGCCGCCCGACAGCTTGCGCACAATGTCCTGCACGGCGGGGATGCGCGTGGAGCCGCCCACAAGGATGACCTCCTGGATGTCGCTGATGCTCAACTTGGCGTCCCTCAGGGCCTGCGAGGTGGAGGAGAAAATATGCATGATGCGAGGTGGAGGAGAAAATATGCATGATGGTGACAGTGTAAGAGGTTACTACTGTATCACGGCCGCGCAGGAAATACCCTTGCCCACAGCTCCTTGTTGCCCAACGCCGTTCCTGCGCCCCGCGCCCCTCATCATTCGCCCCGAGCCTCCTCACCTGCTGCACGGGCACCTTGCAGCGATCCAGCAGATCGGAGCACATCTCCTCGAACTTGGCGCGCGTCAGCTGTGTGTCAATGTGCTTGGGGCCGTCCGCGGTGGCGGTGATGAAGGGCAGGTTGATGCTGGTCTGCGTCAGCGCGCTCAACTCGATCTTGGCCTTCTCGGCCGCCTCGGTCAGGCGCTGCGGTTGGTGTGGAGGAGGGACGTCAGGTCCTAGCCCTTCATGGCAGCTTACAACACAACCGACTTCTGGGCCTCTGGGGCGACCCTGGGCCTTTGACTAGTTCAATAGCCACGGCGCTTCCCTCGCTCAGCCCTCACTTCTGCGGCTCTGCCATCCCCACCTGCAGCGCCTGGCGGTCCTTGCGCAGGTCCATGCCCTCCTGACGGCGGAACTCCTCGGCTAGGAAGTCCACGATGCGCTTGTCGAAGTCGTCACCACCCAGGTGCGTGTCGCCGCTGGTGGATAGCACCTCGAACACGCCGTCGCCAACCTGGCATGGGGCAGAGTCACGGGACGGGTGGCACGGAGAAAAGGTCCACATTGAAACATGGGAACGTAAGTCCCATAATATGGAAACGCAGCGCATTGCAAGCACATCGAGGATTGGGAAGCTGACGCATGACAAATCTTATGATGCCCCCCGTTGCTGCATGGGTTCCTCTTTACTGTTGATGCCAGCGTCCGTACCTCCAGCACGGAGACATCGAAAGTGCCGCCACCCAGATCGAACACCAGGATGGTCTCGTTGGCCTTTTTATCAAAGCCGTATGCCAGAGACGCGGCGGTGGGCTCGTTGATAATGCGCAGAACCTGCGGGGGTGTCAAGACGGGCGCGGGACGTCAGGTGCGTATTGATTAAACATGCATGCTAGGGAGATGACCCAAACCAACCCCTGTGAGTTATCCGGTAGTTAACCAGCCCCCAAACCCTGCAGGCAAGGCATCCTACCTCGAGGCCTGCAATCTTGCCCGCGTCCTTGGTAGCCTGGCGCTGCGAGTCGTTGAAGTAGGCGGGCACCGTGATAACGGCCTTCTCAACCTGGGGAGGGCAGCGACGAACGAAAAAGGTAATGACATGCATGTGGACGGAAGGAATGCTTGGCCTGTGTCCAGTCGCCGCGGGCAAGGCTTTGTGCTTGTGAGAGGTCCGCCGTTTCCTTGGCACAAAAGCCCCGCAAAGCCAGAACCAGTTATAGCGGGAGGCGTTGGGGTGTTGTTCGATACACAAGGTTGCGCCTGCGTCTGGGTTCTAGCAAGCTTGCCCAAACTCCCACCCTACCTTGTCGTTCAGGAACTTGGCCGCGTCCGCCACCAGCTTGCGCAGCACCTGCGCCGAGATCTCCTCGGGCGCGAAGTCCTTTCCGGCGTTGGAGCTCTTGATCTTAACGTTGCCGCCGTCCTCGATGACCTGTGTCCGTCAGGGTAGGCGCGGGCCGTGTTCAGCTGCCCAGAAGCTTGGCTTAAAAGGACAGCAGGCCTACTAACACCTTCACTGACGATTTGGTACAACCCTGATAGCCTACGCACCTTGTACGGGACCTGCGTGGCCTCCTGGCCCACTTCGTTCATGCGGCGGCCAATGAAGCGCTTGACGGAGAAGAAGGTGTTCTCCGGGTTGACCACAGCCTGGCGCTTGGCAATCTGCGGGTAGAGGGCCAGAATCCATAGCGTGCGGTTGGTGAGGGTAGGCATGGAGTGAGGGTAGGCACGTGGTTTGTCAATGATGTGTATATATGAGTAAACAGACCCATCGACCAGCAGCCGACAACCTTAGCACGGGCCCATTGACTAAAGTCAGGTGTCAAGGGCACATATGCTTAAGTTAGGTGTCAAGTTTGTTAGCTGTCTCCTAGGAAACGTGCGACGAGCACATTTCCAAACCCCCCGAAGGAGCCCCGACTAAGGCGGATACCCTGTAGCTGTGTTACCCCGAAAGTACCAATACATGACCTGGCCCAGATACAGGTTGCAAACCCCGGATGTCACGTAAACAAACTGATTTCCGGTACAGCTTGCAAGGAAAACTGTATCTTCAAACAAGTGGAGGAGTATATGCTGTATACGTGCTGCGACTGGTGACAGGTGACATCAGCATCCGATTGCGGTCCGCAACTGTGGGACGCTCCGCACCTGGCCAACAAGACGATCACCGGTCTTCGTGAAAGCCACCACGGAGGGCGTCGTGCGGCCGCCCTCGGCATTGGTGATAATCGTTGGCTTGCCACCTTCCATAGCAGCCACCGCGGAGTTAGTGGTGCCCAGATCAATGCCGACGACCTGAATTATACACAATTGAAGACCACGGTAAACCATGTTAATCATATACCCCAATTCTTGGCAGAGCAGGTAGGCCGTGAGCGTTGGTGGAAATGCAGTATGCAACACGCGCACCTTCTCAGCCCGGACACTAACGGCCACAGCCCTGCGCGAGACACCAGCACGCCTGGACTTCGACGGCGTCACAGCCGAACCGGAGAGCACATGGCTACGAAGTGCGGTCATTTTCGGGAGGTGTGTGACAGAAGAAGCTGAAAGTCCTAATGTAAACGATAAGACCTATTAGGAACAGCAAATTCTGTAGTCCACGTTCCCTAGAATGGGTGATCGCCACGACATATGTTCTGGCTAAGGTGAAGCTTCTGGTGCCTGTGCGATGGGTCCAGGGTTTAGGGGAGGGTTTAGCCGATCCGCAGGAAGGCATGCCTCAGCCAAAATGATGATTCTTGCGATGAATTCCCTATGCACTCTATGCTAAATAGTAACATGCGGCCTTTGCACGCACCAAGGAATGACGTGCTTGCTGTTGGTGCCAATCGCTCTACTTTTGTAGGCACACGGAGTCACCGCCCCCAATGGCTATGCAAGAGGCCCTCCATCCTACAATTGATCACTGTTATTGCCACCAATCGGCGACCTACATACATGGGGCCAAGTTTTGCTGTCCACAGAACATTCGGGTTATCCTTACCCCTCATGCATCTTCAGCCATGTTCAAGCCATTAAAGAGCATGGGCTCCGACTTACGCAGTGCTGGCCGGTAGTGGAAGTGTGCCATTGCTTTGTAGACTCCTGTCACGCAGCATGGACATTGCCCCTAATGCTATGGACAGCGCACAGTCCACGCGGGACGTTCTTTGTATTGTGTAGTCACGTGCGCCAGCTTGAGCTCCTGTTCGACTTCCACGTTTCCCGCTATGCCTGGCTTTGGCGGGGATTGCAGTGGTTCGTGGTAGTAGTCCAGGCGACAAGGGGAAAAATTATATAAAAGTGAAACAACGAATCCGATAAGGGGAGGGCAGCGAAGGCACATACATGTCGATGTGGATCCTGTCCTTGGGGAATGAGTCCTGTGCAACAGCGGTACCCTGTATCCTGCCAATCCTTCTTCGGGGGTTGGGTGCCAGAACGCATGCTTGACCCGGTGACCTAGGCGTTGTCACACGATAAACCCATGACGTCCCACAGGCAGTTATGAGGATAACGACGAGTGACTGAACGCCGTGTAACTAGTCGCCTAACAGCCTAAAGGCCTGTAAGGATGACAGGGTGAACGCACGCTTTTTATGTGTGACCCGAGGCTGGAGGTTGCAGGCTACGAGGACGAAGTTGCCGAGGCAGCATGTCCTATCCCCTTCCCCCACCCCCAGAATATGTATCCCTGTATACCCCCACCCCCAGCATCCAGCTGCTCCTGGGTCGGTGACTTGCAGCTGCCGCATAGATCCCAGACTCCTTGTCTCAGCGTGGGACTCGGGTGTACCCAATAGGCTGACGACGGCATCGTGCTGGCAGTGAACGGGTTTCACAAAAGCTGCAAACGCGAGAAACGTGTTGCAACCGATTCGACAACTTGTAACACCGCGCGTGCCGTACTGGCACATAGCCGTCAAGATACGATAAGGACGGCCAGGAAAGGTCCACGGGTCAAACCGGAGCTTGAGGTTATAGTCATGCTGCAAGACGCAGACTGGTGCCTGTCACCACCCTTCACTGATAGCCTTGCATGGGACCCACCACAGTGGCCGTCCACCACTAACTCCCCACGCTTAACTCTTAGTCCAGAGCACGGCAGCCCCAACGGTCCCGCTTCCTGCGGGAACGTCCCCTCAGGCAGAGTTGGCAGGCTGGAAGACCCTCGCCTCAGTTAAGGCAGGATTACCAGCCAGGCATATGCCCTCTATCCTATCACAAAGGGATAGGATGGGTTGACGGGTAACAATCTGGTGTTTGACAGTAACGCTCCTGATGGCACTATGCAAGCGTGGCCGCGCGGTAAGCGTCGCGAGGGACGAAACCTTAGATGCTTGTGAACATGACCAGACATAAGCATTTAAGCAGGGACTTTAAGGTGCGTAGCACAACTTATGAAGTTTCTGGTGCGCATGCGATGGGTTCAGGGTTCAGGCCAGGGTTTAGGGGATTCCGCATATCAGAAGCCCGCGCATCTCTCATCGTTCCTTTTCCTTGAGGCCACGGCGAAGTGGGGTTACCCCTTTGCCAAAGTAGGTGATATTCATGCGACCTCTATGTTTATAAGCTTGATCCATTTGGGCTTGCAAGTAATAGTGTGGTTTCCTTCGCAGAATGGCTGCCCTGGAGACGTTCCTCTTCACGTCGGAGTCCGTCAATGAGGGACATCCTGACAAGATTTGCGACCAGGCAGGTTGCCCAAGGCGGCGCTCGTATGATGTATATTATGATACCCGCAGGAGGAGAGTGTTTGCTGGTTGGGTCGTGTTTAGGGTCTAGATCTTGCTTGCAGTTAATTGTTAGCCGACTTTCATGTTACGCTTGGCTGCAGGTGTCCGATGCCATCCTGGACGCATGCCTTGAGCAGGACCCCGACTCCAAGGTACGCCTGCGTTGCAATTGTTTTTGTCGCTACAAAAGCCTCATTATAATTTGATGCAACATAGGTGGCCTGCGAGACGTGCTGCAAGACTGGCATGGTGATGGTCTTCGGCGAGATCACCACCAAGGCCAAGGTTGACTATGAGGCCATCGTCCGCCGCGTGTGCCGGGAGATTGGCTTCACTTCCGCGGATGTGGGCCTGGATGCTGACAACTGCAAGGCGAGCCGCTTCATCGCTGCCGCAAGTTGTTAGATGTGTTTGTCTCTCTGGCTCTTAACCTACGTTTGATGCTTGACGCAGGTGCTCGTCCACATCGAGGAGCAGTCGCCCGATATTGGCCAGGGCGTGCACGGCATGGGCACCAAGTCCCTTGAGGAGATTGGCGCCGGTGACCAGGGCCACATGTTCGGATATGCGACTGATGAGACCCCTGAGCTCATGCCGCTGACCCACGTGCTTGCCACCCAGCTGGGCTACAAGCTGACGGAGGTCCGCAAGAACGGCGTCTGCCCTTGGCTGCGCCCCGATGGCAAGACCCAGGTGCGTCGATTCCACGTTTAGTTCATGACTTAGGGCTTCATGACCTCACTCTTAACACATGCTTCCCGCCTTCCGAATATTTGCCGTGATGCCTACACACGACCAGTTTACTATGCATTAGGTCGTACCATACCGACATTACATGTACTCCCGCGCAGGTTACTGTGGAGTACAAGCGCGAGGGTGGCGCCATGGTGCCCGTCCGCGTGCACACCATCCTGATCTCCACCCAGCACAGCCCGGATGTGACCAACGAGCAGATCCGCAGCGACCTGATGGAGCACGTCATCAAGCCGGTCGTGCCTGAGAAGTACCTGGACGATAAGACCATCTTCCACCTCAACCCCTCGGGCCGATTCGTCATTGGCGGGCCGCACGGTGATGCCGGCCTCACCGGCCGCAAGATCATCATCGACACCTACGGTGGCTGGGGTGCCCACGGTGGTGGCGCTTTCTCCGGCAAGGACCCCACGAAGGTGGACCGCTCGGGTGCCTACATTGCCCGCCAGGCCGCCAAGTCCGTCGTTGCCGCGGGTCTGGCTCGCAGGTACGGGTCCAAGGCGATATATTAGCAGAAAAGGCGATATATTAGCAGAAAAGACAGCACGGAATTCGGTCCCATGGTCGGTCTTCTTAGTTCACGATGTGCACTTTGGCTGCGCAAGTCACTTGTTTAATTCTGGGATTCATTCTTTATGCAATCCGTAACCATTGGAACGACGTCCTCCCTCTCTCTGTCCCCATTGCAGGTGCCTGGTGCAGGTGTCGTACTCGATTGCCGTTGCTGAGCCGCTGTCCGTCTTCGTGGACACGTACGGCACAGGCTCGATCCCGGACGCGGACATCCTGGCGCTGATCCGCAAGGCCTTCGATTTCCGCCCTGGTGAGTTGGATGGACGGACATTGCATGATTCTAACTGCAACCAAGAAGGGGACGGGGGACTAGGGTGTCATCATGGACCACAGCATGAAGCCTGCTGTGTTTCCTTAAGTGCATGGCCATTTCACGCGAACATTGTTGCCTCTTCGTCCCAACCAGGGCTCATTGGCAAGCACCTGGACCTGAAGCGCGGTGGCAACAAGCGGTACCAGAAGACTGCCGCTTATGGCCACTTCGGCCGTGACGACCCCGACTTCACGTGGGAGACCGTGAAGAAGCTCGAGTAAATGGTTGAGCTAGCGTGTTAAGGGGTCTTGGCTACCAATTTTGCGGGTGATGGTTTACTGGGCCTCCCATAACGCTACATCGTAGATAACGCCGAAGCCTTTGTCGCGGGCCTTAGCGGCGACTGGTGTTTGGAACCTTCTCGAGCAGCCACTGGACTTGGCCTTGGACAAGGGTGAGAAGTGGCACCCCCGTTTGCCTTTTTACACTGTAACAAGCGTGTGCTCTTTGACCTCTATTCCTTGTGCGTACAGTGAGTCTTTCACATACCGGTATGTTCGTCATGGATACGGGTGACTCTGCCAGAGATTCGGCGGCGTGCGACGTGACCACGGAACTGCATGTATACCGCCAAGGTGGTTTCCAGTCGGTCCAATTTTGTTAGGAATCCCAGGTGCTGTGGCCAGCCTTCCCGTAAGCTACTTTTGAAACACATTCACTGTGTTGAAATACCCAGGCAAGGGGGATTCACAATCTATCCTATAACCAGCTCATGTATGCTCCAGTAACATACATCTATCCTTGGTTCGGGCCATTAGGTGGTTACTTAGGCAATTACGCGCCCCCCTGTGGAAACCCTGGACGCCTTGCAGAATGCACGCCAGTACTGTGCGTGTTACGATTCCATACCTATCAGATAAGCGTTGCAGTACTAGGTGTTAGTATGCCAGCACTAACAAACATCAATCCCGATAACCGAAACCAGAAACCTCTGGCTGCACATCTGACATAGGCTTATGTTTCAAGGCATCGTGAGCTCACAGTACCACATTGAATGCAGCTGATATGGCCATGCTCACCAAGATAGTGCACATTTGTAACTTCAACCACCAAATCGGAGTTTGACGCCTGAAAACCTTGCTAGGATAAGGCGGCACCCTATAGAGATTGCCAAAGTATTTATGCCGTTGGGAAACACAGCGGGAAAAAACCGTTGTCGTATGCTGTGCTCCGAAGCTTACATAAGGAGTGTTAGGCACGCCTTTTCGATCCGACGATCTACGTCTGATTAACAACTGCAACCGTCGAACCCGCGTTACTGCTCCAAGGGCGGATAGAAGAAAGAGTACCGGCTTCCAATTCGGTTAAGCTTTTAACCAAAGGCACCGGTCCTTACAAAGGTTTTTGCATACATTACTGCTGAATTAAAGACTTAGCAAGGAAGCCCCGAAAGGCCTTTCTTTGGCTGGGTTAGCTGCGACTTGCGTGCGACATCCAGACGATGGAGCAAGATCAAGGCGATGAAGCCCAGAAGGCTCTTAATGTGCAGCTTGCTAGGTCTCAAACTGATTATAAACGCCAGGTGGGCACTGCCCTAAGCAAGCTAGCGCTCTGTTGGTTATCTTGCGCCGTCATGCCTGATATCTTTCTCCATAAACAGGCGAAGGGCAGATACGCATTCTGGGAGACCCAGCCTGTGACTCAGTTTGTTGAAAACGGAGAGGTGGGTTAGGTGCTGGTCTGCGGTTGCGGGGGCAAAACAGCTTGACAGGGTTCTTGCGCGTGCACGATCTGGCAGGCTGCGGAGGGCCCGATCGACGCGCCAAAGACAATCCAGGATGTGCGACAGGAGCCGTACACATTGCCGGACAGGTGTGGCAGGCGGGTGTCACGGGAGGCCCATGTGGCACTATGGTAGCATTGGAGGAGCTGAAGCCAATCACTTAAAAGAGTTTGTACTCAGCTGCCTATCAACGTGATGGGGAGCCTCATGGGAGCTTGCGTTTGCAACTTCGCACTAGGAGGGGTGCTGACGGTGACGCGGCCTTCGCTTCGAGCCAGTGATCTTAAATTCCTGCATCGATCGGGTCTTACCTGACATGCCCCGTGTAAGGGACGTATGTTGCCATTAACGAACTGTTGTAAGCCCTATGTGCTAGCGTCAACGGAACGGGCCCACTCACCAGCAACTACCTTGTGGGGCGCATGGGTCACGCACGACCATAGAACACGCAAACGTGTGGCATAGGATAAGGTTCAGCTGTCGCCGGCCCTCTTCATGGGCCCGTTGAATGTTCCCGGCCTGTGCCACGGCATCTGCCACATGCACAATGTTCGCCATGTAGGGTCTTGCATGCGCCTCCAACATGCTTGCTTGGCCCTCTGCTTGCTTGCAGCTTCGAGTGGTGCGTGTGCGACCTGAACGACGACGCAGTGGCGCATGAGGTGAGCAGGATGTGGCACGAACATGCGCGTCATGCACCTTGCTGCTTACATGCCTATTCCCGACCGAAGCACTACCGGTACGCACGGCGGGCTGCTCTCTGAGATGGCCGGCGATGGCTGGCGTTGCCCTTTCAGCGGAATGCGAGGGCCGTTTCACAAGCCTGGCCTGCCATGCCATGCCCTTCCCTCTCCCCTCCCCTCCTGTCCCCAGGTGTATGAGCTGCTGAGCAACAACTACGTGGAGGACGATGACAACATGTTCCGGTGGGGCGGGGTGCGGCGGGGGTAGTAGCGCTGTCCGGGCGGTTGGGGGTAACCTGCAGTTCATGCAGGGGTAAAAGCCAGGATGAGTAACCAGGATGCCACGTACGGTCCGCTTGTCTGGTCCATGTGAGTCTGTTTTCTTACCATGCTTATCGTACTTGTTTAGGTTTGGATAACGGCATGCGACGCGCGCGCCGCATGCACGGTTCCTCACGCTTGTTACCTGCCGCCCCTCGGTTGACGGCCATGGTCAGTACAGTTACACGGCAAGTAGCTTCAACACACGTTTAAGAAACATCCGCATGCAGGTTCAACTACTCTGCCGGCTTCCTCAAGTACTGCCTGCTGTGCCCGGGCCACCGGCTGGAGTGGCTGGTGGGGGTGCGCGTGCGCGCCTCGCACAAGCTGGTGGGCTTCATTTCCGGGGTGCCGGCGCACATCCGCGCCAACAGCCAGACGGTGCCCATGGTGGAGATCAACTTCCTGTGTGTGCACAAGAAGCTGCGGTCAAAGCGTCTGGCGCCCGTCCTCATCAAGGTGGGTAAAGCAACCTCTCATGCAGTCATGCTAACCTAGTATACCGGTAGTTGCTGCGACTGTGTTGCTGTTGAGGTGTATGGGGCGGTTAGGGTGCCGGCGAAAACGCATGAATTAGAGAGGCTGGCTCACTTCGGTGGGTTCCTCTGCGGCAGCTGTACCAAGTTACAGGGTTGGGCTAATGGCTCGGATCCCAGTAACTTACTCCCTGTTGTTACTCCTGGCATCAACCCACGCAGGAGATCACGCGGCGTGTAAACCTCTGCGGCATCTGGCAGGCGGCCTACACCGCGGGTGTGCTGCTGCCCAAGCCGGTTGCTACATGCCGCTACTACCACCGCTCGCTCAACCCACGCAAGCTCATCGACGTTGGTTTCTCGCGCCTTGCTGTAAGTCCCGACTTTGAAACCCACAACACGCGGCAGCCCCCATACAACCCATGATGCAGGGCTTTTTCGGTTGATACTTCGCCTCATGAATTACTGAACCGCGGTAGCTGCTGTGCCGGGATACTTTGGCATGGCCCCTAACTGCTGGTACCCTACATGCCGCCCACCGTTGCGCCTCATCTCCTCCTTTCCTTGCCCCACGTTCTCGCCTCCCCTGCCAGCCGCGCATGACCATGGCACGCACCATGAAGCTTTACAAGCTGCCTGACACGCCCGCCACTCCCGGACTGCGCGAGATCCGGGCCTCAGACGCGGAACAGGTGGGGGCCTGGGGGTGCGCATGACGGTCAGATATAGCAGATGAGACTATATGGGCAAACGCGCGTTTCCTAAAGCTCGCTGTTGTTTGTCTGTTGAGCTTTTCTTAAAGTTGCGTGCAAATTCTTTACTGATGGGTCTTCGTCCCAGGTCTTTGACCAATGGGTCTTCGCCTTTTGGTCCCTTGCCCATTTCTAGGTCTCCCTTGCCCTCCTCACTCCCCCCTCTCCCTCTCTCCCTGCCCCCGCCTGTGCCCCGCCACCCCACCGCCAGGTTGCCGAGCTGCTCAACACGCACCTGCAGCGGTACAAGGTGACGCAGGTGTTCACGCCAGAGGAGGTGGCGCACTGGTGAGTCCGCAGCCCATCGCAGACTGCCGGGGGTGTCCCGTAACCACCGTGATGCGGGATTGTGCGACAGCGCCTGCGTGGTTAAATAGTGGTTCTAGGGCTGCAAAAATGTTGGGGTATTTGCTCAAGGTTGGTGCCATACATTACTATATTACTTAATTTCCTTTTTGTTTGGTGTGCTCCTCCCGGACCTGCAATATCACACATGCCCGTCGCTTCGTCCCTGCCTCCACACCCCACACCTCCTCTGCTCAGGTTCCAAAACGTGGACAACGTGATCAACGCCTATGTGGTGGAGTCGCCCGACAGCCCCGGCCGCGTGACCGATCTCGTCTCCTTCTACACGCTGCCCTCCTCCATCCTGGGCCACCCGCAGCACACGGAGCTCAAGGCCGCCTACCTCTACTACAACGTCTCCACCGTAACGCCGCTGAAGCAGCTGGTGTCGGACGCCATGGTGCTGGCGGCAGCCCGCGGGTACGACGTGTTCAATGCGCTGGACCTCATGCAGAACAGCACCTTCCTGAAGGACCTGAAGTTTGGGCAGGGCGACGGGCAGCTGCACTACTACCTGTACAACTGGCGCATGGCGGGCGGGCACTCCATTGCGCCGCAGGACGTGGGGCTGGTGCTGATGTAGGGCGGGGTAGTTGTGAGAGGGAGCTGGTGTGTGGTGCGGGAGCTGGTGCTGATGGGGGAAGGGTTGGGGGTTGGGTTTGGGTCCTTTGGGGGTCGAAGCTGGTTACAAGGGCTGAATGTGCGGGAAAATGAGAAAGAAATACCACGCTTAGGACAGGAGCAGCATACGGGCGTGGGATCAGGGAGGTCGGAGGGCTGCCGTCCGGTTGCATGAAGGGTTGCGAATGGAGGGTTCTGTACCTTTCGGCTGCAATCGCCGGTGCTTTGGCACCTGCTCTTGCGCTTGAGGAGTAGCACGGCTATGATGCAGAGATGGCTGGTGGGGAATCATTGTACATTTACCCTTACGCGACGGCAGCTGCAATAAGGCCTTGGATGTGCTCTTCGGCTTTGATGTCCTATTGCTTAGTTTGTGGCCAAGGCCATTGTGGAAGTTACCACCGGGTACAGCATTGGTACTGAGCCGTGCCCCGACGTGTTCATCTGGGATCTGGGAGGCAGGGGCAAATCAACAATTACGGTTATGCCTTGCGTATCCCACCACTGTTTAGTTGGTGCTCTGACAATGCATTCCACGCGAAGGAATGGGTAGTTAATGGCTTGATGTGTTTGGAGGCGATTGCCCAACCACGCTGCGGGTGTCTCTGGAGGCCCATAACAATCCATCACTCACAACAAATCCTGTATGTACCGGAACCGACCTTTCTTGCAGCCGTTCATTAACAGGTATGGCGGCCCTGATGCTATGCGTGCACCTCATGGCAGTACGGCGAAGTACCGCACGGGGCATTAATGAGACGTGCACCTTATGGCGATATTGCGAAGCCCCCGAAGCCGCTAGGGGCTCCGCCCCAAAACAGTTGTTCTTGTTATCTTACAGAGGCGTTATGGCTTCCCTAAGCACGGGTCAGCAAGCCTAGTCAACCGTATTTGACCTTTGACCATGAAATAAACTGAATACCAACGTTTCAATCGCCGTAACTCACAATAGGCATGTCTTCAGTGGCTTGTTGTCAACGGCTAGGCTATGTTGTCCACAGCCCCGCTCAGCTCGCGGGTATCCCAGACGAATAGTGTACGCACACAACTCTCATACAACGCCGCATGCAGGCCTTCGATGTCCATAAGTTTAACTCTCCTCACACTCAACAACGTCTCTCTCACACATGTGCCTGCATGGCTTTCATGAGAACCCGCTTCAGCGCTCTGAGCAATAGTACAGTCAACCTTTCCAAACGCCGATACCGGTATAAAGTTCCCTGTTAGCAAATGCAGATGGCCACACCAGAGTACACATTTGCTATCGGCAAAGAGACAGGAGCATGTGGCACAACGTGCATGACCTCCACCCAACGCCGCTTAAGCACGCAACCACAATGTTAAGATTCTTGGATTAACAGCTCCCATGGCTCACCCTTGCACGCCTAAGGCATTTCTTTGTCAACGGGCATGTGGCGCAGAATGCAGCACCACCACGGCAATCCTGTGTGAACCCCGCACGAAACCTACCTATGCGCCACGCAATACACCAACAACCTGAAGTCTAACCATCCGACAAACACCACACGTGTATGTGTTGCGCTCAACTCGACATGTCATTAGTGTCCCCGGAAAGCTCAGTCTAGGGCATTAGACCGGGTCAGAGCCACGCCGCTACCAGGACCGGGGAAGAAGGTCTCCAGAGTGCCCTTCGCGTCCTTCGCATGGTTGAATAGCCGCCGGTGGTAATGGCCGCCGCAGTCAGGGCACACCACGAAGCGCTTGGCAGCGCACAGAGGGCAGGTTTCCGAGTACGAGAACTTCGCCCGCCAATCGACGGTGCCACGCCCATCGCACAGCCGGCATCGCACCACGCCGAACCCCTTGCAGCATTTGCATGACTTAACCTTTCGCACAAGGACCCCTCGCACTGCCGCGAACAGTGCCAGGATGGTGCCGAAGAGGAAGACTAGGAGAGAGATGGGTCCGACGGTTGAAGGCCATTTCCGAGCTGTTAACGTCCTGAACATATAGCCTGGTTGCCCTACCAGCAGCACGCGGGACAGCGACGCAAACCGGGCCTCGGCAAGGAAAGGCGACGTCGACCACTGGTCATGGCCGACAAAGCCATGTGCTCTCCGTTGATGGGCGTGTCGCTCATGGCTGAGTATACCACACTGCACAGGCTGGTTATGAGGTTGCTGCTGCTGTTGCCTGCCAGGCCCATGCTCAGCGACTGTATCCGAGGATGCAAGAGCGCTTCTATGAACCGAAAAAAGCACTTGCTTGTGTCTGCTTTGCTCTGGTTTAGTTGAAAAGCAACGGACTGATACACAGGGAATGCTGCAGGGCTGGAGGTGGAATATTTTTGTAGCATGCATTTGCAAGTTGAGCTACCCTACAACGTTAACCTTATGCTGGAAGTAGGTTTCAGAATGGGCACTGTTGCAATAAGCTTCCCACCCTCAAACAATGGTCTCGGAGCGTTCCGACGGGCAAGGCAGGTCGCTTCTGCTGTCGCTTTTCCTCTCTATCATCCGTGTGTTATAAGGCACCACTCATCTCATAAACTCCGTGCACTTGGTAGGTGCCTTCGCTGATCCATAACGTTGGTAGGATGATACCACCACATGTACACAACCCTGGCTGACGTTGGATGACAAAAACCGTCCATACTGCTGTCCGGTGGGTTGAAGTGAATAGTTCCAGCGCTAAGGTGTTACGGACGCCTTGAGAAGAGGGGGTGCAACGAGTGGTGCAAATTGCTGCGCGCTGGTGGACTGACTGGCGGTTCCTACTACTGCGGTTAGCTTACATTACTTATTGGTCGGTTACCCTTACGAACCCCAAAACCCAGCAGCTAGTACGAAACCCCTCTCAGCATGGGGCAGCCGTTGCGTCTACACCGTACAACAACGTGGCTGCTTCAACCCCAGAGGCTGTGTGGCTCATGTTATGTATCCGGTCTTGCGGTTAAAAAGTATGCGGAACGATTTACCGTATTCATACCTTTTGAGGGGATTAATTCTCAGGAAACTTAACGGAATACCGGTAAGCGTCTCCACACTCGTTACAGCGGTCGAAAGCCCTCAAGATGGGAACGCTTCCCTTAGTTAGGAAGGAAAAACCCATGCGCCTATACACATGCGATGCCTTGGCATAATAACACCGTACAGTAGCCATGAGCAGTAATATTGCCGGGAAATTAAAATGTGCAACATGAGTCACGTCAACGCAACCTCACTCCCAAACGCTGAACAGCTCGCCCCTTTTCCGTGCTCTCCACCCCACTGTGGCCTCCGCCCTCACACACGCCCTCCCCGCGCCGCCCCTCAGACGCGCATGAGCACCTGCCCGTAGCCCCACTTGTGCCAGATGCTGCTGCGGTAGGCCACGTCCGGCGACTTGAACACGGCTCCGGGGTTGGTGGGCAGCGCCACCTCCCCCAGCGCCGACATGTCCGTCAGCATGTAGCCGGCGCACATGGCCAGCGCAGCCAGTCCGCTCAGCTGCAGCCGGGGGGCTGAGGTGGCCAGTCGCCGGGTGCGCTGGTGCTGCCAGCCCCAGTAGCACTCCTTGGCAACAATGAGCGCGCACACCGCTGCAGGAGGGGCAGACAAGGAGAGGGGGGGAAATTGTATAAGAAATGCAAACAGGGGGGGAGGTAAGGAAGAGACCAGGGGGAGGAGCGACGGTGGCAGTGTAACCGGTAGCATCAGCAGCAGTGATGAGGGATAGCAGGTTTAGTAATGCATACTGAGGCAGGCGACTAAGGCATACTGGGAAGGTCGACAGCCGCGGTCAGCAATGCCTGATGTGAACTTAGCAAGCCCACATGGCAAAGCATTGGCATATCGCCGTCCCTGAGCACCCAGAATTGCCCCAGTCGCCCGGCGCAACGCACCCCAGGCCAGCTTGACTCCCAGCACCCCCGGTAGGCTGGCCGCGTCGCTCATGCCTGCTGCCGCGATGCACAGCAGCGCCGCCGCGCCCCCGCCAAACTGCACCGCCTCCAAGTAGCCGGTGCTGAGTGTGGTCAGCAGCCCGCCAGCTGGGGGGAGGGAGGAGAGGGAGCGGGATGAGACGCATGGCAATGCTTTAGCACAAACATGGTGTGCGCTTCGCAATGCTTGTACGACATATGAGCCTGCCTGGACTGGGCGGGTCTGCGCCATGCAGCAGTGCTTCAGCGCTCCCAGCCAAGACGCACCCGCAAGTACGGCTGCGAAGCCCAGCGTCCACCAGCGCATGGGGTGGTCACCCCAGTCCCGCAGCATCCAGTAGGGGTCGTCCTCGCGCCACCAGCCATCGCCGCCGTCACCCAGACCGCTGATGGGGCCGTCGTCGTCGTCCCCGCCACCGCCTTCACCGCCGCCTCCCGCCCCGTCATCGAGTAACCCCTCCTGCATTAAGATAGATGCAAACAATTGAGGTCGAGTGAGTTTCCGACAAGCCTAGTGACGGGCACCCGAGGGGATGCCACATCAGTCCATGCAGTCCACACCCTTGCAACGCTGCACGGTGCAACCTCCGCTCCCCACCTCATTTGCGAATTGCTGCATCCGTTCGAGCGTGTTCATGGGAGCCTCTTCGGTGAAGATCCATTTGGGATCAAACCAGTTTGGCATCTCCCCTCTTGAATATCGGTCCGCTGCCGCAAGACGCATGGCATCCCAAACTGCACCACGGGACGAAGGAAAGGTTGAGACAGACGGCGGCAGGCTCAAACCAAATCCCTTATTCCCCGAATCCCTTCTTCCCCGAGGGCTCTTGGCGTTCGTCAATTTGAAGCTGCAAGCTTCAACACTCCTTACCGCGTTGGCGCTCCTCTCTGTTTATGCGCTCTAGGCTCCGAAGCATCCGCGTGCCCACCATGTCCTCATCAAGAGTCGTTGGATCCGGCTCAATGGGTGGATTGGGTCCCTGTATCCCCCTCTTACGGTTGATGCTGGTCCACCATGGCGAACTGTCACTGCCATGAGAGTACGACGTGCTGGGTTGGCTTTCCCCTCCCGAATGGGGCGGCTGGGCAGCTGCGGCACATTTCAAGGCCAATAAACGACCCCTGCGAGCAATGGCAGGAGCGGATTTCACTGATCCGTATGAGCGACGTGAATAGCTTGCCAACGACGCCAATAGCCTATCACGCAACGTATTCAGACTAAATGTACACAATTGAACAATAATTAACTTGCGTACCCACCTGGGTGAGTATTGCCGAGAAGCGACCTTAGGACGCAGCCTTTGCTGCTGCAACCCGTTCATAGGTAAGGCAACCATGTTCACGTTGACGCTCTGCTTTGTAATGCGCGTTGTTGCCCAGTCGTCCCTCACGCGGCATACCAATTGGCGACCGTACTTTACTGCCGTATTACTCGCAAATCTTTGTAAATTCCGCGCCGTTCCGTGAATCCTTCCACAGAGGTCCAAGGCGAAAACGTGTAGGCGGGGTTTTGTAATTTAAGGTCGTGTCGGCACTTTGTTGGTGTGCTGGTTGCGGAGTCCTGGGACAAATGGAGCGCATCGCAGGCGTCTGCTCTGCCCTCCACGCCTCAGGAGCAGCCGGAATGGTTGGTGGAATCCTGAAGGAGCTGCCGGCACAGCTTCTTGCTGGAAACCTCCATCAGGTGCTGCGACATGCTTTTACCCAAAGGCTTTACACAGAGGTGTTACGAGGCCGCGACTGCCCACCTGCAGGCTACCAACCGGGCGCTGGCAGCGGCGGCTGTTTGCCTTCAGCCTGCTACGCAGCGCCGATGGAAGTCTACGACTTCTGCGCCGTCGCCGACTTTCTATTACCAGGAGCTGCTAGAACTTGCTAAGGGGCAGGTTCCATGGCGCAAGCTGACTGGGGACCACGTGTCCGTGACGGAGGTAGCTGGCAAGAAGATTCTTGAGGTGCGTGTCAAGCGAGGTTTGCAAGGTTTAAGGAGGCTCTCGGGTGGGAACGCAACATGGTTCAGCGGGATTCTTGGCATTCCCGTGCACACGGCAGCAGTGCACCATCTTGCCCGCAGCTTGACCCGTGTCTAGGCCTGTCCTTGACCCGCTCTTGCAAATTTTCTCAATCCTGCCCATCCCTGCTCGCCGTCAGGTTGCCCCTGAGGCCCTGACGCTGCTCTCCGACACCGCCATGCGGGACGTGGCGCACCTGCTGCGCCCCGGCCACCTGCAGCAGCTCGCCAACATCCTCAAGGACCCTGAGGTGGGGCTGGGGCCGGAGCCCGCGGAGAGCGCCGAAGAGGGCAGATTCCCGCGGGCCCTCACGAAGCTTTAGTGTAGTAACTAGGAACGGGAGTGCGCCGTGAAAGGTTCGGTTGCGCCATGTGGGTTTTGGGTGTTTGGCACGTATCTTGACGCCGGTTGCGTTTCATTCCCGCGTCCGATGCCCTGACTGAGGACTACGCATCCATGCCCTGACTGGATGCTTCCAGGCGTCCTCCAACGACCGCTTCGTGGCGACTGAGCTGCTCAAGAACGCCAACATCGCCTCCAGCTTCGTGCTGCCCAGCTGCCAGGTGAGGGGCCAGCAGGCGGACAGGGACGTGAGGGCATGGCTGGAGCTAGGGCCAATTCTTGCTTTGGGGTCTTGCTGAGCACATATACCTTCGCAACGTTAAGTAATTCGCAAAGTAATCCGCCCCATCACACCATGGCGGACCGACAAGCGCTCATAAGCCTTCATTTCAGCAGCAAAGTAAAAGCAGAGTTCGGCTGGTAGATCATGCTACCTCATCCACCGCATGCTGATCGCATGAAGCCTGGAGGCAGCGGCGCGGACATAATCTCCATCGGCTCTAGGCAACGTGTCGGCAACCCCATTGTTCGGTTCTCGCTGCCTGTCCTCCAGAGAGGGTCTCCGAAATCGTTTGCCTCCTCCGTTCCCCGTCTGCAGGACACGGGTACCGCCACCGTGATGGGCAAGCGCGGCCAGTACGTGTGGACGGACGGACGCGACGAGGAGGCGCTCAGCAAGGGTATCTTCCGCGCCTACACCAGCACCAACCTGCGCTATTCCCAGGTGCGCTGATTGGTGGGGCCACAACGACAGGTGGCCAATGGTACCGGTGATGCTCAATGCCTGAAGTGGCGGTTTCCTGCTGTGGCTGCGTGGCCAGCATGGTTTTCCTCCACATGGATTACGCCAACCAGCCAGACCCGTGTCCCCGCAGGTTGCCCCTCTGGACATGTTCACTGAAAAGAACACCGGCACCAACCTACCCGCGCAAATCGACCTGTTCGCCGCGCCCGGCAACACCTACGACTTCCTCTTTGTCGGTGAGTACGGACTCTAATTATAGTCTCATCGTGGAACATGCGGCAAGCCTAGATTGCGTCCCGTACTGTTGACCCCATGCGGTATACATCCATGTGACATCGACTCCCGTCACTTTCCCCTCCTCTCCTTGCGCCGTGCAGCCAAGGGCGGCGGCTCCGCCAACAAGACGGGTCTGTACCAGCAGACCAAGGCGCTGCTGAACGAGGCCTCCCTCAGCGCCTTCCTGCTGGACAAGGTGAAGAGCCTGGGCACCGCCGCCTGCCCGCCCTACCACCTGGCGGTCGTCATCGGCGGCCTGTCCGTGGAGCAGAACATGAAGCTCGTGAAGCTGGCCAGCTGCAGGTGGGCAGGAGCAGCGGCCAGGATGGAAGGGGAAATGAGGGGCCGCCAGCTAGCCGGGATTGCTCTTTTGACACATGCTTTCTCCTTTAGCCCCTGTGCTCTTACGGACCTTGTATCACCGCTACTGCTGCGAGATGTGTGCTGCTATAAATGGTGCTGGCTGTTATAAAGTTGAAGGCGGGGCAGCATAAATGGTTCCATTCTGATTGCATGGCATTCTGATTGCATGGGAGCTTAAGGGTGTGTACCTCCGCTGGCCGCTGCAGGTACCTGGACACCTTGCCCACGAGCGGCAACGCGTACGGCCGGGCCTTCCGTGACCTGGAGTGGGAGGAGCGCGTCCTCAAGATGACCCGCGAGCTGGGCATTGGTGCGCAGTTCGGCGGCAAGTACTTCTGCCACGACGTGCGTGTCATCCGCCTGCCCCGCCACGGCGCCTCCTGCCCCGTCGGCGTCGGCGTTTCTTGCTCTGCTGGTAAGGCGAAACGCATGTGACACATGAGCTGCTCGGAGCCTATGCGGGTCCTAATGAGTGTAAGAAGCTTGGACCGTAACGCTTAGGACCTGCTAGGTTGCCATGTAGCCAAGGTCAGGATGTAGCCACGTTGCTCCCCTTCCAAAGTCGAGTCCTACCAACGTGTGCCCAAATCCTTTTCTTCTAACCCAGATCGCCAGGTGATGGGCAAGATCACCGGCGAGGGTGTCTTCTTGGAGGCGCTGGAGCGCAACCCCGGCCAGTACCTGCCTGAGGTGGGATCGTGGGAAGAGGGGGAGTGGGGCTGCTGCAGCTCGACGTTGCGGCCTCACTGTCTACTGTCCTGTTTGCATGTGGAATCTTGTTGGGCACGGTTACAGGATGCAGGACAGAATGACTGGTTTGACACCATGCATTTGGACAATGTGCGGGGTCCTAGCATTGTATTCAGCATCGCTCGGCAGCTGGCTGTTGTGAAACCCTCAAGCCCTCGCGCTGCTCTCACGACATGCAGGTCAAGGAGGACCAGCTGAGCAAGGACGTCGTTAAGGTGGGACTCCCGGGATGGTACTGCTACATGTAGCCGAAAAGCCGCCAGGCATCATGAATGCATGATGTACTGGCACTTCATCACTAAGCTGTCGCCTGCCCTACCTGACCTGATAAGCGGGTGCCTGAGTACGAACGCAAATCACAACGCAATAAACGGACACATTCTTGCTTTTTGGGTTGCAGGTGAACCTAAACCAGCCCATGAGCGAGATCCGCGCGCAGCTGAGCAAGTACCCTGTGAAGACGCGTCTGAGCCTGACTGGCACGCTGGTGGTGGCCCGCGACATTGCCCACGCCAAGCTGCAGGTGGGTCGGGTGATGAGTCCTGTACTACCCAGCTGTGTTAGCTGCAATCGTCTACAGTTAAGGCCGTCGTTGCCGTCAAGCGCTGGAGCTTGGCAAAGGGGCGCCTTTACAGCACCTAAGGGATCAGGCATGCTTGCATTCCAGCATAAGCCTGGGTCGTGACAAGGCCGGTTTGCTATTTTCTGTACCGCGGGAGGATGCTTTTGGCAACCTGGGCATGACTCTTCCTTACTGCCCCTGCCCTGGTTGGGATGACACACTGCAGGAGCGTCTGGCTGCCGGCCAGGGCCTGCCGCAGTACGCCAAGGACCACATCATCTACTACGCCGGCCCCGCCAAGACGCCCGAGGGCTACGCCAGCGGCAGCTTCGGCCCCACCACCGCCGGTGAGATCTGCGAACACTGGTATGAAACTGCTTTTTGCCTCGTGGAAAATATTGAACTACTTCTCGACCTGCGCTGTATGCGTTTGGATAGCCTCCTGACGTGCTTCCCTCCATGGCGTGCTCCGCCCAGGCCGCATGGACAGCTATGTGGACGCCTTCCAGGCGGCTGGCGGCTCCATGGTGACTCTGGCCAAGGGCAACCGCAGCAAGGTGGTCACCGAGGCCTGCAAGAAGCACGGCGGCTTCTACCTGGGCTCCATTGGTGAGCCCCCTGAGTCGCAAAAATAAAGCTGGAGATGCGACCCTTGAAGCATCGGAAAAGGAGCGCGCCTTCCTGGTTGCATGCGGCATGCCGTATCAACAACACCCTATTGAATCCTTCCCCATGCGCCCTGCCCTCGCAGGTGGCCCTGCCGCCATCCTGGCCCAGAAGTGCATCAAGAAGGTGGAGGTGCTGGAGTACCCCGAGCTGGGCATGGAGGCCGTGTGGCGCATCGACGTGGAGGACTTCCCCGCCTTCATTGTGGTGGACGACAAGGGCAACGACTTCTTCAAGGCCTGGCAGGCGTAAGCACCAGCTGGCCATGCAAGTCGGCGGTGTTTGATTGGGACCGACGTGAGCCATGCTGTGATGTTGGTGGTTTGGTTTCAGCGTCGCTGAGACACTGGCTTAAGTGATTAATATTGTTTGTGTGGACCAACTGAACAGTAAGCACCGTAATGGTGGGATACGATCATCAGTGACGTGGAAGTACCACGCTAGTGTTTTTTCACTACTTTTGTGATCTCTTTTGTGACATGTTCATCGGGTGACATCACCTTGCGCTAACAAGACATCAACCACGCGGAACCAAACGGGACCTTCGCACTCTTCCCCAGCCTTCAATTCTTTCGCAGGGTATGTAATCTCCCGCATCCATAAAGCGACAAGTTGCTACGGCAGAGCTACTTCATGCGTTACGCACTGCATCCACACAAGCACTGGGTCAGCCATGTACACCAAACCGCCCCCTGGCCGACGCCCCCTGCCGTCGACACCTACTGTTGGACAGTAATGCCAGGGACGGGGGGTAGGAAACGCGAGTGACAGACCCCAGAACTAAAGAGCTCGTGAGAGCATTCCAAATCTGCTTTCAGAATTTTTGGAGTCGTACGGAAAAGTTATCTGTAGGTGACTGTACGGCAGGGTGGGTGGGGTCTGGGGTTCCAGTGGGTTTTTCCGAGGGCTTCCTAACTTTTCCTGCCGTTGCCAAACTCACTACGAAGTATATTTATACGATAACTACGATATCTTTATACGATAAACATATAAACATAAGCAGTCAATAAACGTATTTTTGCCTCTGGTTTGGGCATGACATGATGGCATGACCACGCATGGGTGGTCAGAGAGTTACCAAAACACGTATGGGTAGCTATGGGGGGCAGGCAGGGTGCGGGTCCGGGTGCCTCCACTTAGGGGGGAATCACCCAAAGGTGGTCTGCCCAGCCAACCAGAAGGGGGACGGGAAGCTAACCATGTGACACGGCTTCCCCATGTGTTGCATCTCTGGTGCTCTCGGCAGCAGCTGCGTCACCAGTGCCAGCCGCGGCAGGTCGTGTAAGCCCTGCTAACACTTGCTGGTGGTTGCTGGTCTTGACGCAGTAGTGCGTGCGTTTGAGGCCAGTGTACAACGGTGCACCCGTTGCTGTCTATATGGCTGGATGGCGTGAACATGGCATGGCTTAGTAGGTTCAAAAGCTCAACAAGTTGTATACACAGAAAGAGGACACTGAAAGGAATCCATTGGTCTTATTTGCGTCTTTTTTGGAGTACGGCAACATGAAAAAATAGCGTTCGAAGTTCTGTAGGGTGGGTGAATGGGTCCGGGAGGGGTCGCCACCAAAAATCCATCATGGGGTTTACCAAATAAATGTACCCCCCCTGGTAATGCCGACATAGAAACCACACTTGCTACGGGACGGCAAGCCAAGGCATGCAATTCGCTACCGTATCGGCATGATAAAAACGTAGCTCTGTTACCGGAGGAATTACTAAGCAAGGAGGTGTGTCCTTGGGCGACATCATGCCGGGCCCCATATGCTATCGACGTGTTGGGCTGAATTGGCTTTGGAGGTACTATGGAAGGTACCCCACTATCCCACACGACCCAGGGGTCAAGAGGGGTCCCAACACCCCTGCGACGTGTGTAGGCATTATCATGTGGTTAGTTGTTTCCTCTTGAACCCTGCTGTGTAACGCGCCCACACTGACCTTCCAGGGTCAGTCACAGGCACTCATGGCATAGGCTTAAGGGCCGTCGGTTCCCACTCAACCGCGAGGCAGGTGAGGCAAATGCGGGACTCAATAAGGGGACTGGGCTACCCGGTCGTTACCCTCCTGCCGGCGTAATGGAACCGTCATACTTGCTTCTCTCGCGCCATTGGCTCTCTTCAAACTGTTACTCTGTGACGGTGACAGTTGCCGAGTACGCTAACTCAAGGACAACATAACTGCCCCAATCTGCATGCCCAACTACCTCACTTGCCCCCTCAAAGCGCACTCTCCTAATATCCTGTGCCAGCACATCCCGCATGCAATCAGTCAGCTCGCAACATCCCGCTTGCGAAGCTGCGGCCTTCAGCTGTAGCCAACGCTACTTGAAAGTACCCCTGTGTACTACGGCGAACGTCGCATATGTTGAAGTCCTGCTCTTTGAAGCCAACGTCTTCCTACCAGGTATAGGCCCTCGGTGGGGACATGCCTAACAAAGCCCAAGGAGAGAAAGAGCAATGCAAAACATAGTTTGTCATGAAAGGGGGACAGTGGTTTGAAGGCAAATAACGCATTGCATTACCTTGCCTCCACTCCAGGGTGGCCGTACCACTGTTCCTCCTCTTCTAGGCTTGCCAGACCTACGTCCCTCCTCTTCGACTCTTCGTAAGAAACTACGAAAGATGGTGAGCTAACTGTTTAAAATTAAGCACTGAGTAGTGCGCCGACTCTGCCGGCCGACCATTGCCTTACCTGCTGCCGTCGTCCCTTTACGTAGTCCAAGCGCACGAAGAAGGTCGGCATCGTCGGCAAGTACGGAACTCGCTATGGTGCGAGTCTCCGCAAGGTCATTAAGAAGATGGAGGTCAGCCAGCACTCCAAGTACTTCTGCCACTTCTGCGGCAAGGTGGGCATTGGTATAACCTTCTTGGCACACAGTTCTTCTTGCTAACATTTCTGCCCCTTGTTACCAAAGCTGGAGTCACTGCTCTGCATTGCATGGCGGTCACTCGTGCACCTCTCCACACAATATTATGCAAATACCGAAATGCGAATCGTTTGGTAACACGTAGGTTCTGAGTTCACGCGTTTGATGCGGCGAGGTCTTTCCGCCGTCCTTTTCTGCATATCATGTGTGCCACCGATAGAGGACTTATCCAACCGTATCCCCCCTTTCTATATCCAGTACTCCATGAAGCGCCAGGCTGTCGGCATCTGGGGCTGCAAGGCCTGCGGAAAGGTCCAGGCCGGTGGTGCTTACACCCTCAAGTGAGTGCCAAAAGATGCGTCGTGGGCGCGGAACTGGGAACAGTAGGCGGTAACGTAGGCTGCACGTGCACAAGACGGGGAATGAGGGTTTGGCGTCGTCGTATGTCGCACTCTTTCCCCAGGTCAGAGGGTACGAACGCACATTGCATGCAGAGTTTGTATTTACGCATGCCACATCTTGGTCATATTAGCACCCCTAAGACCCCTTCTAACATGGGGCGCTCGCCAGGTCACGTGATAGCCGTCGAACGGAGGCTAGGCAGTGGGACAGAGCCTCCTTGGGGGCCATACCGTTGGGAAAGCTCCGCCAGCACCGTACAGCTGCTTGCTTGCCAGCATACTCCCTGTCGTATGTTCCTGTTAGGATTCTGGCAGGATGCTCTGCAGTCTCTGACTTCTGTTCTTCCCGTGTGCCTCCCCGTACCCCTGACAGCACTGCTTCGTCGGTGACCGTCCGGTCCACGATTCGCCGTCTTCGTGAGCAGGTGGAGGCCTAAATACACCTACATGTAACGATTACTCGGCCCCTGCACCATGGTTCTATTGGATCATTGCAGCCCAACCTGACGAAAGGCTGTGCTCTTGGTTACAGAGGAGGAAGTAGAAGGAAGGCACCCGACCTGACTGAAATATCATGACCCTGCTTTGTCAGAGTGGGATGATAATTAGAGAGCAGTTAACATGGACAAAAGCTGATTGTGATGGACTGAAGAAGCTATTGAACTGGGAGTAGTGGTCAGCACAGAAGACATTGTTGGGCAGGGGTATGATTAGGGAGCAGCAGAGGGATAGTGTATGGGACGAGGTCAGCAACAGGAGGGGGTGAAGTTAGAAACACAAGAGCAAAGATCTCAAGGGTTAGGAACACTTGAGCAAGGATCTCGAGGGTTAGGAACACTTGAGCAAGGATCTTGAGGGTTAGGCACCCCGAACCCAGGGAGAACTCTCTCTGTCCCAGCTGCCAGGCCAAGGGTACATACACATACGCTGAATCCACTGACAGTTGGATGTGCAAACACTTGGAAGGGAAACCATTACACTAGCTTCACAGGGGGGAGCTGCACTCGGTGGAGGAAGGTTTTTGCCTCTGGGGTACCAGCTCCCTCTGGGCTGCCAGCGTCCAGGATGCTCGCCTTCGGAATAGTTACTTTAAACGTTTTATCAGGCGCCCATTTTCCGAAATGGCGCAAAAGTTCGGAGCTTGGCGTTGTAGAAAAGGCGCCATGGCTTCTACGAGAGAAGGGCACACGTTGGTTCGGATCGATGCAGGGATTGACAAGATTATAGTAAATCATGCACCGTTGGCCTCAAGAAGCAGCTGACCTGCATGGAGGGGAACGTTTCCGTGCAATTTGGAAACAGCCTGTACGACAGCAGCTTTTAGCTCGCAGCGCTTGTTATTTAGGCCTTTAATCCACCAAGGGTTCAGTACACCAAGTCTGCGGCTTTGCCTATTACCTTAGGATACTAGGAGAAATGGCGGACCACTACCGTTCGCTGCTTGCGGATTCCAGCTCTGGCTCGCAGGATACCGCTCCATTCTTCGGCTTTATTGGCGCAGCTGCGGCCCTGGTCTTCTCATGTAAGCCCTTACACCTGCGATTACATCACTCTATGCCTGGCGAGGATGCGCGCGGCCTTTTAGCTCTATTGTTACTGGTGCTGGACATCTTCCTTACAGCAGACCAGCTGCATGACACGCTTTTATTTTGTCATGCTCCTTTGATTGAGCCTTTTCATGCGGTGTTTCCGCAGGCATGGGCGCCGCTTATGGCACAGCCAAGTCCGGTGTGGGCATTGCGTCCATGGGTGTTATGCGCCCTGAGCTGGTCATGAAGAGCATCGTCCCTGTGGTTATGGCTGGTGTGCTCGGTATCTACGGCCTGATTATTGCGGTCATCATCTCTACTGGCGGTAAGCTTAGTTCTATACACTCCCGTCATGCAGTGTTCTGTTGTTAATACTGTTGATCTGTGGTGCAGTGAACCCCGCAAGCTACACGCTGTTTGACGGCTTCGCGCACCTGGCGTCCGGACTTGCCTGCGGTCTCGCCGGTCTGGCTGCGGGAATGGCTATTGGCATTGTCGGAGATGCTGGAGTCAGGTACGGCTTTGAATTAAACCTGCGTTCCTGGGGGTCATATGTTGAACGACTCTCATAATGATCTGCAGGGCTAATGCTCAACAGCCCAAGCTTTTCGTCGGCATGATCCTGATTCTGATTTTCGCTGAGGCGCTGGCTCTGTACGGTCTCATCGGTAAGCCGACGTGCTGCTTGTTGGGGTATTACCTTGTGGATGGGACTTACATGTCTGCCCCCCCCCTCCCCTTCCGTGCTCTGGTCGTCCTTACCCTGCTCCTAACCTTGTCTGGCCCCCCTCCTCTTCCTGCACACAGTCGGCATTATCTTGTCGTCCAAGGCCGGCGCCAGCGCTGCTGCTGCTGGTGGAAGCGATTAAGCTTGGACAACGCAAAATTCTGGAGGGGAGTCTTTGATGCTATGCGGATGCGGGGGGGAGGGGACGGAATTTAGGTGGCGGCTTACTAGCAACTGCCGTACGGGTATGGGTTATCCCACCTATCTGGCGATGCCAATGCTTCAAAGAGGCTAGATGACCTCGTGCGCCTTGTGACTATAGATACATTTTACGGGTTTGTTGCCAAAACGCGTGGAATGGCATGTACAATATCCTTTCGTAAATCTCGCATGTCATTGCATGGGGAAACTTTGGCGAAGCCATGTAACGTTCATACGCCAAGCTTGCCCCCTGAAACAGTGTGCTTTCCTAAGCAGACTAGCAGCAAGTTTGCACACCCAGGTGTTAGCAGCGCCGTTACTCATGGTCGTGTGCTAACGACTTGTCTTGTTAATCGTGCTAGTGTTGGTCTGTACATCGTGACAGCAGCAGGTTCGGCAAGAGCTCGACAAACAGCACGTGCGTCTGTGAACAGCGAACATACGGGTAGATAACAGCACATGCGCATTGCAAGGTAATAAATGTACGTGCCTTTCTATAGCTATGCCCCCAGGGAAATGCTTCTCCCGTGCAGCGTCTTAAGGTTTTCCCGTACAAGTTAGACGTGTATAGGCGAGAACGACCTGACTGACCCAGTCATAGGCTTTGCCTTTAACTGTGACGTTACATAACACGGACTTGCCATGTCCGTGGAAGATGTACTGTTTTGCGTGTTCACTGCAGCCTCACCACCCCCTTGGGAAGGTCTCACCAACCCTTTGACAGTCTTAGCGAATTGGGTCATACGAATTACCTTCGATTGGACAGGGCGTTGCGTCTGCCAGGGGACGTAACAGAGGTAACAATCGACCCCCAATCGGAGGTTACCCGATCGTGCCCAGCCCCGTAGGAATTGGTCAGGAGGCCCAGGGCAGTTTTGTTTTGGACTCAATTGGGAAGACCTCAAATCATCCAAAGCTTTCCCGCCATAAAACTCCGCTCGCGTTAACTACGATAACACCTCAAACTGCCAACCCAGCACTTGCACTATGTTTGTGTCGCAGGTCCTAAAAAAGGCCGTACTCAACCGAAATTGCAGGATGTGTACGGAAGTAGGTCATTATGCCATGTTACGCCGCGCTACCAAGGAAGGCGGGAGCTATCCATTTAGGTTATCTTTCATTGTGCTTATCCATTCATCTTCCCGGGCGCCATCGACCAGCAAACAGAAATAGATTTGTAACGTGACCTGATGTTGCCAATTGCATACGTTTGAAGGCCATAGACACAACAAATTAGAGCAGTGATTGCCTACGCTGGGAGCTTAGGGCTGTGCGGCCACCGTCTCCATCATGGTTGAGGTCAAAGGGTGAGTCTATTTTGCGTCTGCCTAGTGCACGTTTACTTTACTTACAAACTGTATTTAACAGGAACCCCGTTAAGCGCTTCGTGGTGAAGCAGTTTCTGCTGCTCGGTAAGCCTGGCCTGTCGCACGAGGCTCTGATGTTTCTATGAAGCTTTACCCTATCTTGGCCGCCGCCGTAGGGTTTGCCGTGGCGGTCGTATTCGCCTTGCTTTGGCCCACGCCAGGGAACGCTTTATACCAATTCAAGGTAATTCTCTGCTACCATATTTGGGAGCACCTTGTGTCATGGCTTACGATCGATGCCCCCTTTACTCCCTGTTGGTAGGTGAACGGATGGAAGCTTGTCACCACCATCAATATGGCGCTAATCTTCTTCATCTTCGGGATAACCCTGGAGACGTCGGAGCTAAAAATGGCCATGAAAGGATACAAGGTGTTGCTCCTTGCTATCGTTACGATATTGTTCGTCACCGGAATGACGGGCTTCATCTTCATTAACATGGACTTCAAGCCTATGGAGTTTGGTTATGGTTTGGCCATTTTCGCTTGCGTCCCCACCTCCCTCTCCTCGGGTGTTGCGCTGGTTATCGCGGGTTACGGCAATGCGGCTCTGGCGCTCCTGATGACAGTCAGCACAAACATCATCGGGATCTTTATCTCCCCGCTAGTGGTGAAGCTGATTCTCTCCTCGGCGATCAAAGACATCAAGCTTAACGCCGGCGACATGGTGGTTAAGCTAGGGGTTTCCATCATTATCCCCCTGCTTGTGGGTAAGGGCGTCCGTGAGTTCTGGGCCCCCGCCCTCAAGTTTGCCAAGGATTACAAAGTGCCGCTGTACCTGGTCAATCAATTCCAAATCGTCATGATTGTATGGCAGACGCTCAGCCACTCCAGACACGAGCTGTTGAAGCAGAAGTTCTACGACGTGCTGTTCGCATTCATGGGCGCCATCGGCCAGCACTTCTTCTTCCTGGTAATCGCCATCATCATTGCCTGGATTGCGCCGTTTTTCCGCCTTCGTATGGCTGAGGCCGAGCGTAAGGCGTTCGTCATCATGTGCTCCCAGAAGTCGTTGCCTACAGCGGCGGTCATTATCAGCTACCTGCCCTCGGGTCCAACCGGCGACCATACGGAGAACAGCCAGACCTCTGAGGTCGCCAACGGATCTCAGGGCCTTGGTGACCTGGGTCTTGTGGCGATTCCCTGTATCGTGTTCTACATCATGCAGGTCTTTATCGACGCCTTCTTGGCGAACGGTTGGGCTAGCAAGTACGAAAAAGGCCAGGCGCTGCAGGACAAGTACGCTGACCAGCTCGCAGAGTTGGAAAAAATGGAGCCTGAGGCGCCGTCGCTGGCGAAGCCAGGGGATACAAATGCGATTGAAGCAGCAGCGGATGGCAAGGAGCAGGGAGATGTGCGGGTGGAGGTAGAGGATAGCGATAGGGCTCGGCTTCTAGCGGGCACGGCAGGGTCCAGCGATCCGACCCCTGCAGCGTTCCAGGTTGCGGGTCACTAGTTTAGTGCATGACAAGCGTGTGGGGATTCTCTCGTGTCGATTCTGTACGATGTGTACGTGGGGACCAAATTATTGAAACCGTGCATAACCAGTGCCTGACTGTTTCTGTGTTTGGCCTTGTGATTGTTAAACGAATTTGAGCCAAACCTTTTTTCCCGAAGGAATTTTGTCGTACTTGGCACACGTGCTGTTGGGGTGGGAGAGGTTCATTCCTGAGGGTTGTGAGCTCGTGACTTGTAGGGTGGAAACCGTAAGGGCGCAATCTGCCTGCGATGTGTTGGACTACGTGCGACACTGTCTTGACTTCACTAACCAGTGTTTTGTCCTGAAGCATGGACGGCATGCCCCCGGATATTTGTGCTTTTGCGCCCATACATGTTTGTGGGCCACGCATATTTCAGCAAATGGCTGGTGGGGGTTACCGGCGTTTTACGGTGGGATGGCGAAATGGGTGCTTGCTTCCGTGTGGGTGGGCACCAAGGGCGTGCTAGGGGGAAGCATGGAGAGAATCTCTGTTGGGTATTATGTTCCAAGGGTATATACAGGGCGTCGTTCCTGGCATGGCTATAGACACATCGGCCGGGTCGTAAGCTATCGGCAGTATGTGGATGAAATCGTATAGAGTGTGGACGTAAAGATTCATTGTATCATGATGAATTTGGTGGTTACGCCCTGGTTCACTATTTCATCGCATCCCATCGTTGTTACAGGAAGGCAGCAAGGTGGCACTGTAGGCAGTACACAAGCATTGCAAGTCTCCAGAAAATTGTGTGACCGGGAACCAGGAAGGTGAACAAATTCCATGGCCACGCCAGAAGGGAACCTGCTACGCCGCGACCGGCCACAGGTGTCTTCAGACCTCCCTTTACATCTGCGCTTTACATAGTCTGTGACCCATGAAACCAACTCACGCTCCACGCTCAAAAATGCCCTCAATTTTGGTCTTGAATCAAATTGAGGAATAGCATGTCGCATTCTCCCCCCGCTTCATTCGCCGCATTCCACCCCATCGGCCGCTTCACCGTCGACCCGCAGCGAGAGCTTAAGATGCGCTCTTAAGCAGTCTTAATCATGCCCTGGTTGCGCGCGTACTCGAAGATGCCGCCAGCATCAATCACCGGTCCGGCCTACAAACACGGTGTTAGCGGGTTAGCAACGGTGCAGCAACCGGTGTCGTGTACAACCAAGTCTAGTAAGGTTCAGCAGCCCCGAGCCACTCCAACCGCTTGCGCACAGCTTGCATTATTAGGGTTAGGATAAGAAGTAAGCTCCGAATAGGCCTGCTAATGCTGTAGGTTTGCAATGTTGTAGGCAAATGCGGCTCAGGCCCCCAAAGCTGGCGTCCAGTCTCTGCCTCGCAAGGAATTGTAGCCTCCCCCCCGGGCCATTACACACGCGCCTTACCTCGCCAATGCTTTGCAGCGAGTACGTCTTGCCCGTGCTGTGGTCCGTCAGGATGTTGTTGTCCATGTCCACAGTCACCTCCGACCCTGGGAGCATAAGGGCGGACACACACGAGGGTTGGCGGAACGGCGGCGTGACAGCGCGCATTTGCTACATCTCAGGATGCAATCGTAGTGCCGCTGTCGACGGGCTTAACCCTCCCAGGCACCTTGCTCACAAGAAGACCCAGACACAACTCCCCAGGCAGTTGTGCAATGAGCAGGAGGAACAACGTATCCTAACTTGGTAAGGACGCCCTCGCACCACCGTGGCAAACCCCTACCTGTTTGGAGCTCATCGCACAGCCGCACCGACGTCTCGCAGGGGTATAGCTCGCCACTGTGGACATGGGGAATGGCGGGTGCAAAGCAAGAACGGGTTAACGCTTTGGCGGTCCCTGGGGGCCAACGGTTTTCCGGGCCCCCTGCCCACGTCCCAACGTAGACAGGACTGGCAGGCTTTGCTCCACGGCAGCTCACACGCAGCTGCAGCCGGGGCGCGCCTCTTCGCAGGCAGCTGTCCTCACTAACCAGGCGCAGCACAGCCGGGTTCTCCGACCGCCGGCCAGAGCGCTATCAGCGGAGCTAGCGCTTGCAGTTTTCGCACGCCCTGGCCATAACACACCCCGATCCTCGGCTCTGTCCCCTCCCCGGCCCTGCTCACGTGGCAATGCAGTTGCGGAAGAAGATGCGCGCGTACGACTCAGAGACGCACACCTTGGCACCTGGGGTCGGGAGGGCGCCGAGGGGGAGGCGGTAGTTGCAGCCTTTCATGTCTTAAGGGTGTTTCAACGCAGCAATATATGGCGTTTATGACGTCAACCGACGCCGTGCAGCACCGGCGGCAGCGTGTTTCCGCCGACCCACATGCACAGGCAATACGCTGCAGCGTATGACACAGTAACCTGGTCGGTCTTGGCGGGCTGTCCCCGTTGGTTCCCAACCGTTTACAGACCCCCTCCCCTACAAGTGTCTCTTCATTTTTATCCCCCGCAACGGGCTCACCGGCGGCACCCAGGGCGACAGGCGCATGCTCACGGGATGAGCCGCAGCCGAAGTTTTGCCCACCGATGATGATGGGGTACTCAGTCTTCATCTGCCCCTCCTTGACATACCTGGAGGTCCCAGGCATGTGTCAGCGCCAAGTAGGATACCGCAAAGCAACCCCAGCAGACGCACCTAGTCGGGTACAGGTCGTCCGGAAGACCGATGAGAGCATAGCTGCCGAGCTTTTCATACTCGTCCGGCTGTAGGAGCAGCGGTAGTATATGAGGCTAAATTATTGCGAATAGCTGCCGCAGCTAGGTTCCCATACCTTGGAGGGAACCAGAGTGAGGTACTCCGCAGGAATAATTTGATCCGTGTCAATGTTCTGTGCACGAACGGCGGCGTCAGCAACTCCGATGAGGTTCGGTGTAATGGTACTTTCTTTTCCTTACGTCTTTAGTCACGTAGCACTTGCCGCGAATGACGCGTGGTTCGCCTTCCTTCTTGCTGACTTTGGCACATACGCTTACGCAGGCTCGGCGTGCAGGGCGAGACAGCGTCGCCGCCCGGCGCTGCAGCTGATGCGCAAGGGCCATCATCTATACTACTTCTCGGCGCTAGACGTGTCTTACTGACTAACCTATCAACATTTGCTTATCTGCATGCAGTTATTTGGGCCGCAGTTTAGAGCGGGTACGACAACATACCAACGTAGCCATCGTAGGCTATTTATTTTTATTTGTTACATAATCGAGGTAGTCTTGCTTACCCCTTTATATCTCTGCACTGTCATGAAAGGAGCGGCTGAAGCTTTTTTCGGTCCAACCATGTTATTGTGCTGTTATTGTTTCATGTGGACTGTGCCCCTGAGCCGAAGATAATGAGGTCATCTCCGGTCGTCGGACTGCCCCCCGTCCATTTGCCCAAGCGGTCATTATTAGAGGGCACGGGGGTTCAATGCCCTTGAATCGGCGAACCGGATGTCTCTCCTTAATGCCGCAATGGCTTTGCGCTTTCCTTACTTGTTGGGAGGTGTTAAGCTATATCCCCTAAGGCCTGGTTGTGGTGCACGGTTTCCCATGCAGGGAATAGCTTTCCCATGCAGGGAAATGGCAGGCGAGTCGGTGAAAACCGCCGCAGTGTTGGTTTGACACGGGCAGCTTCGCAGAGACAGACTCCAAGAGAAGCTACCTTCACTTTGGAGGATGAGCTAGTTGCAACAAGGACAGGGCCATCCAAGTTTGCCGCTCCCTTGCTTTATGTTGATTGTTGTAGAAGTTGGAATGTGACCAAGGAAGGTGGGGTGAACCCCGGGGCTCTTCCTGTGTTGACTGGGAGGATGATGGGCAAGCCAGGCTACTCAACGTTTCATGCTTTTCCAGGCCTCGATTATTCCCATCCTTAGTTTGCGTGTCCGTCCCAGCTCATCAGCTGTTATTCTTAACAATCATTTGCTCTATCCTGGCTCGTCCCGCTGGAGTACGAGCTCTGTTGGCACGCGTGTCACGCAATACCATGTAGTCGTAAACTATTGCGCCACGTACATAAAGATCAATTCTTTGCACAGAGTTTGCTCTTGAGCTGTGTCGTTCGAACATGTTGAGTCTTGCTTACTGTTGCCTGTCAACACGACTGCTTGCTCCCTTGTACTGAGGTGCCAAGAATTTCCGCGTAGTAGTAACAGTTACGGATTCTGCGTGAAAGCCTTACTATGCTGTAGCCAAGTTACCTACCCTCTAAGCTGGATAGCGTTGTGGCTTCAGGCCGCAACGCAAGCGTATGTCAGCGGATGTGGACGAATCAGATTTCGACGTTGAGGCAGCCTTTGAAGCGGAGCTTGCTCGGTTGTCCGAGGCTTCGGACACAGGCGCAAGTAGCTGTGAATGGCCTGCAGATGGGTGTCATAATGCTCTCCCAAAGGCCTTTCTGACGCTAGGTGACAATCACAGCTCAGGTGATGCGAGCTGTACTGTTCGTTGTCTGGTAAAGCGGCGCGTTGCCCAACCTGCGTGCCCTCCCAACCGGAACCAACCCCCACCACACAGATGGCTCGGACGAAGATGAGGCGGCCGACAGTTCGGGTGAGGCGGAGCCTGAATCGTTTCAGCGGCTTCGTGCGGCCTTGCAGCGGCGTGAGGCCGCCCTGGAGGAGTTCGGGAGGGACATGCAGCAGGTGCAGCAGGAGATCGAGGGGGTCGTCGCATTGGCAGCTACAGCAGCAGCGGCAGCAACAACGGGGGATAATGCAGCGGCTACAGTCGCTGCCAGCCTCGGTGGGGCACTATCTGAGACCGGCAGCGGGGCTGCACCCGCTGTGACTGCCAGCGCTGCGGGTGTTGGGCCCGGAGGGGCCGATCCCACGGCTGCCTCGGTGCCCCGGCCGGATGGTGGGCTGGCTGCGAATCGCAGACGCCTCCAGGTTGGTGGCCGCTGGTTACAGGATGGCTTTAAGGAGGGTACAGGCATTGCGCGGTTTGCATGTAAGGCCTCACACGTAGACGGTTTCCTGCCAGAACGCCCCTTACAGTGTCGCACGTGTGATAAGAAAACTGGCCACGTGACTGTGACTGTCTTTCCCTTACGCTTTGCCATAGCATGCTGGCTGCGCTGGACTTCATTCTGCGGTCGACCCCAAAGCTCACTAGAGCGGGTGCACAGTGCCCTAGCTTCCACTTGTTGTGGGCCGTTTCTGCTACAACTCACCTCATGCGCCTGTTCCCTATTCTGTCGGCCTTTGCAGGAGGCGTATCAGGCGGAGGAGGCAGCACGTAAGGTAAGGCGGCAGCTGTCTGACTCCGGCACGCATTGCGTCCAAACATAAGCCGTAAAGGCCTCGGCCCCGTTGCCCATTGCAGGCGGAGCGTGAACGGCAGCGGCAGGAGGCTGAGGCGGCCGCTGCTCGGGAAGCAGCGGAGGCGGAGGAGCGCGTGCGGCGGCAGGTGGAGGCGCTTGAAAAGCAGGTGTGTTGGGTGGTCAACTGGTCAACAAGGGTACATGGAGGTTTGGATTGGGAGGGCAGGATGCAGGAGCCCGAACGGAAGCGACGCTCCGATTACGAATGTTCCTTAGACTCCTCTCTCCCTGCTGATGCTGCGGCTCCCCAAAGCGGTTTGAGGCGCTTGCTGCATTGGAGGCACAGAAGGAGGCTGCAGCTGCTGAGGCGGAGGCACTGCTGGCGGCTGCAGCGGCGGAGCGGGATCGGCTGGCGACGGAGCAAGCGGCCACCGCAGTGCGCATGGAGGCAGCGGCGCGGGCAGCGGCGGCACGGGAGGCAGCGCGGGAGGCGGCGATGGAGGCTTTGCGGCAGGAGACGTTGGCGATGGTAGGCGGGGGCTTTTAGGGTGGGGTTGGGGTGGCATGACTTTAGCTGATAGCCTTGCCCAAAGCATGCTTGCGCGAATGCCACAATGCAAAGCGCCAACACAACCCCTTGTAGGCGCGACCCCATATTGCGGCGCTTCGCATCGCTCATGCGTGGCGGCGCTACCGGTACGGGCCGGTGCGGGCCGCCCGGGTGGCGGCGGCGGTGCGCATCCAGGCCAGCTGGCGGGGCTTTGTGGACAGGCGGCATGCGGCACGGTTGCGGCAGCAGCGGGATATGATGCGGAAATTGGAGGTGGGGCACTCTGTTACGGGCAAAGTTAGGCCCTCCAACCTACCACCTAACCACGCTATAGATATCGCTTCTGTAGGCAATGGCTTCTTGGGTTCGATGACGTTGTGCAAGGCCTTAAGTCCTTCTTTCGCGATTACAGGAGTTGGCGAGCAAGGGGCTGTTAGAGGAGCTGCGGGCCGCCGCGGAACGCGCAAAAGACATCGGTGAGTAGTCCCGATGGTGCTGGATGACTGGAACCGCTTATCACGTCATTGTTGCATGGCTGGTCCAGTCGAGTGCCATGCAGCCCCTATGCAACCATATGTCCCCAAATGCTAAGCCGTGGGATCTCCTGCTCCTATCCATTGCCGCAGGCCAGGGTGACGCGGTCCTGCGGCGGCTGAGTGCGCTGGAGTCGGCTGCGGGCGACACGGCGGCCAGGCTGAGTGCGGCGGCGGCGGGCGGCAGCGTCATGGCCTTCCGAGCCGCGCTGGCGGCGGCGCAGCGCTTCCCACACCTGGCGGAGCTGGCGGCCAGCAGCAGCGAGCTGTTCGAGAGACGGAGGACGGAGGCGGCAGCGGCGGTCCAGGCAGCAGTGGAAGGTACGGAGAGGGGTTGGTACCTGTGAAGATGGGGGACTGCATGTACTGAGTTGCGGCTTGTGGGTGGCTGTTGCGGTTGTGCTGGGTCTTGGATGTGGTGCTCCTGGTGGTGCTCCTTGGATTGTCAGGGGCCTTGCGTCCAACACACTCCCTTCCTTCCCTGTTCGCCGACTGCGCAGTCCAGCCGATGTCGGAGTTCACTCGGCTGCTGGAGGCGGCGGGGGCGGTGGGGGCGGACCCGCAGGCGCTGACGGCGGCCCTGGAGGCGGTGCGGCGCAGGGACGCGCAGCTCGCGGCGGCGCTGGCGGCGGCGGCTTCAGCTAGGGGGGCTGCGTTCGACCTGGAGGCGTTCACCTCGCTGGCCGAGCGGGGCCTGCAGTTGGGGCTCAAGGTGCGGGCGCGGGAGGGCATGCGGTGAGGAAACGATGAGCGCATTGCAGTAAACCCGCACATAGGTGAGCTGCGGCAATGGGCAGCGACGTGTCCTTTACCAGGCTTTATCGCACCCTCCCGTCCAGTTATGTAACCCTGCCTGGACCCCTCCCAGGGTGATGTGGCGGCGGCGCGGCACACGCTGGAGCGGCGGCGGCGAGCGCTGGCGGCGGATATGCGCGACCGGGGGAGCTCTTGCTCCGCGGCCGAGGCGGCGGCGCTGGCGGCTGAGGCGCGGCGGCTGGGCTTGCAGGCGGAGGTGGAGGGGCTGCAGCAGCAGCTACGGAGGAGGCAGGGCGAGATACAGGTGCGCGGGGGCCGAGGGAATGTCTCGGGCGGGGCAGGATGGGGTGGTTGGGAAGCGCCGTGACCTAATGGTTGCAGGGTAGTGGCGTTGCTGGTTTTGCGGGTTGATGCCCTTTACGGCTGAATGGCAATCCATGCCATCTCGCCCCTTGCAGGCTGCATTGGAGCTTGCTGCCACGCACGACAGCTCCGTTCGGTTCTCGTTGTTGCTGCGGCAGGCGGCAGATCTGGGCGTAGTGCCAACTGCCTTACAGGTACGCCAGGAGTATTCTCGGTCTGATGGCATGTGAGCTACCGTTTCTCACCACGACGCTGCCCGTGACATCGCAGGGCCCTCAAGAGGCCTTTGTCGGTCGCCATGCTGCAGCCCGCGAGGCGCTAGCAGCTGCGGCGTCTACTGGCACCCTTCGCGCCTTCCTGTCTGCCCGCTGCGCTGCCGCCCGCTGCGGGGTGGGGCTGACCGAGCTGCTGGCGGCGGACCGCAGCATGGGGGCGCGGCGGCGGGCGGTGGGGCCGCGGCTGGTGGAGGCACTGCGGCTGCTGTGGCAGACATGCGGTGCCGCCGGGCCCCAGCTGTGGATGCAGCCGCAATTGCTGCTAGACGCAGGGGAGGCGTTCGGTCGCGCACTGGGGCTGAGTGATGTGCGTGCCATCTTGCGGAGGGCATTGCGGGCACCGGCTAGTAGCGGGGGAGCGATGTCAGCGGCAGCAAGGGGGCCGGAGGGGCTGTGGCAGGCGGCGACGCGGCGACCGCAGCAGCAGCCGGTGCTCCAAACACAGGGGCCCGGCACGGAGCTGGCGGCCTCGGTGTCGGCTCCTAGCGGCCAGCTGCGGGAGCTGCTGCGCGGGCTGTGGGGCCCCGCCGTGTTGTCGCTGAGTCTGGGGCTGCCGGACAGGGCCTGCCTGGCGCTGAGTGCGCTCAGGCTGCAGGGCACGGTAGCGATGGCGGAGGGTGAGTAGCGCGCGCGTGCTTATGGGCAAGCAAGTAGTCGTGCCGGTTTGGGTGGAGGAAGCCGGCTGGGTCTTGCAGGCTGTGGTCTAGGCATATCGGCGTGCCTCGCCTTCCAGGTAGCGAGGTAGCAGCAATAGATCACTGGGGCTATGTCGACCACGACATGCCCAAACCTCTTCACTGCTACCGCCCCGTTCCGCTGCGCAGGCTCGTACGTGCTGCGTGCCGCCCACGTGCCACTGGACTACTGGGGCGTGCCGCAGCTGCGGCAGTGGCAGCAGCAACAACAGCCCGCAGCAAGTGCGAGGGCAGCAGGGGGCAGTGTACGACAGTCAGCGGGCGATGAGCTGGCGGTTCGGCTGGCTGCGGCCCTGCAGCGGGGCAGTCGGGCAGCAGCGGTGTGGTGCTGCACCGCCGCTGTAGATCCACAGGTGGGGAGGTGTGTGGTTACCGGATGTGAGTGTGTCTTGATTTGCGACTCTATAGGGCCCCTCGTTATGTTCCTTCTTGTGCACCCCCGCGCCCATTTTCCGCAGGCCATCGTGGACGGCTGGCGCAGCTTCCTGCCGGCGCGTGCCGGCCGTACCACTGCACCTGACCCCCTCACCCGCAACGGCACACGCCAGCAGCCGGCCCTCACAACAGCGGCTGCAGCTCCCTCCTCCCTGCCACCGCAGCCGCCGCCCCGGTCGGCGCCAGTGCCCTGCGGCCCCGCGGTGCCCCTCACCCGCGCCGTCATCCTCCGCAACGCGCCCCTTCCGGCACCGCCCTCAGCCGCCACTGCCGCCTCCTCTTCCTCTTCATGTGGCCCCGCCGCCACCCCCGTCGGGCCCTGCCTGGAGCGCCTGACCCGGCTGGACCTGGGTTTGGAGCGGCTGGGCTCGCTGGCGGGGCTGGACGTGCTGTGTCCCTCGCTGCGCTGCCTGACCGCCCCCGCCAACCAGCTGAGCTCCCTGGAGGGACTGAGCGGCCTCACGCGGCTGCGGGAGCTGCAGCTGCGGGGCAACCAGCTGGCGGGGCTGTGTGATGGAGGAGGCGGCGCTGGGGCAGGAGGGGCAGGGGTGCGGCGGGATCGCGGGGTGGCGCAGGGTTCCTCGGGGCCGGTGTGGTGCCTGCCGGGCGGCGGGTCCCTGCGGCGGCTGGTGCTGGACTCCAACTGCCTGAGCGGCCGACTGAGCGGGCTGGAGGGATGCAGGTGAGGGGGCGGAGGCGGCTGGGGGGCTTGTGTTAAAATAACTGGCCGCGAGGCGAAACGTACTGTGATTGCCGAAAGATGGAGTCCTCCATGGGGGGCTTGTGTATGTGCTTAGAACGGAGCGAGCTGCAATGGCACTGCCCTAGGGACTCGCCTTACGGCACCGAGGTCGTCTTTTCATTCCTTACCCTCCCTGCCGGCTGTCTCCCTGTCGTCCTCCCCCCCCCAGCGGCCTCCGCTCGCTCAGCCTTGCGGACAACTCTCTGACCGAGCTGGGCTGCTGCCTGGAGGCGTGCTCCGCCTCGCTGACCTGCCTGCTGGCCGCCGGCAACTGCCTGGCCTCGCTGGCGCCGCCGCACTGCTGCCTGGCGGGCTGCACGGCGCTGCGCTGCCTGGATGTCAGCGGCAACCGCCTCACGTCGCTGGAGGGCATCCAGGTGGGCGGGTGCCGGGAGTTGGGTTGTGGCCGCCCTAACCCACCTTCCCGTTAGACCAGGTGCCCCACAACCTGCTCCATCCACTCGTGCTCGCCAGCGTCCCGGCCATATACGGCTGTCAATGCCTGAGCTTCCTTCCACTCATGGCGCGCTGCCTCGCCCCAACTGCTCCACCTGCCGCAGGGTCTGGTGCTGCTGCAGTCGCTGGGAGCACGCGGCAACCAGCTGACCGCCCTGCCCCGCCCGCTGTGCCTGCCCTACCTCACCGCACTCGACCTCAGCCAGAACGCGCTGCAAGGCTTCTGGGGGACAGCAGCACCGACAGGCGATACCGCTTCTGGCACTGGCGACGGCAGTAGCAGCAGCAGCAGCAGCATCGACAGCAGCAGCTCTTCCCCCCGGGTACTGCTTCCTTCCTTGGAGCATCTCAACCTCTGCAGCAACCGCATCGTCAGCATCGGCCCGTTCAGCCCCCTGTCGCACCTCACCTCCCTGGACCTCTCCTTCAACAACCTCGCCTCCCTGGCGGCCCTGCAGCACCTGACGGCCCTCACGCGGCTGCAGCAGCTCAATCTGGGGGACAACCCAGCCACTGACATGCAGGAGGAAGGACCGCCTCCGGGGCCAGCAGTGCAGCCAGGGGGACAACAGCCGCAGCAGCTGCTACCGGGCCGGGCGGCTGCCAGCGCGCCGCACCGGCGGGTGGTGCTGGCGCTGCTGCCGTGGCTGCGGGAGCTGGACCATGAGGAGGTGGCGGAGGGGGAGCGGGCGCGCGGCGAGGTGCTGGCGGTGGCGGCGTCGCCGGTGGCGGCAGTGGCTATGATGCGGGCGCTGCGGACGGGAACTGGGCTGGCGGGCGGGCTGTGCGTGCCGGTGGGGACTCCTGGATACCCTGCGGTCAGTAGCGCTTCGGGGTCTGCCGGCGTTGTGTATGCTGGCAGTAGCTGCAGCAGTAGCAGCAAGCGTAGTGGCAGTCGGTCGAGAAGCGGCGCAAGAGGCGCGGCAGCTGGCCCGCGGCTGCAGTACGCGGGCCTTTGTCCAGCTACCGCGGAGCGCCTGCACCCCGCCGCTCGGCGCAGCCTCCTCACCAGCCTCGCGACCTCATCTTGGCCATCCTCCAGTGGCGCCGCTGTGTCCAGCAGCCCCTGCTACGACGTCGGTTCCAGCTCCAGCTCCGGATCAACGCAACGAGATGCGAAATCGAGAGCAGACGCTGCGCCCAACGGGCCTCAGCCCGGGAGCCGGGTCTCCACGACCTGGTTAACTCACACGGAGCAGTCATGGCGGGCGACGTTGCCGTACGACATGGCGGAGGTGCAGCGGCGGCAACTGGCGGTCTTACAATCGCTGGCGCCGCAGGGCCTGGGCGACTGCGCCGGAGCTGGTAAGGGCGCCTCTAAGGCGGGGACGCCTTTGCCGCCGTCTCAGCTTGCGTTGGCATGCAGCGGTGTCTCCTCGAGTACGACAGTGAGGACACTTCTGCATGAGGGCGGCTTGCTGGACTTCGCCCCCATGCGAGGCTTCCGACCCGCCGCCCGGGCGCTGCAGCGCTTGAACCTCGGGGGATCGGGCCGCACAGCCTCCACCATCGTCTTCCCAGGCGCTGGCGGCAGTGGAGTGTCGGCGGAGGCGCTGGCAGCGGAGGCGGAGGTGCGCTATGAGTCGGCGGAGGCAACGGCTCATCAACGTCTGGCGGCAGAGCTACGGCAGGCCGTACAGCCGTTGTGTAGCGGTGCGGCCAGCAGCAGCGGGGCTGCTCACCTGCCTCAGCCGCAGCCGGTGCTGCTGCCCCAGCCGTCGTACTTTTGGCGCCGGGTGGTATGTGACGCCGGCGCTGCGGCGACCATCATCCAGTCGTACTGGCGGGGCATGCGGGCGCGCAGACTGGCGGCAGTGCTGCGCAGCGACCAATACCAGGTGCGGAGGGACATGTGGAAGGCTGCATAGGCTTCATCGGGCTCACGGAGAGGGTTTCGACCCCTGCAGAACCTTCCTACACGCATCCTTACCATAACATGCTTACTGTAATCCTGTCATTTGATTCTTCCTTCCACTGCAGGCACGCTGCTGCGCCGCAGCCACCTCCATCCAGGCCTGGTGGCGGGGTCACCGGGTGCGCTGCGGACGCCAGCTGGCGGCCTTGCGGGCGGCTGCCGCGGCGGAGCGAGCAGCGAGGCGGCAGCAGGAGGAGCGCCGGCGGCACGCGGCGGCGGTTACCATCCAGGCTCACGTGCGTGGCCACCTGGTCCGCCGCCGGCTGCGTGCCGCGCTGGCTGCTGCCCGGCTGGGTCCCGGCGGCGGCAGCGACGCGGAGGACGAGGACCTGTTTGGGGGCAGCGGGGAGCTGGGTGACATGCTGGCCTTCCTGCAGCCGCTGGAGAAGCTGTTCTTGGAGGAGCGGCCGCAGCAGGGGCCGGTAGCCGGGCAGTGGGGACCGGGAGGACCGCAGCAGCAGCCGATGCGCCCGCCCATGCAGGGCGCTGGGGTGCCGGCAGCAGCGGCGGCAGCGGCAGGACCTTCAGGCGCTGAGCAGATTGGGCCAGCAGGCTTGCGGCCGCTGCCACCGCTGGCGTGGGCAGCTCCTGCTGCTGCGCTATCGTCGTCTCCCTCGCTAGCTGCGGGCGGCTTTGCGGCGTACGACCCCGCAGCGCTGGTGGCGCCACCGGGCGCTGTGGTAGCACCCGCAGCCCCACCGGTTCCCTCAGTCCTGCCCAGCAACCACCTAACTGAGCAGCAGCTTGTCGCGAGGCCTGTCAACCCCTTCGCCTCCGCCGATGCGCTGCCGCCGCTGCAGCGCGCGCCCCCGCCGCCGCCGCCCGGCCATCCTCCGCACACCCTGCCTGGCGGCGGCGTTGGAGGTTTTGGAGGCGGCCCCCGACCGGCAGCTCTGACGATTGCCGAGGGCTCCGCCGACTACACGGGCCTGGATCCCCGGTGGCAGAGCGGCGAGGTGGGGGAGGCGCATGGCGGCGAGTACGGCAACGGCCAGGTGTGCGACACGCCGGTCAGCCAAGCGGACTCCGTGACACCCTCATCGCAAGAGCGGAGGTGCGGCGCGATGGTTTGGAAGCGCTGATGCTCACTCTGCGACCGCGGTCGCCGTCGTTCTGGCACGATTGGGTCTTCTGCTGCCATGTTGTACCGAACTGCAAGGTTGTCCAATGTGAGGGTCCCAAGTCCATTTATGACCTGCGCCTGCCGTTGCTGTCGCCTCGATCCTCCTCTCCTCCCGCACCCCTCATCCCCGGCCCCCCAGGCAGCAACGGCACCTGGAGCGGCTGCGTGCGCTGATGGCGGAGTGGGGCTTCAAGGACCTGGCCACCGCGGAGGCCTACTACCGCCGCACGCTCAGGGCGAAGCAGGGGCAGACGCGCAAGAAGCTGGAGGTGCGTCCATGTGCGAGGGCCCCGAGGGGTTTAATTGTCGAGCATGAGGGTGTGGATGCAGGAGTTGGAGGGAAGGTTGTTCGAACTTGCCTTGTGTACACTAATTTCGCAGTCCACCCCACCTCGCCACTGCCGGAAGCGGTAGATAGGCTGACTTCCTAACTCGCTTCTGCCCTTACTATTCGCAGGACAAGTACCGCAACCCAGCGCTGCGGCTGCAGAAGCTGCAGCAGCAGGTGGAGGCCCGGCAGGGCTACTCACCCGGCGCCGCGCGGCCCTCCCCGCATGCGCCCGCCGCTGCTGCCGCTGCATCGTCAGCGGCACTGCCTCCTCCGCCCGCAGCCCCTCCCGGCCGGCCACCCCTGCCGCTAGAACATGGTCTGCTGCCTCGCGGCCCGGATCGGCCTGCCACCGTGCGGAGCGACAGCGGCGGCAACACCGGCGCTCGGCCCCTGCGCAACGTCAACAGCGCGGATGGCATTCTCACAGGCGCGGCCAGTGGCGGCAGCAGCCACAGCCCAGCAGGTGCTCTGCCGGCGCTGAGGCATCATCCCCACCGGGACGGCGAGCGCAGCAGCAACCCCCTGCTGGGACCGCTACGGACGGGCGGCAGCGGCGGCAGCGCATCACCCGCTGTCCTCGGCCCCTCGTCCCGGTTGCCCAGCGGCGGCGGCAGTACAGCTGCTGATGACGAGGATTGGCTATCGGTGCAGTCTTTTGGCAGTGTGGGCAGTGCAGCGGCGCGAGGCGGGGCACGAGCGTCGGGCGCTGGGGATGCCGCCAAGCTGCGGGGTGGCTGGCATGGGGCAGCGGCACAGCCGCAGTCGCACCCACGGGGTCGCCCCGTGCTGCCGGCACTCGCGAACAATTGGATGGCCATGTCGCCGAGCCAAACGCCGCCCTTGCCTGGGACCGGGGATGCCGCGTTGCAGAGACGACCCATGGGTCCTGGCCGGTCGCCAGGGAAATAAAGTAGATGAGGATGAGACGGTCGGCTGCCATCTGTACATAAGCATAGCATGCAGATAATCGTCTGCCATTATCGCATGTAACCTCTCGCCTCGATTTCCGACAACATGTGGTTATGTGAACACACCTTGTAGTACGTTTCGCCTCGCGGCCAGTTATTTTAACACACCTTGTAAGCGGCTTAGATCGCTTTCACGTTGATGACGTCGTGTCGCTGGGTGTATGAATGTCATTGAGCCTGTATGCGGTGAGGGATGATTTCATGGTGAGCGATTCCATCCTAGCGGCTTGGCACGGTATGGACCATGCTTGCAGGTACGAGTTAACCTAGGGGCAAGACGGGTTTGATTCCCAGTTCTACCGTGGTCCAGCCGGGACACAAGGAGGAGGTCAGCTTACAATTGGCGCTGTGGACCATTCGCGACCCATGACATCTGCATTGTTGGGCTAACAATTGGAGTAAAGGGTTTATCGAAAACGTACTCAGTGGGCTACCGCTGACCCTTTGCTCACTGCTGGCCGAGACTAGCTCAGGATGAATCCTTGACAAATAGTTCCCATCCAAGACACCTGACAACCAGCACACCAGCACATGAGGGTCACATAAAGACCCTCATCTTTGCCGCATATCACAGGACCTGTGTCTTGTAACCACATGACTTTTGAATACTGCCGGATAAGCCACGGTAACCTCTTAGGATAACCTCCTACACTTGACTTCGGGCCTCCAGCGTCAGCACGGCACCACATGCCGGTATCGAGCACATTGCCACATGCATGGCGGCGCTTCAACTGCAAGCCGCCATTCAGAAAGGCACGACATGCTCCCCTACTACCCGCGCATGCTGAGCCTCAACCGGTTGTAAGCCTCCTGCAGGTAGCGGTAGGCCGCCGCTGAGAGCTCGTCCCCGGGGTTCGTGTCCGGATGCAGCCACAGCTGCAGCCGGGTGAACCGCTGCCTGAGCTCTGTCGGGTTTATGCGTTCGCCGGGCCTGATGCGGAACAGTGCGGGGTCCTCCAGCCCCCCGCCCCGCTGCGCACATGCCATGGCTCGCCGCACCTCCCACGCGTTGAGCTGCTGCCAGGTCCGCTGCAGCTGCCCCAGCTCCTCCGCCCCGGCCTCGGCCAGCAGCCGCTGCACCACTCGCATGGACACGGCGGGGACCAGCGCCTGGGGAGCCGTGTGGGTGATGTCGGCCGGCGCCTGGGCATCACCGGCACGGAAGACCCTGCCGAACGCACCCCTGCTGGAGTCCCTGCGAGCGCTGGGATACCCGGCTTCTGGTCCGCCCAGGTCAGCCCAGCGACCGCTGCCGGCGTCATCATCTCCGCCATCGTCACCGCCAGGAGCAGCAGCCGGGACAGCCACGGCGGCGGCCCCAGAGCCGCCCTTGGCCCAAAATGCGATGGCGAGGATGAGCACTCCACTGAAGAAGATGGTGCGTCCCAGCCGCCTCAGCAAGGACGCCAGCAACTCCTCCCAGGTGGAGCTCTCGGTGGCAATGCCTGGCATGGGAGGGGACAGAGGGCAGACGCGCCAAGCGGATTGGATGTTATCGCGCTGGCAAAGGAAGAAGCCCAATCGAGCGGAGGCCACGTTATAATCCCTACCTGCAACCTGTTGTACCACATCGCTACCAGTGTCTGCTGCTTGTACTAGCAGCGGCCTGCATTAGGCAGGGTGATACGTAGTGGTTACGGTAGTTTAACGTAAACGGGTGAATGACCGTTACAACGGTCCCCCGAATGTTACGACGGATGTTATAGGACGTTGGTTACGCCCCTTGCAACAACAGGTCAATAGCTTGCTGCTCACCTCAAGCTTAACTGGAGAGGCTGTTCGTTATTCATTTGGAACTAAGGAGCTAACAGGCTACAAAAAGAGGAATGCAGTATAACAGCGACTCGACGAGCCCGCGATATGTCGCTGCCAAATGTCTAGTGCCAACGTTTCCAATGGACGGAAGAGTATATATGAGTTTATCACTATCCTGCAGTTCCCTTTCAGAAGGTGAGTATTGCCTCTGATGCAATGCTTCAGGTTTATATCGGCAACCGAAGAGACACTGCCGTACGCTTGCCGATGTGACCTGATGCGACCCTTGATGCGACCGCGACAGTACCCCAGGCCAGCAAGTTGCGACAACGACATGACCAGGCGTTTGTTAAAAGCTAGAGCAACTGCCCACTGTCGCCTGCACTAGCCTACGCGACAGGTGTGCCGAGGATCAACGGCTGTTGACTACCGGTAGCCCTAGCAGGCACCGCCCACCGTTGCTAGGTGAAGTTTCAGGCAGTAGATGTAACGGCGGTTGCACCCGTTCTGTTACGGACACAATACGCGCAGCGGCATGGTCTGCTTGGGGCTGCCTGGATTGCAAGGGGCTAGCTGCGGTCTTGTTGGATTGCAAGGGGCTGGCTACGGCTGTGCAGCAGCTAAGCAGACATTGTCAGCAGCAATGCCATGATGACAGACGTGCATGGCTATGATGCTCATTCCTTACATCCTCGCTTGAGTCCTGCATACAACTAGTGGCAGCGGAAAGCTGCCATGCCGCGACCCACGGGTCGTTAATTGAGAGATGGAACAGGAGTTCGTAATAAGCCTGGCAAACGCGGAAGACTAGCATACTAGCCCAACTTGGGTGTGGTCACCGTCGGGCCTTCTTGGCCAGGAAGTGGCACTAGGCCCCTACGGCTTTTCAGACCACCGTCTGAACAGCTGCACACCAAATAACTGTACACCGGGGTGTCCTTACATACACACGAACTGTAAGCCCTAAGTAGCCCTAAAGCACTTGTAGTAAACCGCTCGTACATGGCCCCAATAGACGACTAGACCTTAGCCTGCACCATAGTCAAACTTATATGCAACACCAAAGATGAGGAGCCTGGTCCCTCACATACCGGTAACTAGCCTACACGAGTGCCCGCAAGCATCTTCACGCCTTTGAAAACCAAGCGCCCCAAAGCCAGATCTCCTTACATGATGTCGAAAGGTCCTTCCTATCGCTCATAATGCACACTTATGTCATACACGGCGGGCATGAGAGCAGCTAACCCATGTCACCCCAACACGGCCCCAAATCAAGAGCTCGTCACGTCTGATACCAAGGCGGCGCTGCTGCAGCATGTATGGGGCACTCTGATGCATGAATGAGCGGGTGATCGATCAGTAACGAACCTCCGCGTATAGCCGCTGGTAAGCCGCCTCCATGTACAGGTAGGCCTGTCTAGCCAGGAGCACGCTTCCAGGGTTCATCCTCGGGTCCAGCCTTTTCCGCAGCACCTCGTACCTCTGCTTTAGTGCTGCCCGGGTTGCATCAACGCCTGGCATGAGCTCAAACAGCGCGATGTCGCCCTGCCTGCCCAGCTGCGAGCATGCCATGGCGCGCAGCACCTCTACCGAGTTCCGCAACTCCTGCGCTAGCTGTAGCTCGCTGCGCAGCTTAGCTCGACTCGCGAACCGCCAAGCTGCCCCCACGCAAATGATCGTTGCTGTGGCGACTCCTCCCAGAACTAGGGAGCGGCTCCACACGCCTTGCAGGGTCGAGGCACTGCTAGTGACACTGCTCTCTAACTTGTCTAGGATGCAGGATCCATCTGCGGGGTGACGGCAGGGTAAGGCAGATGGGAAGTGAGAGGTTGGAGCTGAAGGAAAGCCTCGACCTGGATTTGATCAGCAGTAAGCCACCTAGCCAATGCAGATTGTCCGGTGTATGCCAAATTACCGGTACAAAGCATATGGAAGGTTATTGTCACTAAAAGGCCGCAGCGGAAAGGAAGATGTACGGGAAATGGCAAGGGCAATGACGAAGGTAATGGCGAGTATTGCAAAGCTCACCATTTTCCTGAGCTTTCCCCAAGGTGCCGCTCTCCAAACTGACAAGGGGCCGTAAGAATCTGCATGGGAATTCGCAGCGAACGGTTCGTCAAGACCGTTTTGAGCAACCGCAAGCGAGGAGTTGCAAGCTTGCGACGCTCTCATTCTAGTTCGGCGCACTCACTCGAGCCCCAAGCTGAAGACTTCAGAATCCATTCCAGTTAGAGATAATTTGCCGGCGGTGCTGCGTGAAGGACAGGGCTGATCTGCAGAGTGGTCGAACGGGCACTCGCGAAGAAGGCGTACGGACCGACGTCTATTGCCTCAAGCTTACAATAATGGCTATGACGTTACCGACCAACTCTATTTTTTATTCGTTTCAAAATTTCTGTATAACATTCGTGCGCAATGCGGACTTTTACCCGTTTGCTTTATCGCCATAGTGTCGTACACAAGCCGTTGGTCGTTTGACATGACTCATGCATGATCGCTGGCGAGGCATCGCTGAGGGCCACTTCACACGCTACGGCTACCGGGTATCTGCCGTAGAGGTTCACGCTTAATCTGGGATTGCTCGGAATTTGCATCCCCACATATCGTTCGGAATAGGCAGAATTACTGAGAATCCGCGCACTATCTTTTAGGAGTATTTCTTCCCGCAAACACCTTCAATTAGCCATGCATGTCATACTACACAGATATCTATACATGGGGTACAAGCCTGTATCATAGTTTGCGTCCACCGTCCTCTTGTGGACGCAAACTGGAAGAAAATTCATAGGCAACTACATGCCAACACCGGTTAATTAGCAGCCACAGTATATTAGTTTCGGCGTAGCTAAAATCTTGTTTGAGGACCCGTAGAGGCGAGTGCACTGCTTGTCGTACAGATGTGCTTCTTTGAGCAGCTTGCGTTTGGAGTGCCAACTCTCTGCTTGCTGCGTTGTGCTTGCGTCTCGCCTTGGTTGCCTACGTCGATATATGACCAGTTGCTGCCTGATTACAAACCAACGCTAGTCAATCGCGTGCGGCCCTTGCTGCGTAGGGCTTGGACGCCTGCGTTTTGTCATCGTATTAAAATACGATGACGATGGCTATACCTGTAGATAAGTATGGCGGACATGTATTGGAGCCACTTGGGAACATTATGACCGGCAGCTGCAGTCTCCAGCAGCAGCACCGCTCACGGCATGACCTGTGCGCTCCAAATTAAGAAAATCACTGGAAGCTGAATAAGCCTTCGTCAGCTTTTAAAGCTGGGCAGGACCAAAGCATCGAGAGAGGTGTTTGCGCAGTTTGTTGCCCGCTTACATAAATTATGATATTGAGTGCACACAGTCGTCATATCTGGAGCTGCGGGTTCGGGAAGACCGCCAGGAACATGTCGCGCCATCCTGGCAAGTCACAGCTCAGCCGGGCTTTCGCGGCTGGGGCAACCGTTCCGGGCCCAGGAGGGGCAGAAGGCAGGGGCGCCGGTACCGGAAGATGAGATTCCCGACGTTGAGTGACGCAGCAAGGAACAGCTGGGTTGGGGCAAGCAGCAGTTGCCACGGCAACAATCATGGTGCAGCTGGCCACTGCCAAAGAGGCACATGTAGTGGGTATTGAGGACTAGGTGGATGCTGAGGGGTCGCGACCCGAGCCCAGGCGCTGGGCCCAAAAGTGCCATCTGCGGTTGGGCAGGCGGTGCTTTATCTGGTTTTGGCCCTTGGAGGAAAATAATTACGGCTTGAGGAGGGCGGCGGAATGTCCGCTGGTGGCAGCGGTGCTGCCGCCGAGCAAGCCCCTGCGGCGCCCAGCAGGTCAGCGCAGCGGCATTCTGGACGCGTGGCTGGATGCGCTGGTAATTGCACCAGGCACCACGGGTGAGACAGCAACAGGGGTCCATGCGTCCAACGGTCGGCGATAAGGCCTTTCAAGAAGACCTATTCCTCCAGCATCGATATTGAGGACACCGCGGGTATGGTGCCGTTTCTGGGCGAGCTGCTAACAGCACCGGATGTGCAACGGCTGCACACCAACCAGGACGACTTCAACAGCCATGCCAAGAGCGTCGTCAGCAAGAACGTGTCGCGAGGCTGCATGACAAGAAGCAGCGAGGGCGCAGTCTACGGACGAGCAGACGCGATGTCTTACGGTCACAACGGCAGTTTACAAGCGGGCGTGGGAGGCGCAGCAGGTTCACCGGTCTGGGTAGCTCCAGCAATCACCCAGCAGCCAGGGAGGCGTCCCTCCCGCTTACAAGCAGTGGCGCATCCGGTGGCAACGTGGGGTTGCAGCCACGCTGTTTCAACTGCGGTGCGCCAGGTCACAATGGCCTCAACTGCCTGACGCTTGACGGGGCCCCAGGATCCCGGGCGTGAGACGACGATAGTGGCGACGCGCATGCGCATGCCGCAGAGGAGCTAGGAGCTTTAGGGGCCGTCACGAACAGGGCGGGTGCCCTTGCCGTGCTGCGCGTGGTAGCCACGTGGAGGGGCGGGCGGTCGCATTTGGCAGCATGGCTGACACCAAGGCAAGTCGGCCGTATTGTGACGCTGTTGGAAACCCAGGGCGAAGTGGGATACTTAGGCGCCTCCCCATAGCGATAGGGGAAAACCCAATCCCAGGGTGAAGTGGGATACTTATGTGCCACCCCAGGGCGATATGGGACAACCCAATCCCAGGGCGAAGTGGGATACTTATGTGTCTCCCCAGGGCTAAATGGGAGAACCCAATTCCAGGGCGAAGTGGGATACTTATGTGCCTCCCCAGGGCTAAATGGGAGAACCCAATCCCAGGGCGAAGTGGGATACTTATGTGCCTCCCCAGGGCGATAGGGGAAAACCCAATCTCAGGGTGAAGTGGGATACTTAGCGCCTCCCCATAGCGATATGGGACAACCCAATCCCAGGGTGAAGTGGGATACGGTAGTCATGGGCCGTTTCGTCCGGCCCGTTTTCCTGCCGTTTTTGCAGTGACAATGGAGTGCTGGTGGGCGCTCGAGGTGGGAGATCACCCAGATCTGGAGGCGTCTGGAGTTCGCTTGCAGTGGCGCTGGCCCCAGGCCAGGTTGCCATGGTGGCGGAACCTGGCAAGCCGGTGGGGGCATCCCCAGCGGTGCCCGCCACAGTGCAGCCAGAGGAAGCGCGGCCTAGACACCCAACCATGACCCGGATGTGTGTGGCGGCTACAGATTGGTAAAGCCTGACAGCATACTATGGTGGTGCGGTAGTACACGGCAGCGGCAGTTCAGCGGCAGTACAGCGGCAGCGGCAGTTACAGCGCCGCAGTCGAGGCAGCTGAGGACTCGGAGTTCTGTTGTTAGATCTTTAGGTCGGCTTCTTCAGGTGTAAGACGGCGTCAACTAACGCACAGCACAGGGATACGACTTGGTGAGGGGCGAAGTTTAGGGGGGGCCCGTTGGCGCCGTCTTCTGCATTAAGGCCAGCGGTGGTGGTTTCGGCACCACATGGGGCCCCGACGTGTTTGCTGGGACCGTGGTTAGCGGTGAATCGGCAGCCGCGCATTGCATGATGAGGGCGCTACTGTCGTGGTGTCCCGGTTCGCTGGGGCAGCGGTGCTTGTCCGCTGCACAACAGGCAGGCCGTGGCAGTGATCACCAACGGCCCGTCAGCCAGCAGGTGGTGGAGCTAGCGATCAGGCATGGGTTGGAGCTCCGGGTGGAGCACATTACGGGTGCTGAGTATGGACGAGCAGACCGCCTTGACCAGCGGTTCAGCGCTGCCAGGGACGGGTGCGGCACAACAACCAGGAGCTGAGTCCCCATCGTGGTCTTCGTCCAGCTGCAGCTATAAGTGTCAGTTGTAGATGCGTGCGTTGTTCGCAACGTAGACGTGTGGTTTTCGCGAATTGTAAGCCGCTAGGCGGGCGATGGTAGAGCGGCGGTAAAACGGGATAGGGAAAAGAGGGGTTGTCTCTGCGTGGGCTAAGGGTAGGAACATGCCCACGCAGATTGGGTCCGTGACCGTGCCATTGGTTAGTAGAGTTAGCAGCTTAGTTTGGTACGGAAGGCACGGTGAGCGCGTCAGGGACCCGGGTGATTTATTCCCCCATTTTCAGTTGACTTCTCCCGGCGCGTTTAACCTCGTTTGCTTGGTTGTTGCAGTGTGAGGGTCCAGGGGTTGGTGTTTCACGAGCCACTACGGCAGGCATCAAACAGCAAGTTGCTTTTGGTTTGGCATGGTGAACACTGGCATGAGAAGCACGTGGGCAGCCCCGGGAAAACACTGCGCCGTGAATTGGTGGATAAATGCGGTCAGGCCTGCGCCGCGTGCGGGCGGACATACAGGAGATCTGTTTCTTTTGACAGCCAGGGACTGCTTTGGGCCAGGTCTGGCACGGGGCCGCTGGATGGTATGTGGCTGCGGCAGTGTAAGAGGGCCCTCCTGGGCCTCCCAACAAGTCCTAGTATGGAGTCATACCTGCAGTGCATATGGCAACCATGGCCATTTTACCCCCAATGCTTGTACCAAAAAGCCACCATACTATCGTATAAGCATTGGTGGGGAGACCTTACCATGCCGTGCGGTGATGACCCATGGGTCCTGGACAATTGCCTGAGATTCAGGATGGGTGCTTGCCTTTACCTGCGTACGGACATGGCATGTGGCAGTTCGGCAAACATTGTACACAGTTTTCACAACATGTATTGTTCCAGTACCGGTATGTGTCTTGGTGCTTTGTCAATGCCCTTTATGAATACTGCACTAACCAGTCGTGCACCCCGAGCGCATGGAAGCGCCTAGTCCAGATATATGTGCGTTCAAACACTCCATCCATGTGACTGGCAGCTTAGGAAAAGACAAGGCCTCGACCTGCCGACTTAAGTGTGGCCTGGAGGCCAAGGCGGAAGGGTGCTGCTGCCGCTGTAACCCGTGTACACAAGCCGGCATGCAGAGGACCATGAATACATGGCCTCCCGTGGCCAGAACTAGAAACTATTCAACCTCCTACCGTAAGTGCTACTTGATACTATGACTTTCAACCTTCACCCTACAGCCGTAATTCGTCCAAGCTACCACAGAAGCACAGTGCAAGGGGCCCGCTGTCATCTCACGCGCATACATCAGGTCTGTAGTGCCTTACTGCTGCTGTCCTTAACCAAGTTATGCACCAGCCAACGCTACTACGCCTCCCAACCCAGCTTAAGTGTTTCATGACTCCTTCCATGCCACCATATGTCAGATTTGAAGCAATTTTGACTTTCTGTCCCACTGCTTGCCAAGGGGGCATCGGCAATACCCAACTAGCTCTCCTCATACCCAATTCCCTACATGCGTAAGAGAAACGCCACCCTAAGCCCACCCCCGACCATCCTCACACCGGGATCTGCAGCCGCTGGCAGGCCTTCTGTATACGTTGTAACCACACGCATGGCACCTTATCGCCGACACATAGAACCGACCACGATGCCCCTATTCGCGCAAACACAAGACTGCGCCAGCTTTCTCCCACCGTCCCTAGGCGTTCACAGACACGACCCGCCGACGATCGCAGCAGCGTCCTCCATCATTCGCGAGCAAGGGCATTCAGCCGCCGGTAGGCCGCAATCAGGTACTGGAACGCCGGCACGACCTGCTCGTTACCCAGGTTCCTGTCAGGGCGCAGCCGCAGGAGCAGGCCCTGGTACGCCAGCTGGAGGTCCGCCCGGTTCACCGGGGCATCTGGCCTGATGCGGAACAGCGCGAAGTCGCCCTGCCTGCCCAGCTGCGCGCACGCCATGGCGCGGCGCACCTCCCACCCGTTTTGTAGCATGTGGACCAGCTGCAGGAGCGCCATCGTATTGTAATGCCTCAGAGCCAGCTCCCGCACATCCCGAGTCACGGATCGGACGATGTCGTCCAGCAGTTCTGGGGTGGGTGCCCAGGCTAGGTCGGCCAGTGCCTCCTGCTGCATGCGGTTGTAGGGCAGTCGAGGTAGCTGGCCAGGCTGTGCACCTGGAGGGGGGAAGCCACTGCCCCTGGCTGCACCACCGCTGCCACTGCCGCTGCCAACGGCTGCACTGCCGCTGGCCCCGGCAACTTGACCAGCAGCAGCGGTGGCAGGCGCGCGAGCGCTAATCTGGGCACGGTGCACTAGGTACAAGCCTCCAGCGACGAGGGCGATGCCGGCAGCGAACGTGACAGCGAATGCTCCTGAACGCCAGAAGTACCACCTTAAGCCAGATAGAAAGTAACACATGCGGCCAGCGTCCGGCTGGCACCTAAAACCACTAAAGACCGTGATCCATGGCCTTCATGCGTGCCCGAGGTTGGACTAACCGCCCAAGTCACCTGCTCCAGAAAGCGGACTTGAAGATTCCTTGCTCGAAGCTTTCTCGATGACGGTTTTATCAACCAAAGCATGCTGCCAGTGACTGCACGAGTACAGCAGAGAGTGAGTCGTCAGGACCATTGCAAGTTGCGTTCGAGGTACTGTGCAGCATTGCGTCTTCAGGGCAAGCAAGAAAGCAGTGACTTACTCCAAGTTTGCATTCATGACGCTCATCCCAGTCGATAAGCGACAGCCGCGAGCATCGACGAACGGGTTGTTGCAAGTTGCACGTAAGTTGCAAGGCCGGCGAAACGACACTGGCGGATGAGGCGAAAGGCCGACGCTTCTAGTCTCTGAGACTGCTAACAAAGAGCTACCACAATTTATGTGAGGCAATGCCTTGTGTCTTCAGGTTTTATAAGCTTGCAGGAGGCTGCATGGACGTTTTGTACGCAGCGCTACCTGACACGACGTTGCACAGTAACCGTAACATGCCGTTGACTGACTATTGAGACGACTATGGCCAGTTGGTAAAGGACAATGCAACGGCTGACTGGTTCCTGCGTGTTGGGTCAAGTCCGTCTTGGCGCTTGGAAACTAGGCATGCTGCCTGCGTGCGCACTCCACATTGACTAAGAGGCCTCAGACGCAGCTAGCTGCACATGTCTTTTGGCATCTGGAATGAACAGGACTACATGTGATGCATGCCACAGCCATGTTGCATGTCAGCATGATCAGGCAGGGCACACTTAAAGTCTTAGCGAAGGTTTGCCCCTTGCTGCGGTTACCCCAGTACCCCGCATCCCGGGCAATGCGTACAAGGATTACAACCGCCGCTATTGTTCATGTCACCCTTCATTTATGCTTGAACTTTCAAAGCCCTTACTGCCGAACATTGCCACTAGCAACAGCAGAAGGGTCTCTATTAGCATGTACAGGCCGCACGGCGGCAGAACCGTCAACAGGCTGAGCCACAGTCGCAAAGGAAAAGCTAGTAGGAGGGACACTAGACATTAAAACCTCCAGTTATTACTAGGTAGGCTAGGTCAAGCAAGCAATGTGGCTGAGAGCGCTCCTAAGGGACACCAACAGCAAGCTTGGGGTCTATATATGGCGACCCATGGGTCATGGTTCTTAGTCACCCTGAATAAAGGACGCAAATATACAGTATATTCCAGGGCTCTTCTTGCCACTACATTATGAAGAGGCATCTGGACAAAACAACAGGCATCGTGACCTTGTGCCAACGCATGACAAGCTCGGTGCATGGCCTTTTCTCCTTGTATGTATAACTTGCATGTGGTCATGAGGCATAATAAGCATTGCAGGCATACATGCCAGCTGCTAGCCTACGCCCCGCAGCCAAAGATATATTACTGCACTCGACGACAATCCGGCATTTGCAATTTACATCTGTCCAGCAGGCCTGAAGTCGCACTATACAGGATAGGAACGAATGCACTACAGCACACATCCATCCGCTGCAAGCATAGGTACGTTACTATGCACGCACTCTGTGTTTTTTGGCGAGAAACACAATACAGCCACGACATGCCAGCGTGCGCCGGATAAGATATCACCACAACAACTATGCACCTAAATACCACACACATGCAGCCACGACCCACATTCGGCGCTTAGCCGCTGGTAAGCCGCCTCCATGTACAGGTAAGCCTGCCCAGCAAAGATCTCGTTTCCAGGGTTCATCCTCGGGTGCAGCCTCTTCCGCAGCTCCTCGTACCTCTGCTTTAGTGCTACTCGGGTTGCGTCGACACCCGACCTGATTCCGCCGAATAGCACGATGTCGCCCCGCCTTCCCAATCGCGCGCACATTATGGCACGCCGCACCTCCCACGCGTTCCGCAGCTTCAGCGCTAGCAACAGCAGGTCCCGCTTCTTGCAGGAGAATTGAGCTCGGTCCACCAGCTGGGCTGCTCCCACGCAAACGAGCGCCGCTGTGGTGACTCCTCCCAGCACCAGGGAGAGGCTCCACACGCCTTGCAGGCCCGAGCTGGCTGCACTGTTTCCTGGGTGACAAGGTCCGTCTGCGGGGTGAAGGTATGATTAGGCAGATGGAAAGTGAGGGAACGCCGTTTTGGCACGAACTCTGCCGAACGTTGTCGTCACTGGCAGGCCGCAGCGGAAGGAAGGTGTACGAGAAAGGCTTATTGCCCGAGTAAGATACCGGTAAACCTCACCTGCTGAATTTCCAAGTTTTTGACTAAGTGCATTGCTTGCCAGCCTGCTGAGCGGCCGTAAGAATCTGCATGGAGGTTCGCAGCGAACGGTTCGTCAAGGCCGTTGTGAGCAGTTGTGACGCTCGCGTTATACGACGCACTTACTCAAGCCCCAAGCTGAAGGATGTAGAGACCATTTTGAAAGGCACCAAATTTCGATGTGAAGGACGCGGTTGGTGCGAACGGGCACTCGCGAAGAATGCGTACGGACGGGCGTCTCCTGTCTCACTTGCTAATAGCCAGTTAAGATGTTGGGTGTTTAGCTATTATACCGGCTATTATGTGGCACAGGAGCTGGTCGTTGGACTCTTACACCTTACTGCGATAATGTTACACGGTACGGCGTAGGGCCCTCCTGCACAGCTTGGCTGGTCTGGGCCTTACGAGCCTTCAGTACCAGTGCCAGTACCAGCTTCACTTACCGTTCCACCCATAATATTATGCAAAAGTATGTATACATAGGGCTGATATGCTCCGGAAGACGGACGTTGAATTCGACTGGACAAAGTAGGAGTGTGCTCACTGATAGAATTCATGGCCTATACCAGTTTTATAAATGGTTTTTGAACGTGTTCTCAATGAACCCGAAGTCACCAAGTACCACAGATTGAAGTCACCACGGATTCCTTGTGCGTCGCCCTTTCTTAATCTTTCCAGAGCGATAGACTTCAATAGGTTCTTACGTTAGTCAGTGGGTAAAATCGTGGCATCGCCTGGTCACCAAGAGCATAACTGTCTGCATGTCGTTAATTATGAGGCATCAAACCCCACCTACCCCTAACCAAACTTGTACATGACATACATAATAACGAAAGGTTTTCCCAAAGTCTTGAGCATTGTTAACTAACTATGCTGACTTAGGGTAGGGTGCCCGGGGCATCGTTAATCCCGCAGCGCACCTTGGGGTGGACGACCACCTCGTTGACGCTGCCGGTGTGGCCAGGCAGCACGTACAGCACCTTGCGCGAGGAGCTGTCCCACACGTACACCTGCGCGGCCGGGCAGGGGGGGAGAGGGCGAGAGCAGCCGGGGAACAGGAGAGGCAGGCGGCCAGGTATGGGAGCGGTTAGGGCTGGAAGTATAGGGCGTGTGGCGGTGCTAGTGTACGGGTGCAGGCGGGGCCAGCCGTGCCGCGCTTCGCGTCCAAACCGAGACTAGCACTAGAATGCGAAAGTTACAAGGGGGACCGGAGCTCCTGAAAGCCTGAGAGCCGTACAAGAGACCCAATCGCTAGCGGTACACGCTAGGCAGCCGCAAAAAAGCAACCTACCCCAGGGACATGCCTAGCACTAGGCTGGCAGGTACTGTATGTGCATGAAGCATCTCCTCTATCCTTCACCATCCTGTACGGTCTTATCGCCCCCTTTCACACGGTCTACGCTTCCCATCATGGCCGACTTGCCCTCACTTGCGGTTTGCTTTAGGAATGTTTGGTTTCCGTTAACCCACTAACACCGTCCCCGTGTTCACAGGCCCCCTCCCCCGCCCCTCCCTCCCCGCCCCGCCATCCTGTCCGCGCTGCCGCACGTGACCTGGCTGGCATCCGGCGAGTAGTCGCAGCGCAGCAGCGAAGCTGTGTATGTGGCCTGGAGGACGGCGGGAAAGACGGGAGGCGAGAGGGGCCGTTTGGTAAGGAACAGAGAGGGGCCGCGTAGCGAGGGAAAATCTGGGTCGCGCAACAAGGTGCGCGCTGTCTGCAGATGTCCCAAGGCAGCTTAGCCCCTCTGCATTTACCACCATACAATGCCCTCAAGCCATGTGGATAAGCCGCATCCTTGCATGCAGCACCCAGCACCCGCACACCCATTCCTGCCGCCGCCCATCCCCCTCCCGTAGCCCACCTGTGAAAACCTTCGTGCAGCGGTTGGGCGGCCCCTGCCATTGCGGATCGGCCTGCCAGCGGCGGCAGCAGCCACAGCCCAGCAGGTGCTCTGCCGGCACTGGGGCACCATCCCCACCGGGACGCGAGGGCAACAGCAACCCCCTGCTGGGAGTACGAGTTAACCTAGGGGCAAGACGGGTTTGATTCCCAGTTCTACCGTGGTCCAGCCGGGACACAAGGAGGAGGTCAGCTTACAATTGGCGCTGTGGACCATTCGCGACCCATGACATCTGCATTGTTGAAGGGGCGTGGAGGGGCTTGGAGCAGCCCTGACGCGACGTTACACAGTTAACCGTAACATGACGTTGACTATGGACAGTTGGTCAGGGACAATGCAACTGCTGACTGGTTCCTGCGTGTTGGGTCCAGTCCGTCTTGGCGCTTGGAAACTAGGCATGCTGCCTGCGTGCGCACTCCACAATGACTAAGAGGCCTCAGACGCAGCTAGCTGCACATGTCTTTTGGCATCTGGAAGTAACAGGACTACATGTGATGCATGCCACAGCCATGTTGCATGTCAGCATGATCAGGCAGGGCACACCTAAAGTCTTAGCGAAGGTTTGCCCCTTGTTGCGTTTACCCCAATACCCCGCATCCCGGGCAATGCGTACAAGGATTACAACCGCCGCTATTGTTCATGTCACCCTTCATTTATGCTTGAACTTTCAAAGCCATTACAGCCGAACATTGCCGCTAGCAACAGCAAAAGGGTCTCTACTAGATGTACAGGCCGCATGGCGGCAGAACCGTCAACAGGCTGAGCCACAGTCGCAAAGGAAAAGCTAGGAGGAGGGACACTAGACACGAGAAACTCCAGTTACCAGGTAGGCTAGGTCAAACAAGCAATGTGGAAGAGAGTGCACCTAAGGGACACCAATAACAAGCTCGGGGTCTGTATGGCGACCCATGGGTCATGGTTCTTAGTCACCCTGAATAAAGGACGCAAATATTTAGTATAATCCAGGGCTCTTCTGACCACTACATTAAATAAAGAGAACGACAGCCGAAGCGGGAAGGGAAATTGTGCTTTCGCCACTCACACGCACCTGGTTACTAGTCGCCAGGCCGCAGCCGCCAGTGCATCTCTCCTCGGTCGTCAACTATGTCTGATCCTTACTACGCGGCACAAATGGTTAACTGACTACGCCAGCTGCGTGATATTAGCATGCAGGTCGCCATGAACACATGACCACCCATACCTAAGCTATAAATGTATTCCACAATAGGCACGACTCGATGGCAAGAGACATTCACCTCCAACGCCAAAGCTACAACGTAAGCTCAGCATAAGGGGCCAGCCCTCATCTCTCATTATCTACCTGCGGCAGGCTTGCAGTGCCTTACCGGCCTGACCCAGGCTATACCTCTAACCCGGATTATCAATGGCTTCGCTTTGCCTTCCATGCCACCAAATATCTTTCAGAACGTGCTCAAAACACTTGACAGTCTCTCCCACTGCTTGCATGCAAAGAGGGCATTGGCGCTACTCATACAGTCCTTCCCTAAACATCCCTGTATGTATGACGTCTTGCGCTAAGGAAACACCACGTCAGCAGGCGCACCCCTGACCAGCCTCACGCCTTGAGCCACTCGTAGGCCTCCTTCAGGTACAGGAACGCCTCCCCGGCCAGGTCGTTGCCTGGGTTCTTGTCAGGGTGCAGCCGCAGAAGGAGGTCATGGTACTGCCTTTTGAGCGCCGCCCGGGTTGTGTGCTCGCCAGGCCTGATGCGGAACAGCGCGAAGTACCCGTCAGGCAGCTGCATGCACGCCAATGCGCGCCGCACTTCCCATGTGTTCCGCAGCTCTATGGCTTGCTGCAGGAGCTCCGGCTTCTCGATGTACAACAGTGCGGCCGGCAGACCGGCCTCCCTTACGAACTGCTTGAGCACTGGCACGGGCGTGTTGGCGTCCAGCCCTGGGGCATGTGCCCGCGCGAAGCCTCCCTGTGCCCCCATCTGCGCGGGATGGAAGGGCGGCTCATCAGGCTGCTGTGCACCTGCCGGGCGGCTGTCGCCACTCCCGGCTGCACCACGGCTGCCCCCTGCACCACTGCCGCTGCCCCGTGCACCACTGCCGCTGCCACCGGCACCACTGCCGCTGCCGCCGGTACCACGGCTGCCCCCTGCACCACTGCCGCTTCCCCCTGCACCACTGCCGCTGCCACCGGCACCACTGCCGCTGCCCCCTGCACCGCTGCCGCTGCCCCCTGCACCACTGCCGCTGCCCCCTGCACCACTGCCGCTGCCCCCTGCACCACTGCCACTGCGCCCTGCACAGCTGTCGCTGCCACCAGCACAACTGCCGCTGCCACCGGCACCCCTGCCACTGCCGCCGGTACCACGGCTGCCCCCTGCACCACTGCCGCTGCCCCCTGCACCACTGCCGCTGCCCCCTGCACCACTGCCGCTGCCCCCTGCACCACTGCCGCTGCCCCCTGCACCACTGCCGCTGCCACCGGCACCACTGCCGCTGCCACCGGCACCACTGCCGCTGCCCCGGGCACCACTGCCGCTGCCCCCGGCACCACTGCCGCTGCCCCCTGCACCACTGCCGCTGCGCCCTGCACAGCTGTCGCTGCCACCAGCACCACTGCCGCTGCCACCGGCACCCCTGCCACTGCCGCCGGTACCACGGCTGCCCCCTGCACCACTGCCGCTGCCCCCTGCACCACTGCCGCTGCCCCCTGCACCACTGCCGCTGCCCCCTGCACCACTGCCGCTGCCACCGGCACCACTGCCGCTGCCACCGGCACCACTGCCGCTGCCCCGGGCACCACTGCCGCTGCCCCCGGCACCACTGCCGCTGCCCCCGGCACCACTGCCACTGCCCCCTGCACCACTGCCGCTGCCCCCTGCACCACTGCCGCTGCCCCCTGCACCACTGCCGCTGTCCCCGGCTTCAGCACCTCTGCCCCCGGCACCTCGACCAGCAGCGGCGGCAGGCGTGCGAGCGCGGCGGATGAGTTGGGCCAACAGGTGCGCGCACCCAGTGACGAGGATGGCAATGCCAGTGGCTTTAGCTAGTAGCCGCCAGCCGTATCCAGAGGCCCCTTTCCGGAAGGAGCTAGCAGTGCTAGGCAAGGCGAAGGTGGGAATGGGTTCCAAGGGTACACCTGCATTAGGGTTGGTACAATGTATGGGAAAGTGGGACCGTGTCGGCCATTTGATAGCATTGTACCTCTGCTCTCAAGTTTCAAAGCAACAGTGCATGTGCGGCCAGCGTGCGGCTGGCGACTAAAACGTTTCCAACCAATCCTTGGCGGGCAGTGCGGCACTCATGCCCGGTATCCATTAAGCAACCCAACTCACCAGCTTGTGGCTTATGAATAGGTGTTTCCTTGATCAGGCTCTGCCAGAAACTGCACGGGAGCAGCAGCAAGCTAATCGTCAAGGCCGTTGCAAGTCGTTACGTCCGAGGCAGCATGCGACGTCATTTCTTCGTGGTGAAAAGTAGAATGCCAAAGACTTACTCAAAGTCCGAATGGAAAATTACGATGATCATCCTGGTTGAGCGGCAGCCGCTTAGTTAGGCGAAAGGGATGCGGCAAGTTGCGGGTGAGTTGCAAGGCCGGCGAAACGGCACTGCGGAGAAGGCATAAGGCCGACGCTTCTTGTCCCTGAAATTGCTTACAGCTGGCTGTCACAATTTGTATAAGGCAACGGTTGACGGTATTGACAACTAATCTGCTTCTTCTGCCCTTTTGCTGTAGCTTTATACGCTTGCACGAGGCTGCATGGACGTGTTGTACGCAGTCCTGACGCGACGTTGCACAGTAACCGTAACATGATGACGTTGACTGACTATTGGGACAAGATGGCAAGTTAGTCAAGGACAATGCAACTGCTGACTGCTTCGTGCGTGTTGGCACATTCGAGCTTGGGAACTAGGCATGCTGCCTGCGTGAGGACTCCACACCGATTCGGACGCATCTCGCTGCCTCATGTTATTTGGACCCCGGCATGAATAAGAACTGCATGTCCCAGCTATGTTGCGCTTCAACGTTATGCCTTCTGTGAAGCCCTAGACCCGCCCGCGGTCCACAACCTTCATCAACCAGCAACAAAGCAAGGCACACGTCACGTCACAGAAACGTCTTGGCCTGCGTTGCTGGAACTCCATCCCAGTTAACCCTATCCTTAAATAACCCTCCTGCCCGGCAAGTCGGACCATGCGGACGGGTGCAGCCTCGCTGGCAGCGGGTCCGGGGTCTCAGGCGCGTGAGAGAGCACGCATGAGACGCGGCTGCAGGTCACTGGGTTCGCAACAGCTTGCTTTGAGCGAGGCCTATATACACTTGTTGACTAGCTTTGCAAAAGCATGCAGTGTTTAGGCTTTAGCTGCATAAGCAACCCCGCGCATGCATCTGCCGGGCCATTGCCTAATGAAGCGCATCCGAACTGGCCCCAGACCTTGAGGCGGGAACGAAGGGCTGCCTCTGTAAGCCTAGGCAAGGTCCTCAACCTCCGCTGTCATTCCTGACACTCCTTCCACCCAGGTTTCAACCTATGTAGGTGCCGCCATGACTCCTAGCCACGAAAGAGTGTCTGCTTGCTTGCGTGTACGGGGCGCATGGCTGCCGACTACCGCCTGTAGTCATCAGGCTGGGCCGCAGTGACAAGAAGAGCCAGGGATGACACTTGAAATACCAGTAATACAGTATGCCAGGTTAAAGCCTGCATTGTAACTGGGAGCTTTTTGTTTGGGCACACATGGTAAGCCAGGATCGGTGTGATGACCCATGGGTCCTAGTTGCCTGGATTGGCGACGACAAGAATAGCGCCACGCCCTTCTGTTCATGGCTGTTAATGCACCACACTAGAAAGCCGGCTGGAGAATTCATTACAACCGTTGCTGCCCTTGCGCCAAAGCATGGCAAGCCCGGCACCGGGCCTAGCTCCGATCACACGGATACCTTATGTACTACTATTATGATACCAACTATGTACTATTAACGGGTGCGCTAGATGAATGGAAAGATTGCAAAGCTAGCTACCAACCCACACCATGCAGCAAAGGCCAGGGTGTTACTGTACACGCTCGGCCTCCACGTCCCATGTCCAGCCGTGAAATTCTATTAAGTATAATAAAGTATGCATAACAAGCAGCAATCCTTGTCCAACTGTAAACTCGTGTTGCCTTCCCTCAAGCAACGACCAACTACCCATTAGCTGGCCCCTCAAATGCATGTATTGCTTGCTTCCTACCGTACTCTCTCAGCTGTCTGGTTGATAAGCAGCGGGCGACTGTT